GCAAACTAGGTCATCATGCTAGTTTTGCTTTTATGTCACATCAGCTATTTCCCTTCACTAGTACCCTTCACATTTCCTGGAATAAACATCCTTCAAGTGTGAACAGTAGCAACTGTTGGAAAGAATTCCTTTCTTCACTCAGAGGAAGTTCACTTCCATTTTGTCAGAGTGGAAGTTGCTGACGTACACATTAGTCCATTTCTTTTAAAAAATGCCAGGATATACTGATTTTTGGATGTGCTGAGAGGCCCTGCATTCTCTCTTACAGTGAATCCTATGATACTGACTGGGAAAAAGTGTAAAAAATATTGGGGGAAAAACATATGAGATAAACAAAGGGATAACACAAACCATTCTTATTCATTGCTTCAAGATTTTGTGACCAGGAGATATTTCTTTCACAAGCAATGGTGATTCTTCACACCTGCTCTAGTGGAAGGTGTCCCTGCTCATGGGAGGGGGTTTGGAACGAGGTGGTCTTTAAGGTCCCCTCTGACCTAAACCATTCCATGATTTTACAATTCTAAGAGTGGCATCCTGTAATAAAACTTATGATTTTTATTCTGACTGAATCCATAAAATAGTGTTGGCACGAATATGTTACTGAAGTGAGCAGAAGATTGTATTTGATAGTGAAATAAGTTTGGTTCTTCCCCTACTGTCTATAAAGTCAGTCTTTGATCCCAAACCTTTTAGGGTCAGTGATGGCTTTCATCTTCCTTTGGTTTCCCTTGAATTACACCCAGTTAAAGAAACCTTTAGGTTATGTTAAAAAAATTAAAATGCCCATATGTCAGGAGTTTAGATCATAGAATCATAGAATCAACCAGGCTGGAAAAGACCTCTGAGATCATCACGCCCAACCCTTGATCCAACACTATCTGATGGCAGAGAAACAATTTTATCAGTATATAAAGAAATCAGTCAAGTTTGCCTCAGTATTTCTACCAAGACTGTATAATTTTTTTTATTTTTTTTTTTTACTTTCCTTTTTTATTTTTTCCTCTTTTTCTTACTACAACAGCCTCTGCATGACTATGGAGTGTCGTTGCCATAGTGAACGTTGTCTGATATCAGGGGGCTGACAATCAGGAGGAGTTATGAAACGAAATGATGCGCTGTTCATATCATTCAGCAAAACAATTATTAGTTGGGAAACATGAGGGGATGTGCTGGGATTCTGACTGTGAAAGGAAAATAACTCTGTCCTTTTATTTTGAACTAAAAATGCAGCTGCGTTATAACTTTGTGTATATATATATGTAATGAAGAAAAGCAGATTTTTTTAATGTTTCTTTTAGAATATTCTCAGATTCCTTTCCTAACCATGTTCCTGCTGTCACACAGCTCTCGTTAAGGTGTGTAAGTGATGGTCTAATTAGCAGACAGCACTAGGCCACTTATGTCAATTGACATTTATTAGCTGAGGGAAGGCAGGAGAGACACAGGAGGCTTCCATCCCTCTGGGGACTCAGCCAGCCATAGTCCATCTCTTACCTAGGCACAATAGGGAAAATCAAGTGAAAAGGAGGAATTAGATGTGGTGCTTAATTTTGAATCTCTTCACTGAAACGTTCCAACTACCTCTCTGGGTATAATATTGAAGCCTAGGAGGAATTTTTTTTTTTCCCCTCCATAAAAAGATTGATGTTGGAGGACTGAAGAGAAAGAAGCTGTGCCTTAAAAACAACTCATCTTGTGAAGGGGAGACATTCCAGGATCTCAGCATCTTTTCTGGAAAGGGAAAATCTCATCATTTTCATGCAGCATTGTGACTTACAGTGCCTTTCCATTAAATAATAACTGCTGTATGTAGGAAGGGTTATAGCTATTTCAGTAAAGAAAACTAATTCCAGTCTCACTCCTCATCCTGTATGATTATTCAGTACATAAAAGAAGTCAGCATGTATGGTCTGCATCAGTATGAGTCACTTAGGCAGAAGGAACACAAAGAATGCAGGGGAAAACCAGAAAAAGGAGTTATTTTCTTTCTGCCTTCCTTCAAAATAATAAACTCTTCAGCCCTCACAGCCTTTGAAGTTCATATTTTCATGATGTTGCTGCAGCTACTTCTCCTTGATATTCATTACCCAGAGCCCATGATTACAAATTGTTAGTAGGGCTCCATTCTCCTCTTGAGTGACTTGATTAGCTGTTAATTTTTTTAGTAAAGTGGAAATATTAACCTGTGATGTTGACAGATCTTAGGCCCCAGTTTGACTATGCATACAGTAAAATTTCCCTTGCCTGTGTTTGATCAGTTCACATTAGTGCCTTGAAACAATCAATATCACACTGTGTTTAAAATTATCTTTTAAGGGACACAAAGTATTCAGGTGGAAAAAAAAAAAAAAAAAGAAATCTCAAGAGACCAGCATGAAACTAATAAGATTTACTAATAGCTTTTGCTTTCGTAATTTGCAAGGAAACCAAAGCGTGGACTCTGAATAGCTGGATTCTTAATTGGATATTGATCTAAACAAATATTCTCTGTCTAAGTGCCTGTTAAAATCAGTTACTGCTATTTGGTGGGACACATTATATTTATCCTTATTCCTGTAGAAGTGGTGTTGCTGTTCAAAGTTACATAAAGATGCATTAGCAGTACACTTTTAATAGACCTATTAAATTCACTTTGCCCTGATTTACTCAGTATTTGAGTGTAGGCTGAGTATTGTATACAGCTGCAGAAAGAGGAGTAGTGAAAATAATGTAATTATCACCATTTATGCTACTATTTATTTTGTTAATTTGTATGGAACTGCAGTTTATGGAGCACTTGTGCTGTATCCACTTTTAAACGTTTCTTATATGTGGCTTAAGACTGTTTACCCTCCACTTTTGCTGAAAGATCCTGCTTTCAAAATGGCATTTTCCAGGTTTGATTTTGCTTTCTTGTTTGTCCCTGTTGTAGGGAGACAACACAGCATTATTCCAGAGGTTATATATCACTCTTCTTCCAGAGTCTTTTTAATTTAAAATATTATAATCATACAGGCAGAGCTGTGAAATGCTGACAGAACATACAGTGACCTTTTTTTCCCCCTTTGCCAAGTTTCTTAACAATTATAGAAACAAACAAACAAAAAAACCAAACCCAAATCAAACCCCAAAACCTGTAGAATTAAATAAATTACTTCCTAAATAGATTAATAGAATATAATGATAAATACAGTTATTTGTGGATTTGGCTTTGGATCTCCGTGGTATAAATCAAGCTGGCATCTTTCAAATCAAACCCATCTAAAAATTTGGATTTTTGTGGTTAATTCTTATTCTGACTTGTTCCCACTTGATTTTATTTATGTCTGAAAATGGATAGAATAGAAACATGATATTTCAGAGGAAAAAAAGCATAGGACTACAGTAGGTGCAGATGTATCTCTTTTAAGCAGGCTTTTACAGGGTAACCAAGTCCTCGAGGTTACACCATTATAAATCTTTAGAAGCATAGCTCAGCCCTTAAACTGTATTTGTACTAAAATAAAATTAATGAAAAAAGAAAGCATTATAACTGATAGCTTGATTTTACTCAATAAGAAAATTAAACTAATTAATAGCACTTGTAGCAGTTCAGCTAAACTAAGAAGTGGCTGCACCTTGAGTCTCAAGCTGTGAAACTACTGACCCCAAATTAATTTGGCAACTAGATTTGAAAAACTGCCCCAAGAAAGCAAAAGTTATGGTTAAACTCGCAAATATTCAAAGTCTTCTCTCTGTCCTTCTCAAATACATTTTTTCACTGAACTTGAAGCGACTTAATTCTTAATAAATCTTTTACTTTTCCATGAAATGTGCGAAATCTGCCAGTGGGTTTGAGAGCAGCTGGGGTTTTGAGAGAGTCTGTGCAGAATGAGTGGATAAATCAGCTCCCATAATCAAGGGTAATAAAAAAGGGGAATATTCTGACTGTCCTGTATAATCCACAGCACACCACTGTTCCCATCTTCCACTCTGGGACAGGCTTTGTGTCCCACGTCATCCCAGCTTATCAACAGGCAAGATCTGATGGATCTTCACGGCAATGTTCAAACCAGTGAAGTTGCTGTAAAAAAACCTTAGTCATTTTCTGTTTTACTTGGGTTTAAAAAAATCTTAGTGATTGTACATTTTACTTGGATTTTAGAACAAATATATTGACATATGGGGGGGAGGACAGAGCTTGTTACCATTTTCATGGTTGTTTTGGGGTTTTTTTTCTGCAATATATTATTCTGTTTGTGACTAAGATGAAGAAATACCTTTGTCTCTGTTCCAGAAATGCTATTTGGTGGGTATTTTTTGTATGATATTTATATTTAGCCTAAAATAATGAAACTTGCACAGACTGTACAGACTTCAGAACTATGCCTATAAATGTCTTATTTATTTGTCCTCTGAACAAATGTTTTCATGAAAAAAAAAAACAGGAACCTGTAAATACCAGCAACATAAAAATACTGAAAATAGACTGACAAGTGTGGAGAAGACCTGAAAAGATAATTCATTCTATCTCTGTTGTAAGGCAGGTTTCACAGCCTGCTTTGATATCTCCTACATATCTAACCTCTTCTTAAAGACCTCGAGCACTGGCAACTCCCCAGCCTGCTCCATTGCTTAATTATCATTACATAATTATTAGTTTTGGGGGTTTTTTTGTGTTTGTTTTTTTTTCCCATTTGCTTCTACCCGTTCCTTGAGGAAAATTTCTGAATTTTTAGTGTCCCTTTTACTATTTTTAAAATATTTTTAGCTATTTTATTTACTATTCAGTTTTATGATTATTATATATCCTTTGCTATTTTTAAATATTTAAAAATATGTCCATACTTTTTACTGTTATGTAGATGTCTTGCTGTTGTTTGTTATGTCATCTGCCTTTGGTCTTCTCCAACCAATGAACTGTAACTGGTGATGCTTTCTCTGTAAATCACAAAAGCTCATTTTAATAACAACTTTTTAGTCACTACCTAGGTTGTATATTTTGGGGATTAATTATTCTCTGACTTCTACTAGTTTCTTGCAGGTTTATCAGATCCCATCTCAGATTTGTTGCAATCACCTTGATTTTTGGTAACTCTGCTGTCTCCACACTGGATTTTAAATGCAGGTATTTGAATTATTACAGCAACCCATGCACAATCTCCACATAATTTTGTATTAAACTTACTCAAATTTGTTAATATTTGAGGGTGCTGAGGCACAGCTTGCCCAGAGAAGCTGTGGCTGCCCCAGCCCTGGAAGTGTCCAAGGCCAGGTTAGAGTAATCTGGGATAGTGGAAGTTGTCCCTGCCTGTGGCAGGGGGTGGAAAAAGATGGTCTTTAAGGTCCCTTTCAACACAAACCACTCTGATTCTCTGCTAAAATATGATAAATATCCAACCACAGAGAATATTTCTGTTTTATTGAAATAAGGCTATTTAGAGGGCTAAATTTGTTGAGTTTGTTGGGGTTTTTTTGAAGTACTTTGTTTCCCCTGTTCACAGCTGTTCACAAACCATGAATATTTGCCAGTTGTTGATAGTTCCTTTGCTTCTGGGGCAGCCTGGGGACTCTGGTGCTCAGGGAACCCCGTCTGTGTCTTGTTTTCCCCAGGTGGTTGCTGGGCAGGAGGGAGGGGCTGACCTTGGAGAGCAGATGCTCTAGTTTGGGGTGGCCAGAAGGTTCCTCCTCCAACCAGTTCTGCAAACTCCAGAGCTTCTCTGGCTTTCCAAGGCAGAGCAGGCACAACCTCAGGACAGATTTGTGTCTGTGGTTGGGTAGATCATGTGTGAACCATGAGTCAATATCATGAATGAGTGATGCTGATCAGTGAATTATTGCTCAGTTTAAAGAGGGTGAAGAAACAAGGCTGGCATTCAGCTCCTCAGAAAAGAAGGAAATCACAGGTGGTCTCCTGGCTGTTCTTTGGGGAGCAGAATGTTTTGAGTCTTCACAGCAAACAGGCTTTGAATTCACTCATTGTTAAGTAGAATGAAGTCTAAATAGGAGAAGGAAAATATAATGAAACCCAAAATATAAACACAGGCAGGACATTTCTTTAGTTTCCCAGTTTAATGGTTGTAAGAAAGAAGACATCTCTCCTTTCATAAATGAGACTTCCCTAGAACTTGGAAGGAGAGAATCTGTGATACCAAAGAAAGGATCAGAACAAAAGTATTCTGGAGTTCTGGGTCCATCTACTGGTAAAATTACTCTTTTGATATTTAATATATTTTACTGTAGACAACTTCATTCCCCATTAAACTGCCAGAATTACTAGAGCAGTGAAATGAAACGACTTCACAGAGGCAGAAATTTCGGTTGATGATATTTGAACAATTTTCTTCCCTCCTGCACCAGCTTTGCTACGAACTGAAATTTCTCAACAAGCTTTCCTCAGGAAAATTTCCAAAGTTTTCAGAAGCCATGATCCATCAGGAAGAACTAGGGCCCCACCTCCACACGGTGGGTTTGTAATGATAAGTTGCAGGAGACAGAAAAGCAGCAGGAAGGAGAAATGCTTCCTGCTGTTTGCAATCATGGTTTTTTTTGGCTATTTGCCTGGCTCCAGGAGTGACTTACTGTCTGGGAAATATTCTTCTGTCTTTCTCCTGGCTTCAGGAGATAGAGTTTATACATTTATATTTATTTAGGAATAGAGTTTATTTATTTATTTAATGATAATGAAAAATATAATATACTATTTTACTGTTATAATTATACATGCAGACATTTTAGAGAGAACTAGTAAAACTCAGGTAAGATGAAAGTCTAAAATAATGATTTTCTCATTTTTGCATTCAATTCTTTTGAATTCTACCTCTTTACTGTTGTAAGTCATTATTTGTTTGAATGTCTCTGTCAGATATAAAGAATTTTACACAACCAACCTCAGGTCACATTGGCATTATTTTAAATGTCCCCGGTCAAGGCATCACAACTGATTGTTTTGACTAATTTTTCATTTCATCATTGAAACTGCCATAATAACTCAACATACAAAACCTTCAAGTCTACATCATTTCCAGTTAAAAGACAAATAAAAAATTAGCAAGATCTTGTAACTTTGGAGGAGGATCAGCTTTTAAAAGTCAGCTTGAAGAGGAAAGCTGAGCAGGACTCACATCTTTGCAGAGTTGGTTCAGGGGGCCCAAGGGATTTCCAGGCTTCTATTTAATAATGAAAAATGTTTCTCAAGTCTTCTCTATGTTTTCCAAACATACACGGGTGCATCTGTGCATGCTTTGATGATCTTCATCTTCATGATTGGCTGATCACAATGACATGAATGTGTAAGCACAAACAAATGGAAAATAGAACAGAAAATCCCCCTCTATCTATCTTTGTAAATATGTATTCACTGTAGGAAGTGAAAGGCGTAAAACAAAGGAACTTATAATGACATATGAATATAGGATGACAAGTTTAGACTGTGCCCTTCTAAGGAAAGGAAATTCTCACAAAATTTAATGTGTTTTTCTGATCTTCAGCAACTTATGGGACCATGCCTGGAGATAACCACAGCCAAATTGTGTTAAACCACTCAGCAGGTTTTAAGATGCTTTGTCATCAGCAGGATGTGCAAGAAGGATGTTTAACAGTTTATCTTGAATTTAATAGATTATCCACCATGGGCATTTAAGAACAGAGGCATGTACAGAATATATCTCTTAAAAATTCTGGGCAAAACAAGGAAAACTGTCAATGAAAAAAAAATATAGATGACATTTCCATATATATCTTACAAGTTAAGTAATAGCTGTAAGTTATATCTCTGACAAATTAAATACATTAGTAATTAAAATTGCTGTTAGATGAACTTTAGAGATAGAACCTGGGAAGAATCAGGTGTGACCAACCTGTGCAGATTCACTGGTGAGTTGTTACTGTTATATTCATTAGGTGTCTTCTACTTTAGTTGGTATAAATCAAGCCTGCTGCTGATGATTTAGTTTAACACTACCCCTTAATTGGGCTGAGAGATTTAAGTCATGAATGTTTGTTAAAGTACTTGGATTCCTAAAGTTAGATTGATGAGACTAGAATTTTCAGACGGTCCTAGAACTCAAATGGCTTTTATATCAATGAAAAATCATTGTGGTGTTTGAAATGTATCTGCATAAATACCTTTGAGTCATCCTTTTGGGTCACCAGGGTGGTCTGAGTCTTGCTGTTGACTTTAGTTTTTATATACCAGAAATAATAATAATAATTATTATTATTATTATTTAATGAAGTGTCTGAAAAAAAAAATCTTTCCCCACTTTTCACTTTTTCATCCTGTTACAGCCATTTTATTTATTTGAAGAGGCTGTAACTACAAATTAACATTTCCAGGCTAAGTCACCTCTTCTGGATCTCACTGGAGTTCTGGATCTCACTCTTTATCATACCCTGTCCTGAGCTGCTTGACTTACCAGTGAAGAGTTTAATGTTATTTCAGAAAGACAAAGATATATATTCCTCCTGAGCCCAAATTTTTGGATGATGGAGTTGGTACATGGTACATTCCTGGGAAGTACCACTTGCTCTGTGCTTCTGAACTTCCCCAGAGAAATTCAGGCTGGTCTCTGTGAGTTGGGGGGGGAATTTTGATCTGATCAGTATGGTTTTTCAAATGTCCAAATTAATCTTTTTGGGATGAGAAGAGGCAAAGCATTGTCAACACTAGATAACCAATAATTTATGGGAGAGCTGCTCCTTCTAGTTTTTATTTTATATGTTACAGTTCCCTAATAAAGAGAGAATGCACAGATTTGTAGAGCAGTAAAACTTGAAAATCCTGTGGCTCCTGTTGTGCCCAAAACCAGACTGACCCTGGCTGGCCCACAGATATTGAGGCACAATACTGATGATTGTTCTTGTTTTATATATTAAATGAGCCTCATTTCGTTCTCAAGAAAGTGGAGAACACGAGTTTAGATTAAAAATGAGTAGCTGAACCTGCTCCTAAATCAAAAGCACTTTCTGGAGTAATAAGCAGCAGCCAGGATTGTGTCTGTAGTATCTGTTCCCACGTGTCATTTAGGGAAATTCAACCTGATCCATTCCCATCCCAGTGCTCTGCAGTGACTCCTTGCAGGAATGAGAAGTGTAATTTCTTGTGCCAAGTGAAGTGAGCAGGATTCTTGTATTGTCAGAAAAATGTCACATTAGTCAAGTGTGGGTATTTCTGGAAAATCCCTCTCTCTTTTTCCTGTCATGTTTGGTGAACCCTGGGAAAAGTGATTGATGACTACAATACAACTGTGTAGATTCAATAGCACCACCATGTACATCCCAGTTGCCTACAGAATTCCTGCCAAATCAGCTTGTTTCTCATGTTCTTGCTCGATATTCCCCCCTTTTTTTTTTTTTTTTCACATTTTTTGGTGAGTTATCTGAATTACTTCTCTTTCTAGGTTCAAAATGTATTCAACTTTATTATCCCACATTCCTCTCCTGATTTTGTAGACAGACAAACACAGATAAATGTAGTTGTTTCCTTAGTCTTCTACACTCAGGTATCTTTCTAACTATCACACCCAGCAAGGCTGAGTTCTGTCTGATCTGTCTTTCAAGTCTCCTAAACCTGATGGAGGAATTTGATCACATCTCCATTTATTGCAGGAGGCAACTGGGCTGTCTCATGTGCGAAAACCTGATGGCATCATCTATGGGAATTGTCTGCTCTCTGAGGTAATTATGTTTGCTCTGATTTTCTTCTTTTCAGTCATGTTTATTTTAGGATTAGTTGAAAAAAAAGCCTGAATATGTTTTTTTTTTTTTATTTGCTCAGGATACTCAACTTCTCTTGAACACAACCAAATCAGATCATGCATTGTCATCTGAAAAGCAAACACTGAATATACCTTTTAATTGGATTGTCCATCCTGGTTAGCAGGAGATAAATTCTTATTTAAAATAATCAAAGGTAAGTAAGCCAAGTTTTTAAAGATTTTTTTTGAGGCTGAAGTTCAGGACTGGCTTATACATCAGTCTTTTTGGTACCTTGGTTTAGAGCACATAAATAATTTGCATTAACTCTAAACATTAGTATGTTGAAGAAGAATTGGAAGCTTTCTATGATGATAAGTGTGTTTTGAAAGAGGAATTAAAAAAGCAAACTTCTAAAATTCTTCTTTCTCTAAAAGACCAACACTAACTCAGATAAGAATTAGAAGGTGTTTTAAACAAAAGAATGAATTGATACTGCCATGAGGTTTTACTGTGTTTATGATCACTATTATTCACATTTTTTATTCTGTATTTTCAGCTTATTTGTTATTGGGCTAACCTGTGATTATTAAAATTCTTCTCAAACTATTTAAAGCTTAGATGCATAGCTGAAATATGCCTCCATTTTATAGGAAGGCTTTGTTGCATATCCTGACTTTATTGCTTGTTATGTCAGTATTAGATTGGGGAAGAGTTGATTGTATCATTTCCCCAAAAATTGCAAACTAAATATTCATGTCTTTGAGAGCTGTCTGTGGGAAGTCTTGCCATATTAACTGTGCTTTTTGGTTTAATTCCTTCTAGTGTATCATTAAAATTCATGAACATCTATGTAAACAGAAAGTTTCCTTTCATCATTCATTAAAAATAACAAAATGCATCCAAACAGCTGAAAATCTAATATCACATTAGGTTTCTTAATGCATATATATATATATTTACAGATGCATTCCATGGGTGCCTCTGGTTAGGATCTGTATGGAAATATCTTTGCTCTCATTAAGTGCAGAGCTCAGCTGAATGCTGAAATGCACTGAAATAAAATGCACAGTAAAGACAAATGAGAGGATAAATTAATTAATGAAGTGGGTTTGACAGTTTAATTAATGAACAATTTTTCTTTACTTGAGTTAAGCCTTCCATGCACTGCCTAGAACTGTTTGAAAAAGTTCTGCTGGCAGGCCCCAGTGCTGATTTCTCACCCTTGATAAGAGTCACACAGTACAATTTATTCTGGATCCAAACTGGTTTTACCCAGTATCTAAGTTTGCCAAACACTTAATGGTGTTGACAGAACTCCTGCAAATAACCCCTCCCACTTTTTTTTTGGGAGCACACAAAACAAAGGCATTGGACTTAAAAACCCCACCTCTGGTTCTGACAGCAGGAGTCTGGAGGGTTTTTTCTCTCCAAGGATTTGTAGGGAGTAGATTTTGTCTATAAGTGATATTTTTGACCCTTGAAAGCTCTGTTTTTAAGGGCTTGTTGGGTTGGAGTTACTTAACTAAGTGAGGGGGTCAAAGTTAATGAACATCCATAAACCTTGTCTGGGTCTCTCCAGACAAGGAAAAAGTAAGGCTTTCCCTCAGGAAAGAGTGAGGCTTGAGGAGAACTGAGGGGCAAAGATCTAAATCTCTTTGGCTTCCTGAGGGAAGCTTTGAATTTTATCTTCCATGTGCTGTAATGTGTTCCTGCTCTGACAGGAAGTCATGGAACAGTTAGAATTATTTTGGAAAACTATGCCACTGACTAGATGGAAAGGGGAGCATGAGGAAAGAAAAGGTTCTTCATTTCTCTTACGGCCAAGAGAAAGTATCAAGTCATCTTTAATAATTATCAACAGCAGTTAGTGTGGGAAGAAATGGTCTGATCAACTGAGTAGGAGTTTTATGTGACTTTAGGGGAACATGAAGTAGTGCTGAGTGCTTTTTGAAAATATCATTCCCAAGGAGTCAAGGTTTGCCTCTTCAGAATGAGTAAATAGTTGTATTTATCTTCTATCTCTGCTACTAAAACACTCTCTTCCCTGAAATGCAGTCCAGTTATAGTGCCAATTTCCCCTGAATCCGGGCCAGAATTTTAATTTATAAATAAAAATAACGAGCTGTAACTGGTATTTAAGGCTCCTCTAAGGAAACATTTCATAGTTCAGTGTGGCAGAATTATGTTATATGAATTCTTTCAATTTTCCACACCCCAGAATAACTCTACTCTGCTGATTTCGGGGTAGTTTTTGGTCATCCAGTGCTTTTTGTCTCATCGAGCTAAACCCATTTTGTTCAGAATCCCTCTCTGGTTTACGTGTACCTACAAATCCACAAAGCTGCTTCTTTTGAAGGGCTTTAACAGGCAGCTGGTGTGACTATACTGGAAGGAAATCGAGCATTCCAGATCCTTGACTCTCGTAGTGGAGTCAGAGCCTTCCACACCACGGCGCAGTTACAAGGGCACTGCAGATTAGAGAGGCACAACATCGTTGTTAACAGGAGTGGAACATGAAATCCACTGTGTGCAGCCATTGTGCTAATAAAATGCATTACTTGGCGTTTTAAATCCCCAGCCCAGGAATTCAATTAGTTTCTGGGGAATCCAATTCTGAAATACAAGAACTTTGCCCGTCTGTCGTCGCCCGGTGAAGCCGCAGCATCTCGTGCCGCGGTGGAGTGAGTTTTGTGGACAAACAGGGCGTGAAAATCTTGGCTTAACGTGGTGTCTGTAATTCCTAAAGCAGGAGTGGGGCCTTGTTTAAGGACATAGTGTGAAATGAAAATTCCAAACCTGTAAGCATTGCCTGTAAGCACCTCAGCTCCCACCCTGCAGAACTCCATCCTCCATTCATTTCATGTAAAGGCTCTTTTCATGAAATTTTACTCATCTACATGCATGTGTTCATCAGGGATGTCTTTTTTTTTTTTTACACCAATTAATATCTTTTCATTTTCACATAATAGCTGATATTTTGTTTTCAACCCATTGCTTATCCACCTACACAAAACACACAAAGCACAGAGTCTTCTTCACCTCAAGGATACCCATGGACTTATGAAATTCGTTAAATCAGGACTAAAATTAGCAAAGTTCAAGCCCACTCTACTTTATAATTTTATCAGAATCAACTCTAATCTTTATTAATTTTGTAAAGGATGAAAGTTATAACTGTATTATGAAGAAAAATGCTTATTACATCTAAAAATTCTAATGGTTAGAACCTGTGAGAAAATAAGATTGAGTCACAGCAGGAAGAAAGAAGGAAAGAGAGAAAGAAAGTGAGAAGGAAAGGAAAGAAAATGTGTTTTAGCAGATGAGAAGTAAAATATTTTAGACATTTAAATAAACACTGCTCTCTTAAAGTACTTTTAAGCTTTTCTGTTGAATATATAAAACCCCTCAAGCAACAGTTTTAGTTTCAACATGGGAAGTTGGAAGGATAGGCAAAAAGCTCCCAAGTGCTTTATTAGCTGCCTGTTCTTCTTGGCATGGGAATCAATGAAACATATTCCTCATAAAACAAATTTAATATTTCACCAGTAAAAAGTGATTCTGAGTTTTTTTTCTCATGACTGACCTTAGTAACTCCCAAACTTGGGAGGCACTTGTGGTGCCTCTGAGCTATCAAACTTTCATGCTTGTGAAAGAAATACAAGAATCACCTTTCACTGTGGAGAAATCTTTTTGCTGTGCCCAAACCCTGAGATTCCTGGTTTCACTGTGGTTTTACCCTGTGAAAAAGCAATGAGAGCATTAAATAGCTGAAGTAAAATTCAGAGTCCTTTGCAGAGCGAGGGTTGTGTCAGAGCTGTGTGCTGGAATTTGGAAAGGAATATTGTTTAGGGACACTACTGGAGCAATATTGCCTTCTGCTGAGAATAACTTACACTTATTCAGGAGGTTTCTTACCTGATTACTTTTTCAGAGTGGCCAACATTCCATGCTATGCTGTCTCACAAGGACAAAGGTCTCCTGGGAACATCTGGGCACAATCCCAGACGGTGATATTTGATTTATGATGCTCTTGTAGTAACATCATGCTCCAAGCCATCGTTTGGCAGATAACAATGACATTGAGTGTACAGGTTACTGTGATCTCAGAGCAGAGGATACCACAAAGATCAGTGCACAGACAGAATGACATCTTTGCTTTCTGGTTGCTGTTGGTTGACTGGATCTTCTGGGGGTTCATGCACAAGCCAGTGGATCGTGCCCTGACAGTTCATGAAGACAGAGGGACAAGGACTGTGGCAAAGGTGAAGGTATGATTCTATGAACTTACTGCATCTGTAGCACTATTGAACTGGAGAAAGCCTTAAAAACTAGACTTGAATGCATATAAAATAAAGCTTAAATTATTAGTGAGATAATTCAAAGGAATGGATGCAGATGTTGTACAAAATGTGAAAACAGTGATGGATCTTACTCGTGAGCATTCCCGTTTATGTTGTTTGTTATATTAATCTTTACTTTGGATAAAGACATTATATTTTAAAAAGAAAGGTAACATGAGTTCACATCTGAAATTTGTCAATATATTCTAGAAGAACTGGTTTCTAGAAGAGGCTACAGGATTTAAACTTTATTTTCCTAAGGCTTTGGGATGAAGTAAGGTGGAACTTAAATTAGGCACTGAAGCAATGTGCTGCAACAACACTTAAAACTTCTTCTAGAAACCTGACAAAAAGTCAAAAATAAGAAAACAACACTAACAACAAGAAATGTACTTTCATAAATTTGAAGCAATAAGATTTTCACTCTTCAGCAGCCACTGCCATGGATGCTTCTAAGAGACATTATATTTTTGCTAATTCCCTGGGTTAGGAGCAAAGACTGTGAGATTCTCCTTCCTCAAATACACTTTGCATCTAACTACTACATCTGAGTTGCTGCTCTGAACTTCTAAAGCCTCACTTTATAATTATAGCTCCAAATCTGTTCCATTAAATCCACATGGTGTGTTAGAGACTTGATTAAAAAAACCCTAAAAATTAGAGGAGCAAAATTTGCTTGAAGTCCAGTTGAAAGAGCTGATCCCAATTGTTTTAAGTTTTCAGCTAAAGCTCTGTTCAAGTCACTTTTAGTATTGAAATGAGAAAGAAATGGAACCAATTAGAAGGAAAATGAATTTAATTTCTTTTTGGTTGAAGGAAACCTTTCCAAGCTAAAAGCGCAGTGTCTTTAGGGCAAATCAGGTTAAAACAGGTCTTCTGTTGAAGCACAGTTAGCATTAATCATTTGCAACTTTTTCTTGGAGTGGTCAAGAATCATTTTCTCTGGATTATGTGATTAAAGAGATCAGAGAGTTCATTATTGCTTTAAATAAATGCTTGCAAGTTCCATCATTCTGTGTGCAAAGGGAAGAGGTCTCCAGTTACCTTCCACCATCCCAAGGCTTCCCCAAAAGGTGCCCTATGCCCTTCAATTAGTGAGGGATCACAGCCTTTCTTCTCTGGGAGCAAAGGAAAGGCCAAAGGAGCCCCTTTGCTCTCAGTTATTGCAATAGTGATTTAGTGAAAGTATTGGGGTTATTCTGCTCTGCCTGGGACAGAACTGGGGCCACGATGACGTGGAAGTTCCTGACACTCCAGGGGTGCACTTTTGCCTCTCTGTCATCCATTTGTGACCTACAGAAAAGGGGATTTTGCCCTTGCAGATGTAACTGCCAAATTGTTGGGTTTGTTACCCTTTCAGCTGGACAAAACTTCTCAGGATTGGGTTCTCCGTGGTCATTTCTCTTGGATCACAAAGGGTTATTCCAAGCTGTGGCAGGAAAAAGAAATGGAAATAATTGTATGGCTTACATTTTCACTTTTTTCCTCCTTAAATTACAATAAAAGCAAGAAGAAATAGTTCTTAGTCAGGTTTCCCACATTATATACAACATATTGGGAGATATTTTGACGTCCGACTCATGTTCAGAGGATGCAGATTCATGAGCTAATGCCTTTTACACTGGTTTTTCTTTTTTACAGAGTTTATGTGACATTTCTTCACTTTTCTTTCTGATAACATTTATGGGACTCGGTGAGCCATTATTTTGAACACATGCAGGAAACTGGTGAGTTGATGAGATGGTTTTTTTTTTAAGAAATAAGCCTGACTAGTCTTGATTCCATGGATTTTATCACACTGGCTGCCACAATCTGAGCTTTGCAATCCTGAAACAGTCAGATAAAATAATCAGGAGAGAAAAGCAGCAGTCTCCAAAACCTGAACCCGAGATCAAATCTGACTTTTTATAGAAGTACATGACAGAGATGAAATGAATATTATTCCAATCCATTACAAAAATGAAAAAGTCGAATGCGAATGGACTGAAAACATTTTTAAAATACAGCTGGGGAATTATACTTGAAAAGTATTTGAATGATTCTGAAATCTGCAGGCCAGATTTTAAAAGTATTTATGACTTAATGTCTTATTAAAACACTTAATGATACAATAATGTACCTCTTAGTCCTGCAGAGAAGAAAGGCTTGATTTCTCAAGATGAACTCCTTCTTTTTGCAATTTTAGAAATGAATAATTGATATGTTTCTCTAGTTACTCATGAAAATTCTTCTATTTTTTTCCCCAAATATGCATAAATTCTAAACTTTCAGCATTTTTACCTGTCAGAGTTATTGGAATATTAAAAGTACTGCAAAGTTTATGCATTTCTAATCACCCTGTTCTCGAGGTCATTGTACAGATCCACATATGTATGTACCTCTGGTTGTAGAGATATTTTTAGTTAAGAAAGGGAATAACAGGAACCTTTTTGGATCTAGAGGTATTTTTAATTAAGAAAAAGAGAATAAAAGAAAGTGTGCATGGCCATGGGAGATAGGATTTTCTATATTTGGTTCAATATAGCAAAGTTTCCCAAAACTTGGGCAACTGTGAGTTAATTTCCCCTGAAGACAACTGATTTGGGTTCCACCTAAGTTGAAATGTTTAGAGATTTGACCACCATTTTTCATACTCCAAAGCACTTGATCTAAATAGAAGGATTTTAAAAAACCTCCTGCAGTGCAATGCATATATTTGCTTTTCCTGCAGGTTGGTTGAGGCACTGATTCCATATCTTAATCAGCTTTCCCCTCCTACAATGATGACCTTTTTGGAAGATTGTGGTGCTCATCCTTCAAGGAACTCTGGGCAGTTCAAAGAGGTCCATTTTCAAAGAATTCAGACTGAAGGCAGAGATGAAATGGTGATTTGCACTGCCTGAGATTACATAAAACCTCTGTGGCATGTGTGTGAAAATCTGTCTTTTGTTCACTGAAATGTTCCTGTTTGATCCCTCCCTCACATCTCCAGGGTTACCTCAGCATTTTTAATAGAAAGGTTGGAAAATGCAATTGTGAGCAAGAGCTGAAGGGAAGAAAGAAAGCCCAAATCCTGACTAAATTATACCAAATTCTCCTTGCCTACAATATGGGCAAAATAATTAAAGCCTTCCAGTTCAACTAAATTTGCCTTTTTTTATTTTTTTTAATTTTGCCAATGCAAAACCTGCATAAATTGGTCCAAGACAAGAATTTCTTCTTCTCACTCTCCCTTCCCCCATTATTTATGCTACAAAACTCCCCCTTTTATCTGGTGTAAATTCATCCCAAATTGATCTGTCAGTCATTTCTGGACGGGTGAGGCAGGAGATGCTCAGTGTGAAAAAGGTGTTAAATGGAAAAAGATGTTAAATGTGTGTAATTAGAAGTTGAAAGAGGGATCTGGTCACAGGAACCTCAGTTGAGATGCTGCAAAAGGGTTGTTATGGGGAAGTTTATCCATGGTGCAGTTTGGAGAGCAGAGTTAGGGACTAGTATAGTTTCCAGTTAAACAAAAGGAACATTATGTGAATATATCCCAAGATTATGTACTTTATGCAAGCTTGATTGCCTATTTTAATTGCACTATAATCATTAAACATATCTTCTTAGTATAATTCTATTTTTTTAATTAAATCCAAATTCTCGGTGTTAGACAAGAATTCTGATGTCACATTTACAGTTCATTAGAGTCATAATTAAAATGTGCAGCCAGACTGGAGAACTAGAGAATATTTAATTTGAAAAAGGATTTTATTTCATTGCTTCTGTAACAAGCCAGTCTGAGTTTCTACAAATGAATTGTAGATGTAGCAACTACAAAAGTTCATTAAACAGGAGGATTTAGTTCCTTTTCTAACATGGCCATGGATGTGATAGATAATACATTTTAAAAATCCCTGTGGTGTGAATGTTGCAGGTTTGTCTCCACCTCAGCCTCACAGGTTTTTTTAAACAACAGAACGAAGAAAACAATGAGGTATCAATGTTATATCAAAACTGTATAAATGTAAAATAAGGTCTTACCTGTTTTTAACTACTTGCTCTAATTCAGGTCAGGAAACAGGAGAGAACCCAGCCCTAACTTGTCCAGCTTTGGTGGCTTTTTATCCAAAACCAAACAAATATTCTGCCCAAGTACTTCTCAAAAAGCAAAAATGAGTAAAAAACACCAGCAAAGAGGTGTTTGGGATGTCTTGCATAGCAGAAATTCTCTGGAGGAGATGTGTGTGAGGAAAATTCAATACACTAAATCTGTAGACTGGATTAAATCTGTAGACTGGATTTCTATTCTCTTATCAAGGACAGGATTGATGAGGAACAGTGAGAACATGATTTTTTTGGGGACTCCTTTGGTTCCTTTTTGTGTCCCCTGAAGAGCTGCAGTCCTGACCACCACAAATCACGAGGTGGGAGTTCTTTCTTCAGTAACCAGGGAACTGATGAAGGTCAGGAGAGCATTTCCCCAGGGATATTTTTATCCACAGTTTTATCACTCTTATTGCAGTTATATTTTGTGTTTTTCTCTGCACCTTTTCTTTGGCCACTATTAAAAAGGGGTTCAGTTGCTAAATGAATCCTGGTAACAAAAATAATTACAGTTGTCTTCCATCTGGATGACAGAAAACATGGAGATATCCTGCTCTATCAGAACTGATGATGAAGGAGATGTTTATATATATTAATGTACCACCAGACCACAAAATACTATTTATCTCTTTCAGACATGAGATGTGGATTTCAACATGTGACTTTTTCACTGATACCAATAAAATACAGTCATTAATAATATCCCTGCTTTTGAAATTTTATGTTTCTCTACAAGCACTACGGATATAAAGACTAATTAAAAAGTGAATATATATGATAAATATATCCTTTTCAGATATTTTTTCTATACACTTGAATTAAAATTCAAGTAGTTTTCAACATTAAGGATGTATGTTGAGAAGAGGTTGTTTCAGTAATGAGATCATTCCATTGGAACCTAAGATTTGAACATAAATCTCCTTTCTCAAATACCACTAACAATTTGCCAGATGTGTAAGTTCTGTTTCATTATTAATAGAATCTGTAAGTGATAAAGGCATAAAATGATTATATTTAAACATTTCACTGGAGTAAAAGGAATGAAAATCTGCCCATTAAAACAAAGTTTCTGTGTGTAGTTTCTATGGTGTAACATTGTATTTGACTCCATAGAGATAAAAACCCTCCAGCCCATCTTTTTCCTAAAACATGATGTCTTTTAAATCTTTTATCTCTTAGTTCCAGCTAAAAGTCATCAATTCCTTCTAGACTCACTTCAATTTCTCATATATAATTCTTTTTTTTTTCCAAGACAGGTGATGTTTTGAACTTTCCATTTGCAGAAACATGATTGAGTTTTTTCTCATTTTTTTATATATATATTTATTTAAAATTGGAGTGAAAACCAGGAATTCAGATTTTTTTTTTTATTTTATTTTTTATGAAATGAAAGTGTGAGAGCCCCACTTTTAGTTTCAGTCTGCTTCAGTTTAGCTTTGGAACTCTTTGAGTCACTGTTTGTATCCTCTGCCACCAATATTTGCAGTCCTAGTGAATGTTTTACTGCAGGCTCTGCTAAGGAGAGAGAGCAAATATCTAATATTCAACACACTCATTAAATGAATGACCTTTCTCATTTGTCACTGGGAACTCATAAATATTTAATTTCCTTTCTGTATTACCTGATAATTTAAAATAAATCACGTAGAGTAACAAGCTTTACCTTTATGTCAATTAATGAGAGAGCACTTACAGGAGAAAATTAATAGTAATAACAACAGCACTACTACTATTAGTATTAATCCTACTAATAATGCTAATAATACTAATACTCCCAATTCTAAGGATACTACTACTATATTTGATACGATTGAAATAATCAGTTTATAGTAAGACTGTGTGAATTTAAGCTCCAGTTACTCTCCAGGACAAAATATCAGGTAAATCCCATGAAATACCACAGCATTTTTCAGAGTAACAGGTAGATAAAACCATCTGTGGTATGAATATGACACGATGCACACAGAATTTCGGTGATAACTGTGGTGATAATTCAGTTTTCTCATTTGTCTGGCAGGAGTTTTGCAAAGGTGTGACAAAGATTCGCCATAGAGGGCTTGCCTGGTTAATCTGTGTCTTTATCACCAGTGAAGTGCTGATATTTCCTTTATTGGTTTTGTGCTATTTTCAGGTTTTTCTCCTCAAAGACGGTGGAGAAACGTGGAGTAACTTCAGAAACTTGTACTGGTTTACTCTGAAATTGAGGCAGTTTTTAAAAGAGAAATAAATTTGGTTTTCTTTTAAAATCTACATCTATTTAAAAGTGTATTTTCAATCATAAAATGATTTTTTAAAAAATTAGATTACCCTTATTCATACTAATAATCCTACAAATCGTTACAACTGTTCTCGTGTCTAATTGAATCAATTGTACAGGGATTGTCTTTTTAAATTTAGATGAATTTTCCTCTTCTTGAAACTAAGAATAAATTGCAGTGACCCAGGTGGTTCGAATTTTCCTTTTAACGAGTTTTAGACCCTGAATTATAGTTAATATTTGTTTCTATTCTTCTAATAAAGCAAAAAAAAAATCTTTCTAAGCATAAATACAATTTAATATCCTGTATTATAGTTTCAGCTGGTTTTTTTTCCAGTGTGAAGTAATGATAGTGCTCTAATAAGATCTCTGAGCTGAAAGTGTATCTGAAAGCAGGACTTTCACAAAGACTCACCTGCTTCCTTGCCATTAATTTTGGTGACAATTGTGCTGTTGCTTCACAACCAGAGTCCTTTGGTCACAGCTGTGATCTGAGAGGGTCGCAGATCGAAAAGGGATCAAGACCCTTTTTGACCCCTGTTTAACACAATGTATGTTGTGTTCTGTGAATTTGTTGTTTGTTATTTTTAAAAACCTAAACATTCTAAAATTAGCCCAACCACGAGCAGGAGAGCAGAGGATAAGGAGCTGGTTTTGCATCCTGCAGGTGTTTGAATTTAGAACCCAAGTGCCCATTTCCCACAGAGACAAAAATCAGTGTCTGGATGAAAGCACTGAAGGGCAGTTCTTAAAAAAAAAATATATAAACAAGGCAACTTCTGATCTTTTTTAGAGATAGTAGGAAGCCACACAGTTACTGTGCTGGCAATTGTGTGGATACAGCAGCTTTCTAAAGGTGAGAAATATCTGGATCACACATTGATCTGCTCCTGCTTTCAGACTTTCTGCTTAGTTCTGTGCAAAAGTTTGCACTGGAAAAAAGAAATAAAGGAGGAGAAAAGGCAAACTTTTGGGTTCTCTCATGCAAACGTGCAGGTTTGGTCTGCTGTGGGTTGAAAAACACAAGTCAAATAATTAATTTGAAACTTTTCTTTGTATTAGGTCTGGCCAAAGGTAGATGATCATGTTCAGGAAGGAGTACAAGTGAGGACGTATATGAAGAAAAGATGATTCCACGTAAATGATATGGTGAGTTGTGTTTATTCTCTGCTATCAGATGAGAAGTCACAGTCCTTCAGATTAGTTACCTGAACTTTCTTTCTGGGATGTCCAAGACATGAACTGTATGGGATCTGTGGCTGCTGATGGCTTTCAGAGCCATGGGTCTGCATCAAGCCCAGCATGAGCACGAGATTGTTTCAGTCCTTTCCTTTGCTCAGAGAATATCATCAATCCCACTGTGCAGCACTTCTTTCTGACTTTATTGTGTGAATCCAAGTGAAATTGTGTCTTTTCCTGGAGAGCCAAAGCTCACTCGTGGTGTAGAGAACTTCCCAGGGTGGGAAAGTCCATTATTGTCCTACTCTCCTTGAAGAACCAACCTGTTTAAAATCTGATTTGTTAAATAGCTGAATTATTACTTCTGGCAGAAGAACACGCTGTTGGCTTAGATTTGCTGCTCAGACCTTGTGCTGATGATTAGCCTGTTAGATTTTAAACTAAAATTTCACCTTGGCCAGGCTGGTGTCCTTTCACAATTACAGACAGACTTGGTGAAAGGTTATTTCTGGACAAACTGGTGTTCCTGTGGGAATTAGACTGCCTATGATGTTCCTATGGGAATTAACCTTTGCATTAGATGGTTTTTGGTCTTCAAAGACACAAAATAAAGATTTTATGTCTCCAGAGTAAAAGCTGGGCATTCAAAAACCAGATTTTGTACAGGTATAAAGAGGGAGTAAGACAGTACAGGTGAGCTCTGCCAAGGGGTCCCGTTTTTCTGACAGTAGGCAAATGAGAGAGCCAAAAGGATAATATTTATGGAGGTGTGAAAAATCCACAGGACTCTGCACTTCCCATTTTCTTCTTGCTGTGTTTGCTGACTCCTTCAAATGTTGCATCTTAATATCACTTAATTTTTTCCATAGTATCAAAAGTGTTATAGAAAAGGTAAATGTTCTCCTCTTCTAGAATGATTCACTTGAAAAGTACAGTTTTGTTTCTTCTGTGATATATTTTTGGAATACAACTTGGAATTATACTACTGCAAATGAAAATATAATTTACTGATCAAATGATTTAGTGAAAGGAAAAATGAGTGCTGCTTGACTAAGGTGGACCTGATGAGATGTGTTGAATCTGCCATTACATCCTTCAGGAGAAAACTGGACTTTGTTTTATTTAGAAGGGATTGATCAGCGGTGTTTTTCGAGCCTGTGGTATTTATATTAGTTTACCAGCACAACGGGGTTGTTTAAGAGCTCTGCCTCGGTAAAAGCAATATCCTAATTATTGCCAAATCACTGCAATTGCCTGGTGCCACTTGTGCCATTGTATTCTCATCAGGCCTGACCTCACGCTCTGCAAGGTCTCCCCAAATGTTGACTGAATTGGTCATTTATTGATCATCCCTTCGTGCTAATGCAGTGCAACATTTCACGTGCAATTGAGATGCTTATTAATTCAGAGCAAGGTGGCAGATTGATTCCCACAGGAACCTGCTGGGACAGGCATTGCATTACCAGGAACAAGGATACTGGGGAGGGGAAAAAAACAGAGGGGAAAATAAAGGTGTTGAGCTTTGCATTTAGAGAAGGTGTTGGTGATGTTTATAGTCTTAATAGTCTTCTGAACACCATCAGTCCTTTAACTGCATCAGTATTTAAAGAAACTTATAAATGTTGTGTAGAGGAGTTTCAGGTAAATCCTGAATAATAAAACCCATAAATAAATAGATAAATAATAGATTAAATCTTTATAGACTGCGAAGATAATAGATAATATTGAGTGATAAAAGCCTACTTCTCTGAGCAGTCACAGAAAGTGACTTTCTGAGCTTTCTTGTCTTCGACACAATGAAAACATAACCCCCACCCAGCTCTTTTCAGGGCAACAATGTTAAACAAAGACAAAAAAAAGTTTAGTATGCAGTGCACAGAGTCTCAGATAAATTGCCTTCTGCTTTATTTGGGAAATGGTCTCGAAATGCTGCTCGAACCGGATTGTTTTACTATCTGTTTTTCAAACATCTGCTTTAATTGAGCTCTGGGGATACGGGGACCCAAGTTCTAATTTACTGTGTTGTTAAGTAGAAAGGAATTTAAAATCTTACATATCTGCCATGTTTGGTTGTTTTGAAATAAATCATCTATTGTTTCTGCAGGCAGGCTCTCAAATATCGACCCACAAATACACACACATCATATTATTTGTATTTTCAAAAGAATATGCTGTACACCAGAGTGGTTTCCACTGTTTCCATAGTTAGTAATTTATGCAGAGGTCTCAGCAGTTTATTGAGAGCAAACTATGAAAGGCACTGCATGGAAAAGTGTGGGTTTCCAAACTGATGAAAGTCTATGCAGAGCTACTTCATTGGTGGGATTTAATGGTATTAATTTATATTATATTTATATTAATTTTACAGCTGCATCTCAAACAATTACCAGTGACAGTTTTCCTTCCTGTTCATTGGTGGTTTTATTTTTTTTTTAATTACTAATTCTACTGTTAAAATTATTAACTATTAACAATAATTTACTGTTAAAATTACTATTAAAATTACTGAAAGCATCTGGGTTTTCATTAAAATTTTAATTTCATAGAAACATGGACTCAGGAATCGCTACAGAAGAAAACAAATGGACTTAATATTTCAGTTTGCACCAAAGACCACTAATTCAGCTCCACAACCACCAGCCCTTAAGATTATTTAGTTGACTTTAATTATTTTTCTTAACCAGATTGAAAAGACATTAAGTGTGAAATAAAAAACTAAATAGCAGATATTCATGGATTTTTACATATTAAATCCACTTCTACGTTATTTAAATGCTGATCATTAATTTAATCTCTCTTTTTAATTAATTGTATTCACATTTAAGAAGCTTCCAGAGAGCTTGTGGCTTGATGTTTCAGAAATCACAGTAATAAGTGGGTTTAAGGCAACAAATGGTTTAGTGGCCATGGTGGGATTTAGACAAAGGTTGGATTTGATGACCTTGGAATTCTTTCCCTCCCTTTCTGGTTCTGTGATTCTGTGATATATTTTCATTTGGTGAACAAAGAGGGGAAATTTGGGCTTGATTTTGTGGCAGTTTTCCTTCCTACACAATCTAAATAACCACATCCACTGGAAGGGAAGATCCAGCACATCTAGTGCTGTAATTCCTTGGAATTATTTGCAGGCAACAGGCTCCACAAGTGGCCTGTTATAAAACAAAAGCCAATTAATTAATTAGTTAGACTTTTGTGCTTGCCCTTTTAAAACCATAATTCACCTCCTCAGTCACCTTCAAAAGACCAGGTTAGAGGTGTTTTAGTCTGGAACTAGAGTTAATCTCGAGGCCTGAATGCCATTAAAATCAAGTGCTTGAAGGAATATTTAACTGTGTTGGGGTCACTGGTGCTCATGGATTGCATTAGTGTTCCAAGGAGCTGAATTCTGATCAATTAAACACCGTCAGCACAGGGAAAAAAAAAGGGGGAGTTTTTAAATTAAAAGGTCAATTTAAGTGTTGCCAGAGCTGCTGGTGAAGTCACACTTCTGAGTGCCCCCTGAGGGAGATGTTTTGGCAGTGGTGGGACTCAAATATAAAGAAATTCCATGGCTGCTTTTGCATGAGGATCACAAAGGAATTAACTACAACACTTTTGTCTTGAATAGGCATTAATTTATATGATTAATGTATTTACTTTCATTAACATGTTTTGCTCATTCCAACAATGTAATAAACTAACAGAAAGGCTTTTATTTATGAATTTACTGGAACATACTAGAAATGACCATTCTTATGCATAATTTTATCCACTGCAAGTTTCAGGAGCCTGGAACAGCTCCTACAATGCAGGAAGGAAAAGGATCACTTTGACCTGTACCTGAAATCTCTTTCACCTGAAAAAAAATATATCTTTATTCTGCTGTTTCGTGGTGTTCTGCAAATCAGGGTTTTATTGCAAGTGAAACAACAGCCACACATCTGGTAGGAGAAAGGATATAAAAGTGTTAGGGATCTGTCCATATATACAAATGTTGATGAATAAGGCAAATAATTAACCAGTGGCTTACTGTTATTTATTAATTCTTTATGACAATTACAAACTGCTTGGTTGACTTGTTTTTCTTTATTTGTAAATCACCCCTGAGTGCCCAGGGAGGTGTGTAAATGTTGGATTTATGGAGCTTTGCAGCTCCAGCTCCAGCTTCTTTTGTGCCTGGCAGTTCCATGTGGCCTGTGGGACTCTGGTTTTCCATCAGGAGCTGTTCCTCCTCGGTCCAGTTGGGAAACTGGAACAGGGACAGGTATTATATTATAGGGAAATTCAATCTCTGGGTACAGTTCTCACTGAGGTAAATACTGATGGTGTGGAGTAATGGTAAAAAAAAATAAAGAAATGGTAAATTCTCACATCGCTCTGAGTGAAATGTGAATTGAAATAACTTTAACATCACTTCTTTTGAACACTGTAAGTCAAATCTATAGTGTTTGTCCTCTGCTATCAGCACAACTATATGAAGGATATATTTTTTCAAGATGTTATCTTTTTATTAAACAATAATTCTGTTCTCTTTCAGCTCTGCCTCATTCAGGATCTCTAGAGACCAGACTGATCAGTACAGAGATTTTGTACTTCTGACAGTGGCCACTCCCAGTGATGGAGGAATCGTTGGTGCAAAGTGTTCTGCTGTGAGGGCAGGTGAAAATCCTGATCTCAGGTAAGTGCCAAAAAATGCAGAGCCTGTTGAAGTGGGAGAAGGGATGCCCACAGGGCACACAGCTGCTCCCCTCTGATTCCCGTGGAAATATCTGCTGGCTGTGCAGATGCCTGGGGTGAAAAGACTTACAGCTCTTTTACACACACTCCTCTTGCATAACTCACTTCATTACTGGAGCAGCTGTCCCAAAAAATTCAGATTGTCACCACACTACAGAGCTTTTTGTGAAAATTACATGTCAAGGCACCCCCTGACATGGCCTGATGGTGGTCACAACAACCTCCTTTCTCTCCCTCATTTTCTATTTGTCAGTCCACACCCACTGACTGAAGACAAGAATTTGGGTTTTTAAAGCCACAGGGTGATTTTCAGGGCCTGGCAGAAATATCAGAGCGTTGTATCACAGAATGTTCTGAGTTGGAAGGGACCCACGAGGCTCACAGAGCCCACCCAGGGATCAAACCCCCATCACACCACCCTTGGTGTCGTGGTTTGCCCTTGTACAAATGCCCACAAAAATATTTTAGGGTTTGTAATTTGTGCCAGCTGATGTCTGCTACAAAACAATATATTTTTAGTTATTTATGTTGCATAAAGGAAATCGTATTGCAGGGAGCAGTTACTTGTCTTCTGATTTTACATTGATTTAATCCTAAATTTCGTGCTTTCACTTTGAAAGAGAAATCACAAAAATATCTCCCAAGTCAAGAAAAAGGCAAAAAGTTTATTGCTCAAATTTATTTTAGTGTTTAATGCTTGGATTTTGCCCTGACCTTTCTCCCACAGACCCCATTTGATTTCCTTCTCCACAGTGCTCATCCCACAATGTGTCCATTAATATTAAACGTGTACTTTTGGGCACTCAGGCAGCCTCAGCAGGTTTTATGGTTATGACCAAAGAGATTAAAGTGTTGTTTATCCACCCTTTACAGATTATTTGCTGTTTGTTTTTTTTTTTTAATATTAGGTTCAAGTTATACCTTACGTTTCCTTCTTCATTTCCCGAGCCTTAGGGGTATATGAACACCATAAAGTCAGAACCCAGTCATATATGCTTTGAAAGTAATTTTCTATCTTTTCCCCACACCCCATCTCTATTTAAATTTCCTCCTAGATACAGTTAAATCCATGAAATAAAATAATTGCTTCTAAAACCTCTTAAAATTGGTAGTGGCTGGTAGTAAATTTGGACGCTTCTCACAAAATCCCCAAACTTCAACAAATTTCTCATTTACCTCTAAGCTGGTCTCAGTTAAGAAACGTGTTTTCCGCTGGAAGAAAACTTCAAACAAAGCCCAGATGTTTTGTTTTGGGGTTTATTTGTTTACCTTTTTTTTAACTTTTTCTAGAATATTTTGATTGAGTATCTATTTGGGGGCCAAGTACAAATTTAATTACACTGGTTTACTACTAAAAATCCACCGGGGCAGATTCATGAACCAATTACCTCAATTGCCCTGTGGCTCCTTTTAGATTTAGTAAATACTTTCATTTTTTATCTACTGCTTGTGCTGTAATGAAGCAGATGGATTTCAGTGCTCTGAACCAGTGGTTAATTTTCAGGTTTGTTTTTTTTTTTTTCCTTTTAGTCTCAGTAAACTAAGCAGGGAGAGCTATTAGCTGGTTGTAGAAACTACCAGCACATCTGTCAAATTAAATGGATACTTGGGCATTGCAAATGCCCAGCTACAAGTTTCCAGGCTGTGCATGAGCCACCAAATTAAGTGAAGATTGGTAACAGTTGGTAATCATCAGTGTTTAACATGACTCTTGTATTTGTAGCTATTTTTTTCATATTTATTGATTTTTAGGCAAATTATTTTTTCAATTGAAGTGGTAGCCAACAACAGCAACACAAGAAAAATAAACTTTAGGTGTAGTTGTCCTCCTTTAATGTAATTCCTGAAGATGGTAGAAATATTTTGGGTATTTGAGTTTCAAGGGATAATGCAGCAAACTCAAACATTCCTAATGGCATCCCAAAGGTGAGGCTGGAATTTCTCAGAATTAAGATTTAGCTACTTTTTTAAATGCAACAAAATAGGGTGAGAGATTAATTAAAAAGTAACAAGAACAATTGTTGGAGATGCATGTGGAAAAAGAGTGTATGTTCAATATGCATTAATACACAATTATACACTAAACACAATTACAACCATTTTACAATTGTCACTACCAGAGTAGTTTTCTTTTCAAAACTAGGCTTCTTTAGCTGGAATGATCAGGCTTTGTTTGTCTGAACTTAGTATTTATGATTATAAATTATCTAGTCATAACTGAAGGTATTTGCATAGGAAAATTATCTTCCATCAAGTAGGATTTTACTGCATGTGTTTTAATACTGTAACAGCTTGTTAGCACTGAGATAATTAAAGGGATACTGTAAACTCTAATTTAGTCTAAAAGTAACACACCCAAAAAAATAAAAAAGCTGTTATGGAACTTATGATTATTCCTAAATATTCTCATAAACTGAAGGGGGAAACATTTAAGGGAATTTAAAACTAAAAAAGCTAAACCAAATAAAAGTAACTAAAAGCAGCTATTGCATCACTAAACCCAGGAAAATGATGGGATCATAGAATTCTGAAGGCTGGAAAAGACCTTTTAGATCGTCAAGTCCAACAGTCAACCCCCATCAGCATGTTGAGCACTAACCCATGTCCCCAGTGGGGGACATCTGCACATCTTTAAATCCCCCAGGGAAGGTGATTCCACAAGCACCACATGAGGGAATGGGACTGGCTAAATTCAGTGCCCTTTACCCGTGACTGCTTGTAAAGGTGCCCCAAAGTATTCTCCTCAATCAAGTCCTAATCCCTTTATTTATTTTTTTATTATTATTATTTTTTTTTTTTTTACTGGATGCCCAGCTGAGAGTGGAAATTCCACTTTATAAAGCTGGGAAATGTTTAATTTTATCTCAATATGTTTTTAAAGCCTTTCCCAAACCTCTCTCGAGCTAATAAAGCTCACTAGCTGGGGGTAAAAAAACAAACAAACAAAAAAATCATTTTATTCCTTTTTCTCCTTGGTTGTTTATTTTTGTCTTGTAGGAAGGGAAAATATCTTAATCTTATTGATGTGGCATCTGTCTGGAAAGAAGATAATCTTTGAGCTTTGCCCCTCCACACCTCTCTTGAAAAAATCTTTAATCCTTACATGAGTCCTAGTGCCCTGGTACCTATCAAAGAGACTTCATATCAAGTCAGAGTCTTCCAGCATCAGTCATTAAAGGAAATACAGCACAGAAAGGCTGTGCCAAGATTCAAATTGTTGTGCAGTTGCTGTGGTTTGTTATTGTAAATGAAACACAAAATCACAGAAGGTTTGGGTGGGAAGGGACCTTAAAGCTCATCTCGTTCCACCCTCTGCCATGGGCAGGGACACCTTCCACTAGCCCAGGTTACTCCAGCTCCCCTCCAACCTGGCCTTGGACACTTCCAGGGATGGAGCAGCCACAGCTTTCCCTGGAAACTTCTGTCAGGGCCTCCCCACCCTTCTAGTAAACCTTCCTTAGCTCATCTTAAGACCATTTCCCTTGTCCTGTCAAGTTTTGCCCTTGTGAAAAGTCCCTCTCCAGCCTTGTAAGCCTCTTTAGGTACTTATGTTTATTCTTGTTGATAATTATATCAGAACAGCATTAATCTATCCACGTCTCAGAGCTGATTTCTGGAATCACCAAGGCTCTACCTGCTTTCAAGAGACCTCCTGCCCAGGAGCTGGGTGAACAAGAGAGTAGAAAATGCAGCTGCAGCTACTTCAGTCTGCCTGGCACTGCTGTGCTGTCTGTGCTGGGACAGAGATTGCCCTGAGATTTGGAGTCTGTAAACCAGTTTTTGACTATAAAACAGCCCCACACTTCTTACCTGTGCTTATACATTCCTGACTTGGATGTGCAACAGACAATACCCACCTCTGTTTCCAGTGCAGTGAATGAGGAGATGGTAAATGAGAAGCTCCTCAGGCTGTGTGAGGGCAGAGATTTTTAGGTCTTGAAATAAGACCTGGGACTGCATTGAAATTATATTGTTTTCTTCCTTTTCTGTCTTCACCAGCTTCTTTTGAGTTTTCAGAATGGTCACTGTGAGTTGTTATGCGTGGCAGGTAAATGCTACTGGTGCCTTGCTCTTCTCAGATTGATAATGCCATAAGTCATAATAAGTCATTAATAAGTCATAATGCCATAATTTCCATAAATTGTGTTCTTTGGGCTGTAGAAAGAGTGTGGACTGCAATGCTGGCAGTGATCACCGCAGCAAATGCCTCTGCCTTGTGTAAAGGCAGCTGAAAGAAATAAATGGGATAGAAACAGGTTAGTTGTGTGATAATTAAACAAGAACTTACTCCAAAGCAGTCGTTTTTGTGATCAATACACTTGCTTATAAAGGGCAAACACACAAGCATTCTCTTATTCTATTAATTAGGCAAAAGCAGACTTGTCTCTCCCTCTGTGCTGATGGAGTGAATTAAGTGTTGTGAACAGGGAAGAAAAGTGGTGTAATATATGGGAAAGTAACTGATAGGAAAGGGAGATGAAATATTCTATTCAAGATGTTACAATCTCCTCTCATTTTATTCCTACTGTGCAAAGGCATCAGAGGTGCATACTAATAACAGTGAATGTAAATGCCTGTGCTGGCTCTGGGTCATTATCTGAGCAGCCTTTCTCAGCAATTGTCCTGAGATTCCCATCCCAATCAGCTCCGTGCATTGTGGGGAAAGTTCAGCTTAATATTTTCATTTATGTCTTCAGATTTGCTCTAAGTAGGAGGAACTTGCCTTAAAAATGATCTCAAAACCAGGTAATGATTGCACTGCAGGTTGCACAGATGGTTATTGATCAAGGCAGAAACACGGGGATCATTCAGACATTCACATCTCAGGTGTTTGGGCTTTTTAACACTCAGACTAAATTTTCTGATGATGTCCCTCAGTAAAGAGGTAAACCCATAGAATTATCTTTTCCTGGGTTTTGTTTGTTTGCTTTGTTTGTTACTTTCTTTTCATTTTGTTTTTTCATGTCCATTTCTAAGACAATTAATGAGAGTGTGGTTAATTAAGAATGAATGAAGAAGTTCTAAATTTTGCATTAGGTCTCTATTTAGGATGTTTTATTCTAACAGTACTGTCAAAGAATCACAAAAAGGTTTGGGTTTTGAGGGACCTTAAAGATCCTCTCGTTCCAACCCCCTGCATGGGCAGAAACACCCTCTACTAGACCAGGTTGCTCCCCTATCTACTTTCCAAGCTCTGGATTTTACAAGAGCTGGATTAAAAGCTCAAACTGCTTTAAAAGTTGCTCAAAGGTGGCAAATCTATGTCAGTGTTTTTTTTATCATTCAGCTGTGATTTCACTACCAAAAAGATGCACAGCATTTGGGTGCTCACATTCACTGGCACTGGAAAGGCTCTTTATTAAATGCGAAATTAAAAAAGAGCCAAAGAGAAGAAGAAACCTTTCAAAATCCCAGACAATACATTTTATTGATTGCCTAATCTAAACAATCATTCCTACATACTTATCCTAATCTCCCTATTTCTGACTTCACTGGGGACATAACGATGCTTCAGTGGTGTTTTCTCTGTATCCATACATTCCAAATAAGTTTTTTTGAACACTTCAGGTTTTGCAGGCTTTTAAAATTTCTCCTTCAACGTTCCCTTTCACTAATGAACACTAACTCTCCACTGAACAGAATTCTTTAAATATTTTACTTTCATCATAAGACCCAGTCACCATTTCTTTTGCAACTTAAAAGTTATTATTTCCAGTAATTCTTCTCCTCTTCACTTTTACATTCATCCACTCACATCAGAGGTCACTCCCTTGACCTCTTCATCATTTTGTGGTGTGTGTATTCTCCAGGCTTCTTTCTGTCATTTGATCATTGATCACTTTTTCCCCCCTCTCTTTACAATAGATGTGCCAATGCCAATTAATCTTGAACTGCTTGTTATTTTGTGACCTTTAAAAAGGCCACGTCTCATGATTTATTTGCTGCTGCTGTGTGTGTGTTTGGATATTGTTTTGCTGTGGTAGAATCATGGGCTTTTCTCTGCTTTGGTAATTCATTTCCCTTTCTCTAAATGAAAACCCATCACGACATATTGACATTCTCACTCCAGTGGAGAGTGGTAAATGTTATCTGGAGAACTGTTCTGTTTGATTTCCTAATTTTAATTGCTTGAGGCAATTCCTGCAGCACTTAAATTAATTACAGTGAAGGAGACTTCTAGACCCTGCAGAGGGAATGTGGCTGTGCTGGGGAGAGCAGCAGGATCTGGGATGGAGACGTGGATGGAGTGGGAGGAGACGGATGTCACATGATGGTGATGGCAGTGCAGCACTGAAGAATTTTGGAGAGGTGGAAGACAAGGAACAGAGAAGGAGGAGCTTGTGGATATCTTCAAGTGGAGGATCAGAACTCTATTTTTAAAAGGTAAGGGGCCCTTGGCTCTTTTTTTTTTTCCTATTTTTTTTTTGTTCAATCTGGTTTCCAGCATACATTTTACTGGTTTTCACTATTACTATAAAACATTCACAGTTTAATAGTTTTATAACATTTCTTCTTTCATTTTTTTTTAATAGATGAAGTAATTCTAATATTTCAAAAATAAATGGCACTTTTTAGGTCATCTTTTTAAGAAAAGGGTCGTTATCTCCTCTCCTGGGTAAGTACAGCTATTCATGTTTTTATGTTAATGTGTTTCTCCAGAATGTAATAATCGTGTTCTTTCTCTGTGTAATTCAAATAGACTTCACAGGAGACATCTTTGCCTGCAGGGGCTGGAGAGGGCAAATATTAATATAAATTTAACTATTGGCAACTACTGCTATTTGACCCTCTCATAAGTTCTTGTCTGTCCTTTACGTGAGATCTGAGTCCATATTTTTGACTGACTTGCAAAAAATTGAAACTAAATATCAGCACACCAGAGTATGGCTTGGACAGCCAGAGTTTTCATTTGTTTCAGACCTCATATACTTATCTTAATATATGGAACCTTGTTCTAAGGATCATTTTTACAATTTATTTATGTAAATCACTGGAATCAAACCATTTATTACATAGTAAGGAAAGTACCACGGGCCAAGGGTTGAAGTCCTGTCTCAAGGGAGGAATTACAATTGAAAATAAAATCACTTATTTGTGGCTATAACACTGATCAAATCCATCCCAGATGAGATATTCAAGGCATGCTGAACCTGACATTGATTTTTTTCAATTCCAAGCCACAAGATTTTGCTGCTCACCCTGGAGGAAACGTCTGTTAAGGTTGTTTTACTTGCTGGGATTTAGCCCAGATCAAAGTGTTCCAGGTTCAGCCCAGTGTGTCACTGACTGACAGACAAGTGTCACCTGAGGAACATGAAATGCATCCAGGCTGATGAAATCCTTGCCTCGTGGTCATGCCTGTGGAGAGCTGTATTTCTGGGTTGCAGGCATCAAAGTGTTTTGAACTGAGCTAAGGGTACCAGTAATTTAACATATCCTTGCAGGCTCCTACCCAAAAAGGGTGGGGATGAAAAATAACAGTTCCTATTTTCTTCTCCCAAATCGGAAAGCTGAAAGTCTTAAGCCAGTGTTCACAAGTTTAAAAAGTCTGTGCTAAGCCCAATTTATAAATAATCATCCCACCTTCTCTCTTCCAATGTCCAAATGGGAAAATTGCAGCTGCTTTTGCTACCTGGCCAGGTAAGGATGGAATTATCCCTGTGTTTCTCTTCTTCACGTCTCTAAACAACCAGGCAAAATTTGCTGGCATTGTGGAAAACCTTGGCCTGGAATAATGGGGGAAGCAGATAAAACTGTGACTATTGCTTTGTGCAAAAGTGTTTGGTGTTATTGTGGTGGTGTGTTGATGGGCATTAAGTGATTTTTTTTTTTTTTTTGGCCTTTTAATATACAGCAGGTATGTCAAAACTCAGACTCAGGGGTTGTAAACCAGCAATATGAGTTCACCTGCACATTCCTGACTTCAGACAGGGTAAAACAACATGGCCTGAAGGTGTTGGCTTTAAATTAAACTGAATTACATCCCATTCACTGTGAGCTGAGCACACACATGGAGCAAGTGAACTAATTGAACAGTGTAATTTAGTGAGACACATAATTGCTCTGTGGGACTGGCTCTCCCAGCTTTTTGGAAAGAAGAGAGGAGGAAAAGATGAAGAAAAGTACATGTTCAGTGTTTGTCCCATCTAATGGACTGTAAGGACTTAGACAGGAGGGTAAAGTAAGAAATTTCCTGCTTTTCTGAGAAAACAGAGGCTTGCACTTGCTTTCACATCCTCTCTGACTCTCTGAGGCCGTTTAGACCTCCAAGGCTGCAGACCAGATTTCCAAGACAGAAAAATTCTACTGACACAATCCTAGAAAGTGTTCTGGAGAAAAAAAAACCACAAAAACACCACACCACGAAGTGAGTGTGGATTAATTCCAGTTATGTTATTACTACTTTTAATATTCACATTCTGTGGCACTCAGGAGGACTAGTCAGAATTAAGTGCTGAACATGCAGAGCGCAGGATAAATCCTTGTATCGTAAAGCATAAGCAAGGATTTCTTAAAGAAAAAAAAATTATATATCATCTCCCTATGCAGATTTACAGCCCTGCCATTATTCTCAGGAGTAGTTGTCATTAAGTGTCCATATCCACCTTGGAAAGAAATGACACAGACCTCCCTAACAGCCACAACACTTGGAATTTGGAATGTGCAACTCGATTATTTTTCTGAGGTAAAATTGACTTCCACAAAACCATACTTGGTCTGCCAACCCAGGATAGCACACAGGGAAGACTCTGGATTTTGCTAAATACTGGAATGTTTGCAGAAGAAAATATATTAAAGCTAAAAGAAACTTTTCAAAGTTCCTCACAGACCCATAATTACATGTTCAACAAAAAGCTGGATCCTCTGACAGGGAGGGATTTTTCTCCCAGCTCATAGAGGGAGGGTGAATTATGAGAATTGTAACTAAAATGAACTTCACTTTCAAATAAATAAAAGTAACAGGTCCTGTTCTACAACCTTTGAGAGAAAGGCTTAGTCCTGTTTGTTTCCCTGCATTAAACAAATTTTGGGAGAGGAAACAACACTGGCATATTTTCACAATTCAATTACCTTTAAGCATTTCTGGGAATCAATTTTACATTGAGACCATCTTTGGCTTCCTTGGCTGTGCCAGGTTTTTCCAAGTCATGCCATAGTAGCTGGACCTTTGTAATTTTAATTTTATTTACAGATTTGACAATTCCAGGAGGAAGACAAACCCCTTAAACTTGTCTCTAAGGTTATTTGGGAACAAAATCATAGTAGCTACTTTCCCAGAGGAGACCTCTGAGAATCAATTTTGTAAAACATGCTCATCTTGGTAGAAGAGACTGCAAACAGTGTGTTTTCAACTGTGATGGTTTGCCAAGAGGTAAAGAAATTAAGGCTGCTAAAGGAAGCTTCTAATGCAGGTGTATGAAGGAAGCAAAACATTTTAAATAATTACATTTATTCCCAGTGAAAATGCAAAAGGCTTTCAGTCTAAAGATAAAATTGAAAATATGGAATAGGTAGTAATCTTGAGTCCCTCTGTTCTTACGTCTGGTTTTCACATTCCACAGTTGGAAACTGGGTGTTTTCTGTCCTTGCCTGGCCCTCCTGCATGGATTTACTGGAGCTCCAAGTGCTGCTGGAGTGGGAGTGTCCCTGTGGGCTAAAGGGGGATCTCAGTGCAGAGCAGGAACTCCTCTTTCCTTTCCATCCATTGAAACTGGAGGCAGTTTTATCCCACCTGGAGTGCAAGGCAAGGCCTCCAGAGGCTCACGTTGTCCAGGTCACACTTGGGCTGTCACAAATTTCTCCTCAAGCAGGTTGTGGACAAAATCCTCACCACGTGTGCTCCTTCTTAAGATGACACAGACATCAAACAGAGCACAGTTCTGGTTCAGGAGAGGCAGCAAAGCTGTGTCATCACCTCTTTGTCACCTCAGAAAATGATGGATTTAAGGCCTCTGCAAGGACAGGAGCCCATTTCAGCTCTGGGTTTCTCTCTCCCGAGTTAACATTCCTCTCCCTCTCTCATTCATCTCTGCCAAGCCCAATGCTTAGAAGTCAAAAGACTTATGCACCTCTGCAAGAAGGTGTGATTTCTAGATCAATAGTGTCCTTCTAATACAGCAGCACAATCCATCCTGCACTGTTGGGTTATCATGAATCAGGAATGCAGCCTGAGCCCTTTGTTACCTTTGGCAATTCATCCTGCATTTTCAGGTCATTTCTTCTTTAGGTGTTTCACTCTTTCTTTCATATAACTCTACAGCAAACACTTTTTTTTCCTTCTTCTTCTCTCTTTCTTTTTTTTTTTTTTTTTTGGCAAGGTGCCCAGGCTTTAGAGGGAAAAAAAAAAATAGAAGAAAAAAATTCTTACATCCCCAGCCCTTCAATGGTAAAGTTAAAACTTCCAAACTGTTACTGTCATTTTTAAACCAGAAGAGTTGCCACCTTTCTAAGAACACTGGTGCGAGAAAGACAACTTGGTAGTTCTCTAGTGTTTGACATTTTATGTGCAACAAATATTGACTCCAACATTCCCTTGACAGAGCAGAAAAATTCATTTTGTGAATTGTATTGACAGCCTAAGTAGATTCTTTCTTTTCCCTTGAATAGGCTTCTCTAACTTATTAACTCAGCCTTGAGGGTTTTGAATATTTACCTCTAAAACTGAGATCTATTTACAGCACAACAAGCATTTTGATAGGCAAGAGACGTGGGATGAAGGTTACCATGTAATCAAACTTATTGTAAAACTTCAGAGAACACAAATGATAAGTAGATGTCCTTGTACAACAGGCCCTACATCATAAAATGGATAAATCAGCTTCAGGCAGACTCTAAAGTAACATATTCCCAAGTTTGTGACTTTCATTTACCATGATTTTCATTCCCCAGTCCAAGTTCACGTTGTGATGTTTAGGTAAATAAAAGGAAATTCAAAAATTCAATTCAGTTAATTTTATCTACTGAGAAAAGAACTTTGGTTTAATTAAAATAAACCTCACCATTTTGTACCAGAAAACACACCACGCCTTTAATTTTGATGACAAACAGAGAAGATAAATCTCCAGGAAAATTATTTAATGAATCATAATTTGATTAAAACCTCTTCTGTTTACCACCTTTAACAGCTCACCTGGAATATATCAGCTCTTCCTATGTAACAAGTTTTCCAAAAGTGAAAACTTAAGTTTTATAACTGATAAGCCAAATTTCAAAGCACTGACTCTGTCTCAGCTCATTTGGATCTCATGCCCTAAACAGACCAAGAGGAGCTTTTTCTTTACTTGTGGAGTCATCCATATGTGCCTGGATAAACGAAGATGAAAATTGGCTGCCTTTTTCAAAGGCTAAATCAAGAAACTTCCAACGTCTTCTGTTCTTTCTACAGATCCATCAGCATTTTCATGAGCCAACTGTGTTTCCCTTCAAGCTGCAGTTGGTTCAATCAAACAGGAGAAATCTGTTCAGATTCTTTGTAGCTGGGGGGAACTGAGGGAACAGCCCTTCTTCCTTAAAATCTCCTTGGTGAACTGCAGCTGTGGCAGTCAGGGGAGCTAATTAAACCCAATCCGTAGTTTTCCACACTTAGGTTAGGTGTTTGTCTTCTAACCTGCTGCTTGCTGTGTAAATATCTGTTTTATCACTTCAGTCTGCTCTGCAATAGGAGTGCAGCTTTTGGTGTATCCCTTGGCAACCCTAGCCCCGTGACCCCACAACTCCTCTGATCAACTCTCTGAGTTTACGCAGCAGGTTCCACGTTAGGGTGGCCCTGGAGGGGTTCCCTGGGAAGAGATCTGCTCTCCCATCACCTTTCCTTCACCTCTCCACTTTATTCTCTGTCTCAGGCTTCCTTCAGCGTGAACTTCTAACTCTCTGAAGCAGAAATGCTGTTGCAAAGATCCAGTGAACAGCGAGCTCCTTTACTAACTCAAGGCTGTCCTTCCAACTGGCTGTGCTTCCCGACCTTTCCCCGAGGGATCAGTCCCCTTCTGCTCCGTTTAGACTCATCTGGCAGAAGGAGTTTGGTTCCTCCAGAGCTGGAGAAGGAGGAGTTGCTCAGCTGAGAGTTCTACCCTGAGGGCAGGAACTGCAGGTAGCAGTGGAGTGCAATGTTTCCTGGCTGGAAGGAGGAATTGCTGCTGGTGATTCCACCCTGGTCTCTCCTCTCTCACCTCGAGGGACTGGGGTTGCTACTACCACAGTCCTGAGTGCAGTCAGAGCCTAGAAAGAAGTTCACACGTTCCTAATGATCAGAATAATAAAAGAAGTGAAGCCTGTAGAGTGTCTGCTGTGAAATAATCTGAGCCCTGCAGTTTCCTTTGACTGAGGGAAGCAAAGTCAAAGAAATTCCATGCCAGAAGCTCCAGTTAAGAGATACCTTCTACTCCATGGAATATATGCTGTTAAATATATCTGTGGATCATGAAAATTAAAAAATACTCATTTTTTATTATTTTTTTTTATTTTTAAATTTATAACTGCCTCTGAAGTAAATGCCTTTTACATTAGAGGTGGCTATAAATACACTGTCTCGCACAGTACCCGGTGTATTCACAATTGTGGGGGAGTTTAATGTTTGCTAAACAAGTTTCCAGAAATCAAAACAAGTAGTTGAGCATCAGTGAGGGAATAAAAGCCTCTTGTGCCAAAGGCAGACAAGAAGTAACCAGCCTTAGAGAGATCAGGAAAAGCATCATACACACGTTTAGATCTGTAAAAGTGCAGTGCTGAAATCCTGCCACAATCACCTGGGATAATCCAGGAATAAATCCAGGGAAACAGATATTCCAGCCCACATGGGAGGATCAGAAAGTGCTGATAGTTTACAAACAAATGCTGTGTGGCTGTGAGAGATCAATTCCACATATTCATCAGTACAATCAAATGATCTGCACTGAAATCTGAATAGCACTGTTAAAGGACAAGATCAGTAAGATCAAGACTGGAATTTGCTACTTTTCCTCCAGAACAGGAAAAGTGAGAGAACATTCCTGTGATTCCAGGAAAAATTAATCTTTTATTTTAAGTTTCTCAATCCCAGGTTGCTAGGAAACATTTGCAGTCTAACTAAGGGGAAATGAAATACTTTCCAGAGTTATACAATATCCCAGTGTTAAGTGAGGAGCACAATAGCTTAAAAGCCATCATTAGTGTCAAGAGCTGAAAGTACTGCAACATTCTCCATCCATTTTAAATTTTAGTGACTTTCATCTGGAATTTAATTTTTGTTTCCTTGGAAAACCAGAGAGCCTTTGGCTGAAAAAGCTCAGTGACAGCTGCATAATATCATTGGATATTCAAAGACTTTGTTTTCGGAGTTTAAAAGGTGATGTATGTGGAAAGCAGCCTTAATTTTTACTCTATAACAACATATTCATAGGTAATGGTAAATATTACTAAAGGTTAATTTTGATGTTGTGAATCAAACTGAAAGAGAAATAACACACTAGCTGAGGCTATATGTGTGTATATATATATTTATCCATTCAAAAAGGTCATTAGTTAATTAACCCTTAGATTTCTAGCACTAAATATATGTTAAAGGCAAGATAAAAGTAGGGGTTCATCAGCAATACAAGCAGCAGTGGATTAGGAGGTGGAAATGCTGGGATTTTAAATGTCACTAAACTAACTGTGGGCAACTGAACTGGGCCTTCAAATACTCTTAGATTATGGTGAAAGCTTAAAATATTTAAATATTTAGTTTCTCTAGACATCCACATCCAGCTCTGAACCTGTCAAACAAATCCCTCCCCAGCCTAAAAGATGGTAAATGCCATCATATTTAAATCACTTTACAGAAATAACCACACAAAGATTAACAAATCTACTTTGGTTAAAAATAGCATAAAGTCAAAGAAAAAAAGTTTCCTTACAGTCTTTCTCCTTAGTTTTCAACTCTATTCAAGCAAAACCATTTTGCAATATCTATTTGCTCTCCTTTGTATAAGATAATCAGACATCGAGGTTTTATTGTGCTGTGAGTACTTTTTCTCATTTCTCTTATAGAGATAATTTAATTTTTCTTCCTTCTCTCCACAGTGAAAACCTATAAAAGAGAAGAATATCCATCTTTTCCTGTTTTCAGCTTCACCCTGGGATGGACATTTTACTTATTTGTGTGGACTGGGTCACACAGTAGGTATGAATAGTCCAGTATTTTATCTCTAATGGTGGCCAATAATTGGTGCCAAGGAAATAAATAAGGAAAAAACCCCAGTAACAGAATAAGCACTTGTTACATTCTTAGTTTACAACCATCTCTTTATTGCCTGTCTATTTTGAAACATTTAATTGGCAATGCTTGGCCATGGTGAAAAATGTTATCTTTAAGAAACCTCAGCTGGACACTTTGTGCACTCCCATTTGGTGTCAGAAAACCCAACATCTATCTGACCTTCAGCATTTCTGCAGATGTGGTTTTATTAAAACAATAACACCACCTTTTTACCAGCCTAGTCAAAAGAGAAATATTTCTAAGGGGAAGGTGAACTCATAAGAAAATGTGGCACTTGTCATAAGTAAAATATAAGTAGTTTTGTCTTACAGATTTATCAACCTGTTTCTTGTAGAATCCAGGAGAAACCTGAGACATATTTGCCAGTTTACTGTTTAAATAGATTTGGACTCACTTGGTACCATTATTGTGGTGAAAATTCACCTTTAGAGTTCACAAAATGCCTCCAGATCATCTGCATCTGATCCTTCATGGCATCGTTTGCAAAGCAGGTATTCTGTATCAGTAGTATTTGATACTCCAACCGTCCTCCAAAATCTCAGGACTATTTTTATCCCAGGGTAGACAAAAACATCCTTTTTTTTTTTTTTTTTTTTAGCTAACAGTTCAGATCCAGTTAAGAATTTGAAAGAGAATTCCCTGATGCTTCCAGCACTCGGATGAGTGGCAGCAGACTTCAGAGCTGATGATGACTTTGAATCTGGGAGATAAAGCAGCTCCTGACATGATTTCGTGACCACCCCACAGGGATGTGAAGCAAATGCAAAGCAGCAAACAAAGCCCACACTGCATTCTTGGCACTGAAGGTTGATTTATTGCTCTTCCCCATAAGAATGACACTTTCCCTCCTTAGGCTGAGGGTTCAAGGTGAAGTCCAGACTCCTTATTGACTTGTCATTTGCTGGTGATGTTTCTACTAAGTCAAACAAACATCAGATTTTCTGCATCTTAGTAGGGAAGTGCAACCTGGGAAACTTTAAAACTGAAATCAGAGGACCCTCCAGAAGCCAAAGATTTGCAGTTTGAGAGGTAAGAAAACTCGAGGTAGAGATTCAGGGTCCTCTTTACCTTGGCTTCCACCTCTGTATGAGCTGCTGAATTCCCACAGGAGAGGAACAAGGAATTAGAGGCTCTAAGGATGTGTTTTACACTGCATAGATCCAGAAAATTGCTCTGTCCTGGTAACCCCTGTGATTTGTTTCCTGTGATTTTCCACTTCTTCTAACTTGCTTCAGAAAGGTACATTTTATGTCAATGTTTAACCTTTTTCAGCTGAAACAGAGGTTAATTCAGCCAAAGGAAACATTTAGCTGGGAGATTTCTTTTATTTACTTAGACCTCAGTAGATGTCTTGGAATCTGAACAGCTCTTTCTTGAAGGTTTTATTTTAATTTTTTTTTTCCCCTCAGAAAAGTACTTTTCAAGGACTCACAGAGGGTTGAAAAGTACCTAAAATATCTCTAAACTCAGTTCATTCCACATCTGTGTGGAACATGGGAAAACTGAGATATGTCTAAAAATCTTACTGTAGGCAGGAAAAAAATGTGGGGAAACCCTTGCTTGATGTTAAAGTTTCTTTGCAAGAGCCTCATTTGTCAGGTTTCAAACGACTTCTGAGGCTTTTGAGATTAAAAGGTAAAATCTCCCTCCCACCCTCCTGAACTTTGCAGCACTTCCTTTTGAACACATTGGAAACAGGTGGCACATAGAGAATTTTGATAACACCTGACTCCAACACTGCAAACTGAGAGCAGAAAAAATGAATTTTTAGAGCAATCAGATGGTTTATCTTTATTATTTCTGCCTCAAGCCACGCTTTTCCATACCTTACTTAAAAGCCCAACTTAAAACTCAAAATTATTGATCTTTCAAGTACTAGTACAAAAATGCTATGGCCTTTTGTGACAATAGAAAATTCCAACTTGTGGCACTTTCAGTAAAAACACTGAAGAGATGCAGCAAACAAGAAACTTTGGAGTGATGTTTTTATTTGGAGAGAAGCACCTTTACCAAAATGTTTTACTCTCTGCTCTGATAACCAGGGGTTAAAGGACAGTGAAGGACATTTCACCTGATCCTGCCTGAAATCAGAAGGGACTTTCTTTCCCTTAAATATAAAACTACAGATGTGCTGCAGGAAAATAGCCCAGAGCACCAGAATTAAGGCAAGTGCTCTGAAACCTCAGAAAATGTTGGAGGTCTTAAATAGTAACAGGAAGGGACACAGCCCTAAAATCAAGCAATGTTTAAAGAAATATCTGGGTAGACAGAAAAGGAAGAAACTACACAGATCTGGCAAAGGGTATCTTGGGAAGCAAGTGATAAAAATAGAATGCTACAAAGCAGTAGGATGAGGTGAGTATAATTATTTAAGAGAGGTTGAGAAGATATTCCCAGAGAATGCCCAAACCAGAAATTGTACAGATTTAGGGTTGGGGCTCTAGTAGATTTGGCACTAAAGCATATTGTTATGGCTTTGCAAACAGTTTAAGGAATCTCCTGTAGTTGTTGAACACTCCTGAGCTGAGAGGCTGGTTCCTTTCCCAGCTCTGTGCTAGCAATTTGTTGTCATGACCAAGGCTGCAAAAATCAGCCTAAAACCTAACCAGTTAAATCTCACCCATTTCAACTCAGAGAAAAACAAATTGCTTTTTGATTGAGGGCCTGGAAATTATACAACCTAATTTATGCCCACGAAGTGTTTTACAACAAATGATACCTCCAGCTTGTCCGAGATGTCACACTTGAATCGCCGCGCTTAAAACGCTGCGTGGCTTTGTTGGGAAAGGTCAAATATGTGGGTGGCAGAACACGTAGTACTGATTAACTCAGTAGCTGAAATGTTAGTGCAGATACTAACTAACATCACAGATTTGACTGGTAACATCTTCTGCGTGATTTGTTCACTTGAGGGGAGCAATTGGAGACAGCAGAGAGTACAAAAGAGGACTGGTTGTTATTCAAGCTCCTTTGTGCCTCTTTTTTTTCTTTCTTGTAGGCTGGGTTGTTCAGCTGGCTTGGGTTAGGAAAGAGGTTTCTGATTGGTTTGGGCAGGTTTTGGAAATATTTAGTGGTTTCTTGGTTGGTTGGTTTCGTACTTCTTTAATGTTTCAGTCTCCGTGGTTTCCTTCCTTGAAGTCTCTTTATTCATTTTACAAAGCCCTAAATCTCGACCCTCCAGTTTGTTTGTTCTTTGAAAATGGAGGTTGGTCGTTGTGGAGAAGCCTCCATTTCCAGGCTGATCACAGCAGGTGCCGCTTCTCTGACAATATTCAGATTAATAGTGATGTGATAAGTGAAACAAAATATATCCTTGCACAGACTGATCTCAACAGTGTCACCTAAATACTCCAAAATTCCTTTGATACTGATATGGTATTTCCTACGGAGAAGTTCCTTGATGTCCAGGATTAAAAACTACTGTCTAGTATTAAATACTTCATTATTTTAATTTTATTTAAAGAGGAGAGAAACTTTATTGCATTTGTCGAAGAAATTATCAGATAATTAATCACTTTGATATTTTGCTTCTTTTTATTCAGTTTAGATAGCCCACAAGGGAAAAACCACTGCAATATATAATTAACCCTTTCCATTTTTAATCTACCATGCATCCCTTATTTCTGTTCCTGGTTAGCATATCATGCATAAATGTAGGCCTAAATTTGAACCTCAGAAAATATGAATTCAGTTTTCCTTACAAAAGATTATTAATCTACTTTTATTAGCTCCCTAGTTGCAAAGAGATCCTAGTTTTTGATGCACTTCTGATGAGGCAGGAATTTTGTTATGTTGCTTTCCCTGTCTAGAACCTATCCCTGGATAAGGATATGATGTTGAAAACTAGCAGTGTGTGTATAATTATTATTAGTTCAAGCTAAATTTTGAAAGAGCAGGTAGTTCAAAGTGCACCTGGATTTAAATAAGACACTCTATAACTGCTAGAATATTAAAATCATTCTGCTGTTGGGATGTAGAGTTAAACTCTGTGGAGCCAGGAATTAAGTGATTATTACAGCAGTTGGCTGGCATGAATATTGGCCATAAAGATTTACAAATTACAATATGGAAGAGTTTTAAAACTTTAACATCTTACATTACATTCATCACATTCAATAAAATGTTATATTCTTCCATGAGCTTTCATCAGAGTGCAAAACTCCCTTCTCTCCGTCTTCTGCACACGTCTGGTGAAGTGCAGATGTTTTAAATCATCCTGTCATTTTGTTATTCTATGGTACTAAAAAATACAGTTACCAAAGTGTACAAGAGATTAATTAAAAAAAAAAAAAAAAGAAATTGTGTAATCAAATAGGCTTTCATTTTTTTTACCATTACATTTTTTTGGTTAGAATTCCTCTGTTACAGGAGAAACTTTTCAAATTCTCCATGAAGTCCTTTCATCTTGCGCATTTACGGAATTTATTTTCATTTTTAAATTAAGCAAAAAAAAATCCTCTAAGGTTTAAATGCATTAAGGTATAAAAAAGATCAAACTGAGGGATCCTTAAAGATTACCAGGTTTGACTGGTAGTTATCAAGGCAATTTTATGGGACAAAACTAAATTCCCAGAAGGCAAACACGGGTTTCGAATCCAGAATTACCTTTAAGGAGAGTCTATAACTCATAAGCACATGTTAAATGGATGTATTGGGGTCAAGAGAGGAATGATGTGGCATGACTGGCAATAGGAGTTAATTTAATTGAGATGACAGCTGTCCTCTAGCTGGCATCCCTTGAATAAATTATTGGACTTGATTAGTTTTTCTCAGGCTGCAAGATGAGATGAAGCTTTATATTCATTCTGAGAACTCCAATTTATTTGAACTTCACTGACAACTCCTCTGTCCCAGCTGCAAATCCTTCCAAGTCAATTTGGACACGTTTATTTACCTGAAAAAAAAAAAAAAAATCTGCCTTTCTGCTCCATCTTCAGCTTTGCAAACAAGGAACTGTTGGTTTAGGTCATGGGACTGTGACCTGTCTGCAATATTCGTGTCTTTGGTGGTGCCTTTTCAGCTGTGGGTGGTAACATGAACAGGCACTGTTTAAACTTGCAAGGTTATTTGGAATGTACTCTTTTATTAAGGCATATTTTAGCAGAGGGGATATTTTTTTGCTTCTTCCAGATATCCCTGAGCAAGGTGGAAATCGAATGATGTGAATTTATCAGAGCAGATGAAAATTATTGTTTACCTGCTGGAGAGGTGAAAAGAGCCTGGGCTGGCACTCAGCATCATTAGCTGGGAAGAATTCTCACAAAAGTCAGGAGGAGTTTTGAATAAACACAGACAGCAGGGCAATGTCCTTGGAGGTTATTTCTGTTGCAGATGAATCTTCCTATTCTGCATTACCACCTGTGCCCTCCCTTGTCTGACAAATTAAAAAGAAGCATCCCAGATATTTTAATAAAAACCACAGAGTGCTGCCAATATTTTAAAGGACAAGGCAGTGCCACAGATTATTGAAATTCAGAGTGATGAATAACAACTATAAAACATTTCAGTCTCTGATCCTATTGAACAGCCTGATCCATCCCCTTAAAATCAAATCAATAAATGCAAACCGAAGTATATTAATATTTTAAAACAATAACAGAGCTGTAACATGCTTATTGGAGGAAGGATCAAAGAGCAAATAATATCTCTGGACGTTCACCCATTGTTGTGATACTAAAAAGTACTTGAGTTGAGCAAGAATGGACAGAAAGTATCATGAACAAAACTTTTTATCCAGTAGATACTTTGCTGTTGTTTTGCTGAAAGACACCACTAATCCTGACTCCTTTATACAGTTCTGTTGACAGCTTTTATCATATTCCCATGAAGGATTGAGTGGTGTTGACTAAAAGGATTCAGGCATATTTCCATTATTATTATGCTGGATGTATATTAGTAGTTTGACATGATAGCTTATAAAAACCCACTTCTATATACAGAGTTTGCCTCATTCCCCTGCAACACTGTTAGAATCTATTTTATGTGTGCAACTGCCTTTTATTTGGGGAGATAAAAAACTTTTGTTTTCAGTCAGATGAATCCTTTCTAAATGCTCTATTGACATCTGCTGTCAACTGTCATCTGCTCCATAATTAATAATCCAGATGTTAACACAGCATTATCTAAAGAAAATCAGTTTAGTGTTTGATGCTCCAGATGAAACTTACGACTTCTTGACTTCCCTTTCTGGTCTTCAAAAGGCAACATGTTTTCTCCCAGTGCCTGATGTAACACTGCTGATGTGTGATGGGTGTTTATTGACTTCTTAATTACTGAAGTTTTACCCTTTCTTGTCACACTTCATTTCCATCTCTTGACATGTATCCTTCTCTTCTTAGTCAGATGGAGGATTAGCTCAGAGGTAGTGGGGCCTCCCTCTTCCCACCTCCACAGGGCAAAATAGTTCCCAAACTCCCTTTCAGAATCATCTCCTACATCTGCCATCTGTCTTCCCTGAATTATCTTTGTTCTGCCCCCTTGCTCCAGAATTTCAGCCTTTTCTTGGCTCACCAGACACTTTCACCCACTCTGAGATGGATTTGGAGATTCCTCTCAGAACCCTTGATGCTTTAGTGAGAGTAGGCACCAGTTAAATGAGTTTAATTTTTAAGATGTGTCACACAGTGGAAAACACTTTCTGTGTTGCTGAACTAAAGTTGAAAAGCAGAATTTACACTGAACAGCAGGAAACAGGGTTAGAAAAGACCTTCAGATACATCTTGAGTGTTGTTTTGCCTTTAAAATGTCATCCCTCACACGTTCTTCTCCACGTTCCTCATCTTTTCTTGTTCCAGGCATATGTTCCAGGGCATATGGATCTGTCTTTCCTGGAGAATCCTATCTGGTAGTTTCCTGTTGACATTTGTTTTCTTGGAACAAACAACCCAGGAATTGTCCAATTTCCTGCTTTGTGGTGACTTCACCACAAGTTGCCACCTTCCCCTTCTGCAGAGCAAGACGTGAAGATGAACATCCCTGTTTCATTCTCAGCTGGACCCCAGATTCTGAATGCTTTGGCTATATTTTAAAGTACTTTGAGTATTTTTTTCTTATACACCACCCCACATCAAGACTGGTCAGTTCTTGTGGCACTGTGTTGGTTAATTTTGTGTTAAAAAAAGAAGAATTCTAATGAACAAAACATTTTTTTAAGTGTAACTGGGTGTTTTTAAGTGTAATTGGGGTGGTTTTTTTGCTATCCTTTGTCATAGAAAAGATAGAAATCAAATGAGCTGCAAAGCAGAGTCATCTGACTGTGCACAGTGAACATCACTGTACACAACAGAATATTATATTAGTTAATAAATATGTGTATTATCAAAATAACTATACTAATAGTAGCCACTGGAAATTGCATCCATGGTTTTGCCTTATTGATTGGAAAAAAATGACTTTTCTATCTCGTAGTAACATCATTTTCACATCTGCTTTCCTGCAGGAAGTGGTAGATGCTTGATTTAAATCAATTAAGAAAAAGAAAACCGGTGATTCTTATTTCCATACCCATCCAGCCAAAGGGAATTCAAATGCAGCAATTTTTTCATGGATTGCCAAACTACCACTGGCTGCTACCACGGAATTTGAATTTCACTACAACCCCTGAATATTGATAATAAAAGTCAAAGTGCTCCCAAACTCTTCCTGGTGCTTGGGATACAAATTTCCTGCACCCTCAGGAGCGTGGGGTTTGATGTAAGTGCTAGAAATCTTCTTTGATTATTTTCAGAATGGGAGCTGGATGTATTTTCCAATTAGGAAATGTTTGGAATTCTTTGATTAGAATTCCTCGTTTGGCACCGTACAAGGTGGTGGCTTCTGGCTTGCAGAGGGAGAGGATGTTTTGCTGTAAAAAGGTGCTGTGGAGGTGTCAGAAGATGTTGCTTTCTTGGAGATGAATATGTAAATGGAAACTTCGAACCCAAAAGAGATTTTGTGCCTTGGGAATAGTTCCTTTGTTGTTTTCTTTCCTCTTTCCTTTCGGGGAGAGGGTTGTTAGGAGGCTTGGAATAGACTTATTATTATGGTAAGTGTATAAAATATTCTGAGTAGCTTCTATTGAATAAAGGATATTTTCTTGAGATTATAAACTGGTGAACAAGCTGCAGCTTAATGAAAATGATAATTAAAAGTTGCATCAAATTTTTTGAAGTTTTTTTACCTTTTTTTTTTTTTTTCTTCTGTTTCAGGACTGTCTTTTCTTCTTATTTTTTAAAGGAATCCGAAGTCCCCACTTTATAAAAGCAGTTCTGAATAATTTATATAATGAACTGATGGGAACAAAAATGGAATTTATAACTCAGTGATATTTCCCTGCTTATTTTGCAAGAGGAGGAGAAGAGTTATGTGACAAATTAACTGTAAAAAGGAGAGCTAAAATGCTTTATAGTGAGTAATAAGTAAATCACAATGGGGTTCAATATAAAATGTGTTTCATGAGAAGTATTAATAGGAGCACAATTTGATTACCTAGAAAATCTATTGTTGTTTAGCATTTAGTGCCCATTTGCAGGTAAAATCTGATTTTAGCAGACATTTGCTAAGGTATTTGGAATACTCTGCCTCCTGTAAGAGACATGAAAATCTTGGCTGGAAGGCTGATGTGGAGCCCTTAGTTAAAAACATAATTTCTTTCAGTAATTGTCTTGTAACTTTTGTGTAAGTTTAGGAGTTGGTTTTTTTTTTTTTTTGCTTATTTTTGCCCCACATGTATTCAAATGCACCAATTCCCTTTCTACCAAAAAAAAAAAAGAAGAAAAATCAACTTCAAACACAAGTGACTCTTAAAAACTGAGGAGTTCAGGCAGCAGCGCTCAGAATGAGCCCCAGCGTTCCAGATCTGCCTCCTGGTGAGATTTTCTCTGACATGTGCCCTTGCTGGCAAACATTTTGCTTTCAATTTTATCTCCCTGCCCACTGTGCACCTCTTGCTTTATCCTATTTGTTGCACAACATTTACTAGAGATAAATATAGTGCAAGAATACATTGCATTTCCTTCTGATGACACAGTTCAGGACTGACCTTCAATTCTCCTGTAATCTCATTTCAGATGTTCCTTGGGCAGAATTTACTGAATTGTGCTGAATTACACCGAGCTGAGGAGGCCTGGAGATAACAACAAACTAAATGTGTAAGTTCATCCTGCTCTCTTGCAATCTATTTACTCCTTTTAGCATCAGAGGAATGCAAGGGGAAGCTGCAGTGTGACCTGTGTAGGTTTTGTTGTCTTTATACCTAAAAATGTGTAATAACAACATGGCAAAGTTTAATTCCAGACCAGCTCCTGTGTATTAAGCTGTGATCAGAGCACACTTAGTGCTGAAAATGTGGTTGTGAGGGAGAAGCTTTACAAACTGTTTGGAAGGGATTTTAATACTTCAACCTACTCATGGCAGGACTTTCTTCAGAAAGGGCAGACAAGACCACGGGATAAATCTCATCCCTGTTTTGCTCAAGGAGATGTTTCTGAGCTCCTGCCAGGCTCAAAGTTATGTCTTCAGGTGGGACTTCAGCTGACATCTGCTGTACAGAAGTATAGGGTCAAACCACTGTCATTAAATCCCATATCTCTGATAATATTGTCAAATAAAGACTGCAGGGTTTGACCCCATCTGTAATTTCGCCAGGAGAGATTTCTTGCAATTCTGTTCTCACAATGGGAAATTTTGTATTTAATGTGGTCAGAACTTTAGACTCACCCCGAAAGGGGAGATAATTAATAACTAATGAGTCACTTAGTGAATGTGGTACCTCCAGCCTGGGGAAAAGGAGGCTCGGGGGGGACCTTCTGACTCTCTACAACTCCCCGATAGGAGGGTGGAGAGAGGTGGGGATCAGGGAACAAGGAGCAGGAGAAGAGGAAATGGCTTCAAGCTGTGCCAGGGGAGGTTCAGGCTGGAAATCAGTAGGAATTCCTTCATGGAAAGGCTGGTGAGGCACTGGAATGGGTTTCCCAGAGGAGTGATGGAGTCCCCATCCCTGGAGGTGTCAAGGAATGACTCGGTGCCCTGGGCTGGGGGACAGGGTGATGCTCAGGGAAAGGTTGGACTCCATGATCTTGGAGGTCTTTTCCAACCTTAGTGATTCTGTAATTCTCAAATCCATGCTGGAGAACACCTCCAGTACAGATCCATTTAACATCTGAGTGGTGGAGTGCCTGCACTCTCAGTATTGCCTCTTAGGAATAAAGATGTGCAAAAATATCTGATGTATACAAGAACTTAAACATTTTTTACAGCTCAGTTACATTGAATCCCACATTAAAAGGGGAAAATCAGAGAATAAAAAGACTCAGAGGTTTATTTTGTACTGATTTTAATGAGATGAAATAGTCTATAACTAAAAACTAACTGGCTGTTTGATGTGATAGCTGGAAATTTTGTCCAGATCCCAACAAGTTTTGCAGGATCTGGCTGCAAATTGAATATTTTAGGTACCAGCTCAAACAACTCTTACCATATTATCTGGATCCTTCTAGCACAAGATTTCCTAAGTCTAAATGTACCATCAAACTGATTTCATTATTAGTTAAACAGCAGAGAAACACAAATCTTTTCCATGAAAGTAATTTTTGAATTAATTGAATCATTTGCAACCCCTCCATGTGTCAAAGTTAATCAGAGAGGTCTAATTTGCTCCCAGACAAAGGACTATTTGTGAAAGGCTTTCTGTGAAACCCTGTTTTTCTGACAATTTGCACCTTTGCATGCCACAATCTTCTGCTTAGATTGCAAAAGTAATTATCCCCTTCAGGTTGCCTTTATATTAAATATTGAATTTGTTAGTTAATAAGAGGTATAATTCAGTTCTGTGTGATTGGTAAATCCATCCTGATGATGTGAGTTATGCCAAAACTCTCGATTTTTTTTTTTAATGTATTCTCCTCTGGAGGCAGCTCACAAAATTGAGAAAACATGCAGCTGGTTTATTTGAACTCCCCTCTCCTTTGACATTAAATAATGACATTACTTAAGAAGCTGTTCGTGAATCCATAAAATTAGCATTATTGAGCACAAATACCATGTCTTATAAATCAGGAATTATTAACAAGCTCTTTGCTGGTTCAGAGATGAGTTTCTCAGTGAAGGCCCTGATTGCAGCAGGCAGACAGTGCGAGGTACTTAAAATTACAGATGCTCTAATCATAGAAACTTTCCCACTTGGCATATTCAAAAGCACCAGTGTTTTAAATTCTGGACCTCAAAAAGTTTTAAAAAACCCTTAAATGTAACTTTTACACCCTCACTGCTAAAGAGAGTCTGGAGGTTTCTAAGTTTTGTTGCACAAAATGGTGGGGAAAGTGTCTGTTGGCTTCCCCAGGAGGAAGATTGTTCCTCTGGAGTGTGGGAAAGAGTGTAACTCCTTTTTTAATCTGATCTCACAACCTGGACTGGACATGTTTTCCTCCCATAGGAGGGTTTGTCAGTGGATCATTTTCAGCTCTTCAGTACAGGATCCCTGCCTGTCATTCCTGCTTCAGTTATCCCACTTGCTAAATTAACATAGCCATTTTAAGAGAGACTATTTCAAATTTCCCAAATTGATACCTTATAAAGTAATTATTACCTCTGTTTCTGATTATACTTCAGCTATATCAGCACAAGTTAATTCCAGCTGGAAATAGCAAAGGATAAAGATGGAGAAAAAGATTTACTGCTGTGGAACTGCAAGTCGAAGTGTGTTTAAATTTGAATCTAATTGTCCATAATTGTCACGGATTTTGAAGGAATCAGGTTCTAAGACATACACGAAGTGCATTAGTGACAATTTTGTTTCTATTTGCATCAGTTTATTAGTGAAAATTTCATGAAGTTTCTGACCCTGTATCCTCAGATGATGTGACCCAGTGCATCTATATTGTTTTTGTAGAGTTTTAATGGCTGAATGCCTCTTTAACTCTTTTCAGGAATTCTAAATTGAGATTAAGGAAGTATTTTGGTGTTTATGCAGCTACTGAATGATTCCAGTTGTCATTCGATTTGGGAAAACAAAACAAAACAAAAGAATAAAAACTTGGGCACAAATTTTATTTTATTGGATTGTGCTGCAACCCCAAGCACTCAATAAAAAGGCAATGGGTGTATTATAGCACTTCATCTCCCATTTAATGTTGTAGCGCCAACAGTTTTGTGTAAAATTAAGTTCTAAAGTCGCATCAGGATAGAAGAGCCCAAATCTCAGCACATTCAGCTGATTGGCAAAGTCAAAAAGAGACAGAACTGTGTTTTCTGCAGCATTGCCACAGCCTGGGAAATTAATTTCTGAGGTAGTCTGGAAAATATTCTTGTGAACATGACTTTTTTGAAATGAAAGACAAACCACCTGTAATTTGAATTCAGGCAAATTTGTATGGATAGGACATGCACAATCAGAGCTCTTGCCTTGTCCTACAACCTGCAGCACCACCTGCCCCCACCCCTGCACAAACCCACCACAGAATGGGGGAGAGTGGGGGCTTTTCAAAGTGCACATTCTGCTTAATTCTCTTTTCAGAGCCTTTAGGGTGCCTGGGTTGTGTTTTTTAGCTTCACTCTTCTGCAAGAGAGAATTGAGTTGCTGTGACCACTAATAAAAAGCTGGAAAAATAACACATGAATAACCTTTGCAGAGGTCTGCCCCTGAATTAGATGCCAGATTCGAGATGGGCATGTTTAATACAGGAGCAGTTCTAGGCAGGATTACTGAGTCTCATTTTAACTCAAGGAAGTTGGTTAAAAAAAGAGGAATTTTGTTTATCTTCCAGTTTAATCAGCTGGGCTGGTTTCTCTTCATTTTCTCCATTAATCAGTCTGATTTCTTCATGGCCAACTCGCAGTGCAGAGGGTTTTAGTGTTGGTAAACAAAGTAATGAATGAAACAAATAAAAGAAACCCTGGGCTGCTGAGCTGGGTTATTTCAATATCCCCTTGGATAAGCCTCCTGATTCATTAACAGAGCCTTTGTTGAATCACTAGACCTTTTAAATTCAGTGCAGGGGCTCATCTCTGTTCATTTGGAAGGAATCGTGTTTGATGTAGTTATTTCACATGGTAATGTATGTCACTTGGTAATTTTCCTTAGCTTTCACAGATTACATATTACTTTGCATTTACATTTGATTTGCTGGCACATATCAACATTCAGGAGTCTGTGGATTAAATATAAATCGAGTGTGCTGCTTGCCAGCCCAATTCCAGTGAATTAATGGCTAAATGTGAACCACAACACCCTGGGAAGGTTACAGAATACAGGTAAGACTGAGAGGCAGAAATTTTCACTGCATGGGGTTTTTCCACAGTTTTCCCCTGAGGTCACCAAGGTAAGTTGGGACATAAAGTCAAATTTCAGGTTAGCTGGGACATCGATGCAGTCAAATTTCCCAAAGCTCATAAGCAGATTTGACCATGCCTGCCCTGCAATCCAGAAGCAGCACTTCAAGTCAGCTGTAATGCAATTCAAGCATGTAGTGGTACAACAGTGACATCGTGTAGCTTCAGCTCAGACTGACTGCAAACCCGTGGTGGGTGCCAGGAAAATATCTGGCTAAATAGCCTGGAGGGAAACCAGTGCCTTCTGCCTCCTCTCAGGAGATGAGTTAGTTCAAAACTGCTTCTGTCTGTAGGTTTGCTCTCCAGGGAACCATTCCAAGAGCATTAGACTTGTGCTTAGGTGTTTTTTAGCCTATAGGCAAGGATTCAGCTGGAATTAATTGGCCATGGTGAGCTGCAGCCAGGGAGGATCAAAGCTTGTTGGTGGTAAAGTATTAATGCAGTGGTTGTACCTTCAGTTGTTCCCTGTTAGTGCAGCAGCAGTGTGGGTTTGTAAGGAACTAATCCCTTGTAGGAAATAAATGTGCTGCCTTATTGCCAGCATTTGAAATGGTAGGGGATGGATGGATATTTGCTGGAGCAGGAAAACAGGTGCACTGTGTGATATTTAGGGCATTTTCCCTTTGAGAAAATGAGTTCTGCTGAATATTGGTGAGCAGAGAAGAAAATATAAGAAAAAGGAAAGGAACAAGCTCCAAACAGGACTGCTGACATCCTTTATGTGGTTGTTTATAGCAGACCCAGCATTTCCCACAGTCCCAAGGACTTGTGCTGTAGAACAATCTCACTGGGGGGGTTCACAGAGCTCTACTTGCCCGTGGGCTCCTTTAATGTTAGGAAAAGACCACGTTCACATCATGTTTGATTTGCAGTGCCAGAGACTCTGTCTAACCTGCAGAGCAGTTGCATTCTGGGATGTACTATACGGTCTTAAAACACTGTGTTTTGTTTCTTCTGCAGAGCTCTGTGTTTTGGGTTCCTTCTCCAAAAAAATTGCTCCTGGGCTTATTCTGACAGGAGTTATCACCCCAGACTTGTGGGCACTGCCCCAGGACCCTGTAGGTTAGGAGTAGCTGGCAGGGCAGTGAATCTCTTTGGGGTTGTCACCTTAACACTCCTCTTGGCACCCACATCATCTGTACCACGTTATTCAGATTTCTGCTTCTCCTGTCACATTGTTTGGGTGTTGTCTGAGCGATATCAACACAAGAGCAGCTGCTGCACAGCCCTTCCACACATGGATCTTTCTGCCAGATTGAGTTTAAAATATCAATCTATAGCTCAGTGATAGCCTTTCTAGGGGATATCCACGGCTTGCAGAACTCATTTAGGATGTTTTCTTCCAAAGCTGCCATGTTTATAGAACTGAGAGAAAAACATCTTCACACAATTGTGCCAGACAACTCAGATCCTCTTCTTTTTGTATTAATTCCTTCAGTGTTTGCTAGCTGGATATCATCTCCGCTTCACAACTCATTCTCTTCTTTCTTTCTATTCATTTTTTTTCCCCCTAATTTAAAATGAGGCAGTGTTAGCATTCCTAGCTGAAGGTTTTGATCCTTGGGTTTTTTGACACGTTGTTCTGAACCTGCAAGTGATGAGCTCCAGTCTCTATAGAAATATCACTGTAAGTTATTAAGGTCTGCACTTTTTGTGTGTTATGCCTGGAAGGACTTTATGAGACACACAGCACACTAACATTAACACTTCTAAAGGTTATCTGAATGCACAGTGAGGAGTAACTTCAGCTTCACCCTTTGCTTCAGTGAAAATTCTGTGACTTTTTGCAAAAAATATCTGCTTTTCTGACATGCTTTTTGCCTCCACTGCAAAGCTGTTCATCCCTTCCACTCACATGGACTTCTTGTCATCTGGATTGTTGTGGGAAGAAAAGAAGCTGATCAACAGCAAGTGTCTCCTCCTGCAATGTGGTCATGTCCCCTTTGCCTGGCAGAAGGGTAACTTTTTTAAATAGTTCAGTAATTTACCCTGCTTTTCCCACAATCAGGATGGGATAAAAAGGAAAGGAGAGGCTCAGAGCTGGTCCATGCCCATGAGAGTCAATGAAAAGACTCCAGCTACTCTGTAAAGGTTTAGGTTCAGTCTGAGCAAGAAATTCGTCACACAAGTGTTTTGTAGGTCAACAAAGGACTCTTGCCACACTTTGAGATTTCAGGTACGTGTGGTATCAAAGAAAGTAAAGCAGAAAGCTATCTTCAGCTTGATATTTCCATCTCACTTCCCAGACTACTTACAATTAACAGCTTTTTTCCTCCTTTTTTTGTTGAATTGGTTCTCAAGTAAGGTCAAACCAGAGGAATACGGATACAAACGGGCTCTTTAATTGCAAACAACCTTATAAGCTTTTGCATGAAAGACCTTGGAGCGTTTGGATGTATCATTTGCAAGAATAAGACAAATGGCTTTGCACTTAAGGTGTCACTCAGAGAGCCACCACTCCCAGAAGGAGTGAGCTGGAGCATGAACTGCCCGAGTGAGTGAAGCAGCCACGCTCCCCTTTGCCCCCAGGGAAAACTGCCCACGCTGACCCCAGGGCACCGTGGAGACAGAAGCATTAATTTGGGCAATTACTGCTCCCTGACTGATGAGCCATGAGCTCCAGAGATATTATAAAACAGCTTCACAGCAAATGTTCCCCTTTCCAGGCTGTCTCCTGCCACCCTGTTGCATTTGCTGCTGGCAGATCAGGGGTGGGTTCAGGGCTTTGAAAGCTAAATTGGCTCCATCACGGGAAGGACACACAGTCAGTGCAGAGAGTTCCTGTCTCTGGAAACCTGCAGTAAGGTCAGTCCTTCTCCAGAGGACTGGGATGTCTGAGGAGGAGACCTTCATGGTGTGTCTGTCCTGCAGGAAGATGGTGAGTCATGTCACCTCTTTCTGACTTTTTTTTTTTTTTTGGTTTTTATTACTAACTTAGCTTGGATTCTTGTCACAATACTTTTCCTTTGTTTCTTTTTGCTACCCTTTCTTGCCTTTTTTTTTTTTTTTTTTTTTTTTTTTAGGTTAGACTGTATTTCATTCTCATGACTCTTATTTTCAGGTTACTGAAATGAAAAGAATGTTCAAGTCTCAAAAACACGGTCATGAAAATTTACAGATTATATACACTTTCAAAAGTTTTCTAGGAATAACTACTCCCTGTTGGCCACCCTTTTTTGCACTTATTTGTGGCTCAAAGTTGTCATATTTCTGCTTTTTCTGAGCTGTTCAAAAATTGTCCTCAACTTGAGACTTTTAGGCATTTTCAATATATTCAGAAATAAGAAGGGGAAAAAAGGTGAAACAAACACAGAGTTACACACTGCTAACATTACAACCAAATAGGTCATTCTTTTAGATTTTTTTACAGTTGCCCTTCTGCTTATTTTGGGCAGCATCACATCAATCCCTGAGGCTTCTGCCAAGAATCTCAAGTCTTATTTAAGTTTAATGTATGTTATCACTTAAGGTTAGCTTAGAGTGCATCTTACATAATTATAAGTCAAATACTTTTATTTTACCTTTTTTTTTTTTTTAATCATTATTTAGAGATACTCCAGGCCATGTAGCCTGTCCTTGCGAAAATGTAGCAGCCACCAAAGAAACGACTAAAACGACTGTACTTTGCATAACGCCAGCAGTCAAAAACCTTAAAAGCTCAATAACACAAAACATTAATGGCTGGCCTTTTTCATGCATCCCAGCTCCTTTAGCAGATGTAATATTGTTAGCTTCTTCTGTTCACAGTAAATTAGATATGCAGTAAGTAGGGGTAAGAGGCGGATTTACCGAGTGTGAAAACGGCCCGTAAAAGATCATTCACCACAGCAATTAGGGATGGCTGGGCAAAGCGTTTTGTAAACAGAACCATGGTTTTGTTTTCTGTTTTTGTAGAAGTTCATCTTGAATCAGGGACAGAATCCAATCTTTTCTATTTCTCGGTCCTGCGTCATATTTATTAAATCTCTTCCTGAAATGTAACAGAAATTGAGTGCTGGATTCTCACCCGACAGGAAAACCAACCAGTCTCAGGAGCTATTAGGGAGTCTGAAGTCAGAGGGAATTGCAGTATCAGGGTAGATGGTTCTGACTCCTTTCTTAAAATCCTTTGTTAGAGTTTATATGGATTGACTGGCTAAACTCAGTGCTACTTCAACCAAAAACGGGGAGTTGTAACCCTGAGGTTTCTTCTTTTGCCTCTTTTCATTTTGCAAACAAATTGAGGAGCGGTGTAACTGTATAATGGCGTGATAAATCACTCAATTTACAGTTGGCAGAATAAAATTAGCATTGCCATTACTTCATAATAGGGCATGGCTATGACTATGGAATTGATTTCAGAGCAAGGCTGATCCATTACAATTTTGTTAATATTGAATTTTAAATAGGATGATGAATTGCTAATCAATGCAGTTAAAGAAGCAACTTAGGGGAAAAAACTACTGTTTACTTTCTAAATTGTGTGTCATTTACCGTGTCATTTTGTTGGGTTTCCATGTTGGGAGCTCCATATAAATAACACTACAATTACACTGTGGACATTTGTGCAATTCAAGAAGAGTCTTTGTCAGGCTGGGGGAGAAGTTTTTAACTCATTTATATTCATTATAAACTTCCACCATTTTTGGTGCACTAAGGGCTTGCTCTGGAAAGATGGACCAATGCTGTTGTGCTGTTTCATAACCTAAATGAACTATTCTAGTAACAAGTGGAAGGAAACTTTGTTCAGTTCCTTCTTTCTGCAAAATGCCATTTGTTTTTCTTGGTTGTGTATACTTCTTATTCTAACCTATAGATGGAATTCAGATTTATGAGTTTGTCTTAAACCTGAAGAAGGTTTTAGGCAGAGAAATTTGCCTCGTTTTCTTACTTCCAACTTCAATCTCTTCTGGTGGAGAGGCCTTGACACCTGAAACACCTCCACTGTATCTCATCTCAGAGATATGTTTAATTGACCAGACAAAGCTGATGGATGCACATTCTTTGCCAGGAAATCTCTTTGATGGTGGAAATAGAGAAAATATAAACTGGACTCTCTGGGAACAGAGATTTCTTATCCCATATATAAATCACTGGGAATCCTCCTCCCAAACCTGCACTACCTAGAAGAGAAATGGAAATTCAGTAGCACAGTGATGGTTCATTCTGGTGACCAGCACAGGATCATAGAATCAATAAGATCAGTAGAATCTGTAAGGTTTTGGAAAAGACCTCCAAGATCACAAAGTCCAACCTTGGACTGAATATCACCATGCCCACCAAACCACATTGCAAAGTGCCATGTATACTCATTTTTTGAATACTTCCAGGGATGGTGACTCCACTCCTTCCCTGGGCAGCCTGTTCCAGTGCCTAATCACTGCATCAGTGAAGAAATTTTCCCTGATATCCAACTTGAACCTCCCCTGGCACATCCCCAAACCATTTCCCATTGTCTTTTTTTTTACTTTATAGAAAAAAGAGAACAGAAGGGACCTCCTGTTTGAGTGAGGAGTTTCAATTAAAACCTGGATACTTGGAAAACGCTGCTTCCCACCTTTCTTTATCTTAAGCTGTTGTCTTCACAACTCCTCTAATCAAAGACCAAGCACAAATGACAACGAAATGGCAGCTTGCAAAATTCCTGGAGAATCGAAATTAAATCAATTGCTGCGTCAAACTGAACTCATTAAGACGTAACTTTAGGAAGTACATTTAATCTTTCTCTTCACCTACAAGATCCTCTTTAATATGGACAGGATAATAATTATTAATCATGTCTCCAATGAATTCCCACAAAGGAAAAGTGCTCCGCAGTGAACAGAATATGTTCAGTCTCTTGGAAGGAACGTTGAATAGGACTAAACAAGCTTTTTGCTCACACTGTGCACTTTCATTAATATAAGTGGGAGTCCCAAAGATGTTCTCTGACAACTATTGGAGTGCTCTTTTGGGAAACACCAGCAATCCTCAGAGGAGGGATGTGAAAATCCTTTTCCTTGGGCAATTTTCCGCAACCGCTGGGTTATTCCACAAGCATTCGTCTGAAATCGCTCGAAGCATTCAACACACATGAAAACAAGACATGCCACCATCCTTTGTCAAGTGTTCTTGGACTGCATCCAGCAGACAGGCTTCCAAAACAAGGTACTGCTCAGCCTGAATAGGGAAGACAGCATTTGGCTTCAGTGTCATGGAAATACATTTGTCATCCCGATCTGCAATGACGTGGGAAAACTCTCCTGCTGCAAAGAACAACAGCCATTCCACTGTGGAGACCCCTGGCATTTGAGCAGTTTGGTGGCTTTTCAACCATTTTGTGCAAAGGTTTTCCCTTTCTCTCCCCACCCCTCCTCCAGTTTCACAGCATTTTTCACTGAAATGTGTCCTTTATTTCTAAATCACTCAGGTACGTAAACCTAAATCAGTGTTTCCCGTCACTGAAATATTTAAAAAACCCTGAAAGCATAGTTTTTTCTCTCCTGAAAATTGCTGTCTTTTGCATCATATTTCCTACCACCACAGCCCCTCCACTTGTATAAACATCTGTAGATTGTAATGATCTGCTTTGTGCACCAAACTAATTTTATAGATCTTTAAAATGATCAGGTATCAGTTTCTGCAGGCTGTCTATCAGTTCCTGCCATTGCTTGTTTGAATAACTAACATTAGGATCACTCAGAATTACAGTTAGTGAATTTTAAATGTGTATAAATCTAAACATAGGAAGTCTATTTATAAAATACTCTTAGGAGTGGTGTAGTAGATTGTAGGAAAAGAAAGCTCCATTCCTGCTTCTGGATGCTCACAGAGCTGAAATCTGGGTTCAGGTGCTGAGGGGATCCCACAGAACTCGCCACCAGGGAAATTCTCATTTGCTTTTGTAAATGTGTTTTTATAAATGAAGTTTTTTTCTAATCTTCAAGGTACTGAAAAGATCCTGATTCCCAGGTTTAACTCAGCAAAGAATAAATGTCTGAGTGTCCCTTTGCATGAGAAGCTCCAGTTAGTCCCTGCAAATGACAGTGGGGTGAAAATGCCCCAGAACTGGTGGGACAATTCTCCAGGAAGGATTTACCAGCCCTTTCTGAGTTACTTTGCTGCTCAGTCTCAAAATGTGACTTACTTTATCTTCTTAGGGTAAAATCAGGCAAAGCTCCTGATAATGTTTATGAAGGTCAGAGGTTTGAGTATTTTCTTTCATGTGAATGTTGGTAATATTCTGGTTTGGAATAAAAAAATTGCAAATATCTGAGAATCTCACAAGTTTTCGGAGTTGTGCTTAACTGGGAGGGAATTAATTTTATCCTATGACATTTTCTTTTTGCTGGAAACACATCTGTGGATTGTGAGGATTTTTTCTCTGCAGTTAAACCTGGACAGACACATGGACAGGCAGATACATTGCCATATATTCCCATTTTCCAGGTGTCTAACAAAGATCCATCCAGTCCCTTTAATGAGATAACTTGAGAACAGTAAATCAACTGGCCTTTAAACCTCCAGAGATGACCAGGCAACATTTTTAAAGGGATAAGTTATTTCTTTGCTGTCAGGAAGGGGTGGACCAAAGCTTGAGGAGCAGTGCATCAAATAACTCATTCTTGGCATATAGAATGTCAGGATTAATAGACACAACATTTTCTGTGACTGGAAACTGTAAACAGAGAAATAAATACTTCTTGTGTAGTTGGAATTTATTCATCTGTCATTGTTTCTGCTTCTCCTCCATGACCTGTAGAAGTACAAAATCTCTGTGTAACCAATTAAATCAGGACTGTGCTAACAAATCTATCCCTTTGGGTTGCTCTCCAAGAGAGGTTTCTTCCTTATTAAACACACACTAAATTACTGCAGGAAAGCCAAGCATACATTTCAGCAAGATGAAAGCAGGCAAATATCAGGAGAGATATTTCTTTAAGATTTTAGTTCGAGCTTTAGAAGCCCCTTCCAACCCAGGCCATTCTATGATTCTGTAATTTTATAATTCCATGTTTGAGAAGGAAAAGATCAACAGGGTTGGACTTGCTGTCCCCAGAAATTGGTAGTTCTGCCTTTTTCCACTGTTTTTTTTCTACAGTTGTAACCTGCACAGTGAGGCCAGGCTGCTCTCTGGCATCGTGCAGAGGAGGAATTGGCTGAAGATCCCTGCTCAGATACACCCAGGAGTGCATTTCAAGTTCACTGTTGTTATGCAACATGGAGTGGGAGACCTGCTGAGGCAAGAGAATTTATTAACCTTTACTCCCTAAGCCTCGAGGTGCAGATCTGCAGGATGATCCCATTTCAGTGGTATTTTGGGACCTGCTCTGTTGCTTCTGCACCTGAAGAGGAAGAGGATAGAGAAGTGGGAGATATTGGTAGGATAATAGTCAGGATTTCTAACCTCCTTCTGAGAATCAGAAAGTTATTTTAGGGATGTTTCCTTACAAAGTACAGATACAGAAAATGGCCTGCTCACTTTTGTTAAATATTTCATCAGGAAAACTGGTGCCTACATGAAGGAAGCAGAGGCTTATTGACAGGGACACCTTTTATTCCAGTTTATTCGAGGAAATGTTTCATTTGCTAAGTATTTTTTATGCTAGTAAAGATGTCCAGTTACCGAACTGCAGTGAATTATACCCGGGATTTTATAAACTTTGTTGCCTTTGTAGCCTTTGTCAAATGAGAAACTCAGCGTGTGTTGTGCCACTCAATATTTTTTTTCCACTGATTGCAGTAGTATTTCAGATGAGTCTCCAGGGAAAGAGAGTAACATCCTTTTGTGCAGAAAGTCATCAAAACAGGGCAGCTTATGATCTTTATCAGCAAAATTATTTGCATTTCTTTTGCTACGGTATCAGAGAGAGGAGAGAGGGACAGAGAATGAAACAAAAAAGGAGTAGGGCTGTTTGGCAGAGGTTCTAAAGCAAAGCCTGAAGTGTATTTATGGTTATAATTTTGCACAGATCACTTGGTGCTCTAACACCATGATGCTGATCGCAACATAAATCACACTTTAATTTTAACCTTTGCAATTCATCAATAGTTTCAATATCAAATATAATTCAGCACTGACACTATTGGTTTACAGGTAAGTGGACTAAGAATGGAGGAGACTTAGTAATGGATTAGTTGGCCTGTCAACAGAGGCAGAAAGATTCATGTTGTCTTCTCTATGTTTCTATCACATACACAGAGCTATAAATAATGGCAACAGCTAATCAGACACAAGAAAGATATATGCTGTCATTGAGAATCAGTTATTTCTACCATCTAAGCTTTAAAAATTTAGCCACTGAAAAGGAATCCATTTAATAAAAGAGCATTCTGCTGCTTGTTTTGCAAGCCATATATATTTAACGGGTTTTCCTTTTTAAAGATTTAAAAGAATTATTTTCTTTGGTCATGGTATAGTAGTTCTGCTTCTGAGGAAGTGCTTATGCAACTCCAGGGAATTAGCAATGTTTTTGGGAAAAAGAGCATCTTATTTGCCCAAACTTTTTTTTTTTCTCCTTTGAAGGTGGTAAATCTGGAATTTGGCTTGTTTTTCTGCTAAATGTAAAAACACAAAACTTTTCTGCTGTGAGTTTTCTTAGTCCAAACTTCTTGACACAGCTACTGGAATTTTGAAATATGTCCGACCTCTAAGGGCTTCAAGTTTCCCTGAATGCTTTTCTCCAATCTTACCTCAGGAATTCAATGGGATGAACAGGGGACTAAATCTGCTTTAGGGTGGGGTTGGTGGAACGTGGGCCTGTAGAGGCTGAGGAATCTCTACCTTCACAGGTATTAAAAATGTAACTGGATGTGACCACAGGGGACCTGATTTAACCTGGAAGCCAGCCCTGCCCTAGGGGAGAGAGTGGATCAGAGGGCCTGAAGAGATCTCTTCCCACCTAAATTGTTCTATGTGGTGACCTGTGGTTCCTGGTAAGAAATTTCATATTATCTCTTATTTTTAACTCTCCATTTATCCTAAACCTGTGTGTTTTTTTAATTACCTCCAACAGAAGCCCAAATGCCCTTGAAGGCTCTGCTTGGGATGAGAAGTCCTAAATACTCAGAGTTTAATTCTTCCTTGCCCTTATTCGTTCTGTTGAATGAATTATTCCCATCATATTAAATTTTTATGTAGAACTACTAATTCAGTGTTGATAATAATAATAGTAATAGTCTCCCTTGTGCTAAACCTCATCCTCAGAATATTTGGTTTTCCTAACCAAAGTTACACAAATACACCAAATATTTCTGGTTTACATGATTGATTTAGATAATTTATTACCTCCAAGGAAATACTGAGACGACTTTTACTCTCTAAGAGTGTCCTGATCTCTACGAGAAGTTTGCATTTGCTGTTTGTCTGGTTGGTTTTTTGTTTGGTTTTGTTTTGGTTTTCGTTTGTTTGGTTTTGGTTGGGTTTTTTTGGTGTGTTTTGGTTTGGTTTGGGTTTTGTTTTGTTTTGTTTTGGTTTGGGTTTTTTTGAGGGAGCAATTGATAAGTTTGTGTGGGTTTGGTTTTGTGGTTTTTTTACTACATTTCAATATGTGTTTAATTGGCGGACTGGGACTGCTCTAACAAATGTTACCTTTTAGGAAAATCAGTCTCTTTAAAAAATGCTCAGGTGTGTGGATAGTACACTATAATTCTAAGGTTATACATGGGCTGAAGAAAGTGAAAGGAATCCTTTAAAGACCTTCTAGTCTTGTAGGAGGACACCACATGCAATTTATCATATATCAGGTCTTGTCATTTAATCCAAATGCTGCTCCTTCCTTCTTTTCCTTCCTTTCTTTCCTTTCTTCCTTGCTTCTTTCCTTCCTTCCTTCCTCCCTCCCTCCGTCCCTTTATAAAATCCTAGACAAATTAAAATAAAATTAATCCAGATCTAAACCTTCATAAATGTTGAAAAAAAAATCGTTTAAATTGAAAATCAGAGTCTCCTATAGAAGGATTTTACATAAGATTTTGAGGGCTGAGCTCAGAGTAATAGAAAAAACACATGGTATCAACATGGTTTTTGCATTTTCCAGTGGTCACAGCATGGAATTAGCCTGGATGTTTCCCATTTTTTTTCTCCTGAGAAATTTTATCTGTGTGGTAACCCTAACGTGAGGTGACATAGGCAAAGTGTGTCACAGTGCCATTGGCTTTGATTATAACATTAAGACAGTAAAGTGGACCAAAAAGAAGAAGCCTAAATTCAGATCATGATTTCAGATGAAAAGATCTACCATCAAGTAGGGATTTAAATGTGAAAACGTAAAATATGCAGCAATGATGGATACAAGGATCTTCAACCACGGGGTTTTTTCCATATACAGAATGTACCCCCCCAAATTGTGGTGGCACCTGTAGGGGAGGTGAAATCACAGGTACAGATCAGAGCCTTGGGGAGGATGAACTGGTGATAGGACAGTGTTTGGGCATGTAAAGGCTGCTGCATCCTTGTCTTTACAGCAGAAAATGTAACAGAAATTTAACTTTTAGAACGGGCCTAAGCCCTGATTTTGAACCTTTTGGTGCTCTCTGGATAAATTACTGCTTATGAAAGGCTCCATTACCTCCTGGAGGCCTGACCATAAGCAGAAGCAGGAAAAGGAGAAGTGTTTTTTATCATTCCTTTGAGAAACACGGCACACTCACAGCACAGAGCAGGGATTGTCCATCGCTTTTCTCTGACACGTTATGGAAAAAAGAAAAGGCATTAGAGAGTCAGGTAAAGAGACTGATCTTGTTGAAACATTACATTGAAGCTAACAGCTTGTGTTAGAGGAATGCCATGCTTTATGCTCTGGGAAGCAGTTTAGTCCGTGACTCGTATGCAAGAGTTGGGAAATTTGAGTGCAGAATCCCCTACAATGCCTTGTGTAGGTGGTTTGAGCTGTAGGGAATCAGGGATAATGCTTAGTGTGATAGATCTTGGGTGGGACTTGCCCGTAAAACACAAATAAAATTACATTTCAGTACCAGAAATTCAGTGTTGAGCGCTCTCTCTTACCTAAAAAGAGATCAAAATTATCCCCAGGACTCATTTTGAATATTCATGGTTTGGTGGAGGTGCTGAAGTGTGAGATGCCTGCAGAGCTGGGACAGCTTTCAGTTCTATCATGAGGTATTTTGTCCTTAAAAAAATCTTCACAAAAGGTAGGAAGAAAGCTGATTGTTCTGGAATGACTCCAGTGCCAGCCCTTTCATATTGTTCAGCAGCAAAAATTACCAACTCCTACAGCTCTCTCCTTTTAAAAAGTCGCTGAATTCATCTCTGCTCTCAGAGACCAGACCATAAATACCAGTGCCTTAGATAGAGTCGATGCATCATTTCCCCTGACATGTCCTACAGCATCCACAGGTTTGGCTGGAAATGGTTTGGATGGCAATTTCAGGCTCTCAGCTCTGAAGCAGAGGTGTAGATCTTGTCAAGGCATTGAAAAGAGGGAGAAAGAAGTTGCTGAATGCACGAGAAAAGGATGGTTTATATGTTCTATTACTTCTCCTCGACTTGCAATTGTGTTTTTTTAATTGCTTCTCTTTGTTATTTGAACCACCATTGTTATCTGGAACTGGAGTGGTTTTTGCTTCATCTTGAGATCAGCCCTCAAGAGCACAGAATTCATTTCTCCTTTCCCAGCCATGAGCCACAATTTACCATTTACTGATCCTGTGTGTGTCTCTCCACAAACCCCACCCTAAAAAAGTGTCATTGCACCTTCAGTGACGTCAGATTTTTAACCTATAATCAGGAAAATACTGAGAGCTGTCAATATTCTTCAGCCTGCTTTAGTCACTGATAGCTGTTGAAAGAACACAGTGTTAAATGCAAATGGAAAAGTCTTGCTGCCATGTTCCCTAGGAAGTTATCAGCAATCACTACCCAAGCTTGTAAAACGTTAAATCACTTGTGAAAGGTGGGAGATTAATAAGAGGTGCTTTAATCTTCTCTTCACTCATTGCAGCTCAAACAACACGATGTGCAACGGGGAAGGAAGGGAGGAAACCCAACCTTTTTCCCCTTGAGCTGAATCCATCACTGCCTGAAAACAAAACTTCAGCAGAGTCACTGATGGTTCAGAAGGGCCCTGACAGATTAAATCAGTCCCAGGGCACATGTGGAACCATGTGGAACTCCTGGAAACCAGCTTCCAATCAGTGCAAACAGTTTTAACGAGTTCCCACCACAATCACCCCAAAGCTCAGTCCCTGCAGCAATCCGAGGTGGTCCAGAGCAGGACACACCATGTGCTGGGGCAGCTGAAGAGCTCACACACCAGGATTGACACAGCATTTCACCTCCTGCTCCATTTGAAATGTGTCTGAGTCAGATCTCGAATCAACACACTCGAAGCTCTGCTTGGGCTAGGAAAGAATGGGGGTTTAACTTTTCCAGGTAGGTGATTTCTCATATTCTATTTATATTCTACATAAGGCTTCTGGCTGTTCAAAATCCACTGGGACAATCCAGTCGGTCATTCAGGTCTCTGGTATTGGGAATTTTTAACTGTCAGCAGAGCAGGAGCCTTTCCCAGGCCCTAAAAAGCAGCAAAACTTCTTTCTGCACTTCTCTCCATCTGCCATCTTCAGTTTTCTCTCTTCCCAGGTCTCCCCACAGCAGACAATCACTGCCATTAAGACAAAGCACTTTCTTTCCCGAGGTGGGAAAGCTTGTACAGAGAAAAAGAAAAAAAAACAATGGGATATTTCTCTGCAAAGGGCACCTGTTTTACAGAGGATAGAGTGTTGCCAGATGAGCTTAGCAACATTATTAATCAATCTGTGGAGACATCTCTCTTATTTTTTCCCTTTGTAGGAAAAATCTTTAGAAGAAAACAATCCAGGCAGAGGCAGAGATAAAAAACTGCAGCAGCAGTTGAGGGGGCTACTTTTCTCCTTGATAAGTCGGCCCCGCTCTCTCCAGTAGAAATTCTTTAGGGAAAATATACTTTAAGTCGATACCAAAATACAGGTTTTGAGAGTTTGTGGGTTTATTTGTTGTTTAATGAAAGTTGATTATTTCTTTGAGGGGTTCCACTCCCCATTGTAGTAGTAGTAGTAGTAATAATAATAATAATAATCCTATTTAATTGTTTGGTCGTGTCAGGACCCTCGGTTGAAAAGCACCACCTTTACTGCAGGTGCCCACAAGTGGCAGTGAAAGACTCAGGGAATTTTCTGTGCTAATAATTTATTCTTTGCAGAGGTTTTCACTCAGCTGTTGGGAATTGTAGAGAAGTGCATATCAGTATATCAAAGCATTCCACAAACCCTGTAAAGCAGGGAGCTGACGCTTTATTGATGCTTATTTTAGACCGACAGAAAAACCGAGTGATTCACCCAGATTCCCCTGACAAAGGCTGCCCTTCCCCCCACGCCCCCCCTCCCCTGCACCTCGCTGTGGCTCCTCTGCATGTCCTCAGAAGGCATCTGGCTGCAAAGTTCTGCAGAATGAACAGAAAATGCTTCCACCAGTGTGGGATTTTTTTTGCCTTTCTTTGAGCTGCATCGATGAAAACTCCCGCTGCTGCCAGGGGGTTAGGATGGATGGATGCAGGATGCCCAGGCAAAGCCCACCCTTGACGGGGGCAAGATGCAGGATTTGATGTCTTACAACCCCTTGCAAAGGTACTTGAAATACCTGAATGAGCCCATTGAAAACTCAGGGTGAAAACTAAAGACAATCCTGAAGTTTTCTTCAGGGAAAAAAAAAAAAAAAAAAAACAACCACAACACCTCATTTTGGAACAAAACTAAGTAACTATTCCAGAGAGACAAAGACTTTTCCATAAAAGAGTCTTCCACATTCTTATTTTCTGCATCTCTAAAACAGAAAATACGTCATTGAAAGAAAGACAGTGTCACTTAACTCAAAAGAATATAAGTAAATAAAATACTTATTGTCCAGGCAATAGAGTAAAACATCTCAGAAGTACATTGAAACTACTGAGTGAGGTTGTTAAGAAACATTTGTCCACTGCAAAGACTGTTAATTTCTACTGGCACTACTATTGAAATGTCCCAAGGATGCCAGTAAAAAACCCAAATTTTGTATTCTTTTTTATTTCCATACAGTTTATAATTTTTACCAGTATCCTCATGAACTCTTTATTCCTTGTTTGTCGGGTTTTTTGACTGTATCACACTGGAAAGTGAGAGTGACAGGTAATAATTGTATAGGAAGGGCCTTCTTGACATTGTTATCATTGAGAGCATGAATACTAAAGTGAGTATAATAATGAAGTATAATAATAAAGTGAATATCTTTCTTCTCCTTGTGCTTATCAGTATTAGCAGCTCTTTCACAGTGGCTCCTTAAATTCTGTTTGCATATAATCTATAGATGGGCAGTGAGCCTTATTTTCAAACTGTGTAAGAGGGAAGATAGGATCAGACACTCACAAATTTCCATAGAAACCCATTTTTACATGTTAAATTTTCCTCTCCCTTCCTCAGCTGCTGGAGAATGAAACTGGTTTGGAAAATAGCTGTGTTCCTTCTGGCCCTGCTGCCATCAGAAATCCTTGGCCAGTCCTGTTTGCCACTGCCCTTGGTCACCAGAGAGCAAAGACTTTCAGAAAAGAAAAAGCAAAATCAATAGGAGTTTTATCTGATTTTCACTCAGATTAATTGCCTACCCATCCTTCCTTTCCAATCAGTTAAATTAATGGCTGAGAACCTGAACTGAAGGAAAACCAAACAAGTTTTGTACTGGAAAAGCTCTGAGACAAGGGGCAGAAAAAGGGAGGGTGCATAGAAAAATATGGAGAGTTCATAATATTGGATTAAATCCAGGGATTTGTGGCTGAAAGTGGATGAATGCACAGCATTTCTCTCAAGGGACAGGGAAAAAACCAAAAGAATAACAAGCAGAAATAAAATACAGGAGAGCAGGAGGGAGGGCAGCAATGCAGAATGGATTCTGAGAGACAGCAGATAACAAATTAAATATAAGTGAAATGTGAGGCTGTTAGGGGAAAATGCCACAGCTCTTTTGGAGTGCATTCCTCACGAGGGGAGAAGAGGGATAATGCACATTCCCATATCCTGCCTGTGATTATAAGCAGACTGTTGTGTGCACTGGGGGAGAACCACCAGGAATTGACGGTGCTGAGACGCTGGAGGTGGCCAAGCAAGAGGTGCCCGGACATTCCCTGCTAACAGGGTCCTTGAAAAGCCACTGAGGGTTTTCCAGTGATCTATGATGCTCAGAAGAGAATGAAAAGGATGCAGGAAATGATGCCAGGGAGAGTTTGGAGAGGGAAGATTCATTTAGCACCTGGACAGGACTATAACAACAGCCTTTTGTGTCGGTGTGTCGTGGCAGTGATTGACTCTTAAATTTGAGGGCTGAGGAACAACTGCTCTCCTTGCTGAGTAAGAGTTATGTGCTCAAAAGAATCATCAGAAACTCAAGAAGGAGCTGAACATCAGTTCAAATAGGTGTTATTTGCTGCACGACCCCGAATTTTCTCTCCTCCTCCACAATTCTCTCCATTTCCCAGCACTGTTTTTGTACCCAGTGAAGATATAGAAGCAAGTTTGTGTTAATCAGGAATCTAAACAAACATTTCATTTTTGGTCTCTGAATTCTGTCCTGCTCTGCAAGATTTCAAGGTAGGGAAGTGGAAGATAATTGTAGGGTTTTTGATAAGTCCTTGGTGTGCCTCAGAGATGATTCAATCTGTCAGACCAGCCCACTCCAAACAATCTGCACTGTTTGTGACACTTCAGATTATTTTCCAGTGTAATTAATATTTTCACCTCAAATACTTTGAAAACATTTCATAATTAGTTATTGGATGTCAACAAGAGTTAATTGATGAAGAGATCAACAAGTAGCATACAGTCCCTGTCTTAAAACTGTTATTTAAAGAGCTGAACACTTGGTATTGTATTCTGTAACAAACATGCTCAAAGCTCTCTTGCTGTCCTTTGGCACTTGGAAAAAGGAATCTCAAATCCTCTAAAACATCTGAATTTAAAACCAAACTGATGCCCAAACTCTTCCTTCACTTTCTGTTTCAACTTCCCATGCTCTTTGAGATTGGTCTCTTTACCCTTTGCCCCTTCTCTCCTTGACATCATTCCACAAATTCAAAGGGCAAGAGTTGGATGAAAAAAAGAAAATCAAGGAAAAAAATCTTGTAAAATGTGAGGGGTTCTAAATCTTCCAGTCATATTGGAAGTCGCCTTCTAGGCAAGCTACAATAATTTTTTAATTAAGATTTGTAATTTTGAAAGACATCCCACTGATAGGATCAGTTAGTCACTCCAGTTGGTTCAGATATCTCAATATATTTCTGGTTTCAAGTTTATAATTATGCTGGAAAACGCAATAACATTCTGTTGCATGATAGATTATACTTTTATGTGTTGAAAATTCAATATTCTTGAATAGCACTCATTTTTTACAGTCCTTTGGAAAGGAAGAGGGTGATGAAGCCCACAAACCCCTGCTTTCCTCAGCCTCCTTAATTCTGAGTGCTCGAGGCAAAATAGCTTCAAAATTACCTTGTAGATACTTTCTAAAATCCTCTCTCACATTTGTTTTCCACTCAGATCATACTTTTATTGCTGTGAAATAAATAAATACATTCATATTATGCATATAACGCTATGATTTCCTTTGAAGTGTTTCTTACAGGCAAAACTGCTTTGATAAGGGGATGTCTAAATGTTTACAGATTTTCACTAGAGCTACTCTGTGATGTTATCATATTATTTTCTCATACTGTTGGTTTTGTTTGGGCTTTTTGTTTGTTTGGTTTTTTTTCATTTGGTTTGTTTAATAAATACTAATTCATAGAATCACAGTCTGGTTTGGGTTGGAAGGGACCTTAAAAATCATCCAGTTCCACCCCCTGCCATGGGCAGGGACACCTTCCACTGGACCAGCTTGCTCAGTGCCCCATCCAATTCTTGGTGTTTTATTTGGGATTTAAGAGAAATAACATTTCTTAACAGAGTTAATTCATTTACTCTTCATTCCAAAGAGCAGTAATATAATAAATTATTAGAACAGATTTGGGTGCACAAATGGATAGAGAAGAAAACTTTTTATATCTTTGCTACTCCTCTGAGCAGTTCTTAATTTCACTGTTTATCCACTTGGAGGCTCAGTCCACCAGCCTTTTGAATTATTAAATGTTCCAGCCAAGATGGATGGGGTCTGGAGCAACCTGGGCTAGTGGAAGGTGTCCCTGCCCCTTCATTTCAGGGGCTTGCAATGAGATGAACTTTAAGATCCCCTCCAACCCAAACCATTCTGGGATTCTCTGAATTATTTTCCAGCAGCTCTTCCCCCCCTGGCAGCCCTACATGATCCATGTGTGAAATGGGGGCCTTACCCCCCAGAAAGGCACAGCAGAGCTGTTGTGGCTGCTGTGAGGACGAGATAAGGACAGCAAAATCCAAGCAGGGCAGTTCACATCAGGCTGCAAAATCTCCTGCAAAAGTAGAATAGTTTTGCCTGAACCCAACTGCAGATTGCTGCCACCACGGTCTGGGCAGCTTAAAGCAGAGTTGATTATCTCCCCGTGACACTGCAGTAGCTTTGCACTGCTACTTTTTTTTTTATCTGTTCCTCCAGGATTTCCATTGGTTTTGATAGGAATTAAACCAGCTTTTTGCTGTTTCCCTTTGTATCCTGACTCTTTAAAGATGTAGAGTCAGGATCAGGGGGTTGGTCCTGGTGGAGCTTTGCACCCCACTGGCTTCATCCACATCCTTCCCTCAACTTCTGCTTCATAGCTGAGCTCCTCTTAGACACTCCACTTTAAATAAAAATAAATAATAGCCCCTAAGCCTTCCCTTTTGGAAGAAACTCCTCATTAATATTTGTTCATATTCAGGAGATGTTTGCTTCCTAAAGACAGTTGACATTTAAAATTCAATCAATTATAATCTCCCCTCGAATTTTGTGCTAACAGAATCAAGCACAGGCAGCGCACAATGGTTAAATTATAAAACAATTAGGAATAATAGCTCCTTTAGGTCATAATGTTGTTAAACAAAATTAGGCTTTGCATTAATTGTTTCAGATGTTTCAAACTGACAACTATTTCAAGTCAGACTTCAACAGGTTTTGAGCTCAGATTTTGCACGTTAGGAATAGGTGGTTTCACATATGAAGAACAGCTGGTTTCTAATCTCTGGGTATTTTATCCATGTGATTCACTTACTTGATTCTTTTTTGCACTTTTTAAGGAAAAAATATTTTGTCTGAATATGGCAGGAAAGGCCAAGAATAATGTGAAATCCATAATAATAAAATAATGTGAAATGAAGTGAGAATTGCTTAAATTTTTTAAAAGCAAATTAACTAAAATTTAATTACATTAGAAATTCAATTTAAAAATAAAAAACCTCTCAATGTTTTATTGTTAAATTTTGAAAATGAGCATGGATTTGTCATTAGGCAGGGAACTGTTACAGATTACTGTTTATATCTGAACTAGGAGTCCTCTGTGACAAAAACTTTGAGTAAAGCTGGGATTTCTTTCCTTTTTTTCAACAGCCAGTACACACAAACAGCCAAGGTGTTTTATTAAATGCTTCATCTTCAAAAATCAGTAGTTACACAGTGAAACCATCTTGACTGTTTTCCCCAGCCATCTACTGGGAGTGAAGAAATAAGAGAAGAATATAAGAACATTAAATTGAGTGAGTCCTGTAGTTAAAGGTTTTGTAAACTTACTTTACAGGTTGTATGAGCTCCAGAGAGACTGTTAGAACCTGAGTCAAGGCAAGACAGTTTTTACTGGAAATCATATATTTTGCTTATCACAGAAAAGTATATTCCTGCTGCAAAAACATTTATTCTTTCTACAAAAATGTTTGGACTTTTCCCCCCAAACACGAATAAACTTTCTGACTTGTTGGTTTTTTTTTTTTATTATTACAAATGAAATGCGACATTTAGTGTTTCCCCCTCTCCCTGGCAAATCTCAGTTTTTACCAGTTCACCAGAAGAGTTAACTAGAAGAGTTTTTTCCTCCCTTTTTAGTACTTTTGTGCTTCTTTTAGAGCTGATCTACCTGAGTTGGAGTAGAATAACTGAGCTCGCTCACTACTTGAACTCAGGACATTTATGTCATGATAAGGAAGATAAAAATTAACTAACTAAATAATAATAATAATAATAATAATTACAATAGCCCCAAAATATCTTAGCAGCCCCTTACACTGTAGGGATGTTTAAGCAGCACTGAATATAACCCCAAAGAGGCTGCAAAGTCCTCCTGGAGCTCTTGGAATGTGTCTTAATGGGTGAATGTCTGTGCCTTGAAAATTTTTTACAGCAAATTTCATTCCAATTTTAAAAGAATTTCCTGTCCCTCTCCCAGTCTGGATGATGTGGCTCTGTGCAGACCCCTCACAGCCAGCTCTGATTTGTCCTGGCACCTTCTGGCAGAGCCATCACGTTATAATGAGCTTCAAGTCTCATCAGGTTAAAAATCTTGTACAGCCCCATCCATGGGAGACGTCAAAGGCCTCTTGAACCCTCTCTCCTGACCTTGGAGGAATTACCTCGTGTCTCTGTGTATCCAAAATTTCTGTGGTCACTGGGGAACCTTTCAGAGGGCAGTTTTAACCAGTTCTAAGGTGTTTTATCGCTGCTATCACTGTGGTAGCCTCTCCAGAGCTGTGACAATTTGTTGTCTCCTCAGGTTCTACCACAGCAGGTGGCACCTGCAGGAGAGCTCTTCAAAAGGCAAATGGCTTAATGAAGGAAAGGGGTGGGGGAGAGAAGAAAGTTTGCATAATTAAACCATTACACCGAGGGAGAACAATCAGCTAATCTCGGTGATAAGCAGGGTTTGGGTTTAAGCCAAATTGTAGCCCTAAAAAAGCTTTAGCGTGCTGATAGGTCCTGTCTTCTGTCAGCAGAGGGGAGGTAAGTCTAACCCTCATTGTTTTAATGTTTTTTTGCAGCCCTGCCCAGGGCTGGGAGCCACAGAGGATGTTCAGCACCTCCAGCTCCTGAGCAGTGACTGGGAAAGCAGCTCCTGATTGCAGAGTCTCCCTTCTCCCTCCCCACTGGTGTGTCCCTAAGAGTAACACTGGGACTGACTTGGAGATATTGAAGTTGAAGAGTTCTTTTACAAGGGAAAGATGTATTAAAAAAAATGTAAGATGGCCATGGGGTCCCCATTCTCCAACTTTTCCTCTTTCCTCTTGAAACAGCCTGACTAGCTGATGTTTCTTGCCTATTTTTCTCAGATCTGAGGTTCCTGTTAATAAATACAAATTTACATATGACTCTGACTAAATCTTGAGAATTTCCCCTTAGACACTCAGTCAGAGACTCTTCCCCTTTTTAGGATAAGGGGAAGATTGTCTTCCTTGTAATAAATCATATGCAGGCTCCAGGCAGGCACTGAAATATGTGTAAGGCATTGGTCATGTCTTGATCCAATTTGTGTTAAAATTTAGAGACAAAAGCTACCTGGGCAGAGCATGTTTTGGGCCAGGCTTTAGATGGACTTCTTAAAGCTTTGCTGGGAGCAGGATTTAACAGAGCACAGATTTCACATAAAGTATTGATCTCACAACTCCCTAACTCGGAGTTTTACTATCTTTAATCAACCTAAACCCCATGTAGTTATTTTTCTCCTCTGATTTGACAAGCAGGCTCACATTAAGGTAGAAGGGTTATTAATACTGTGAGATGAGCTCAATGTATTGCAAGGCATTAGAGAGAGAGACGGCCAGAAAAATAAAAAGGTGCTATTATGGGAACTGCAAGCCCAGTTTATTGTGCTGCCTTGCTGAAAAGAAAACCCAGGGAGCAGCTGAAATTGTTCACAGTGTATATTATCAAGGGACAAATCTCACGCACTTTGAGTTCAGCTGTTGCCACTTGCACCAAAGAGGTGATAAAGTGAAATATGAAGGGCCACAGAGCCATCAGCCTCCTGCCCAAAGCACATAATGCCTGCCTTTCACCAAAGCAAGTGGCACAATATATTAATGGTGTTTAGCCAACCAAAAGAACCAGTGGACTTTCACTCAGGTTCTCCAGTCACTTTTATGTGAGCAGTGAAATAGTGTTTTCAAAAGTTTGAAAGAGATGTATCTTGGCAATCCCTGGGAATGGCTTCTCTGCTGAGCTCTGCTGTGATTTATATGAATTAGTATCAGTCTGGCTTGGCTGGGAAATTAAATACTTCGAGTCCCAAGATGTTCAGGTAACTTTTATTCTTAATTTTCTTTTGATAGGTGTAGTGAGTACATTTAAAAGTGGAGCAGTCATTCGAATTTTTCACAGAAAGTACAACTATAGATTTTTCTCTCCTTTAGTCCTTAGTGCTTTTTTTTTTTCCCCCCTTTTCATGTAATAAAAGCTGACTACTTCCTTTCTCCATCAAACATGCTGTATATCTGCCTTTCAGAGGAATTTCAAAGGAATTGTGCTGTGCCTGTTTAGGAAAATGTGTAGAAAATGGCCATCTGCAGTCCTGCTTTTCCCCTTGTGAGTATTCCAAGATTCTTGTAAAAGGGAAAAAATTAACAGATATTTATTTAATAACAGATTGTAGTAAGATTTGTCATGCCTGGATGTGTGTGGGTTTGAGGTTTTTAGTTGTGGGGAGTTTTTAGGGGGTTTTTTGGGGTTTTTTTGGTACTGTGGTTGGTTTGGTGGTTGTGGGTTTTTTTGATGGGGAGGGAATTCAGTGAACAAACTGGCACTATTGAAAACTAATAAATTCTCTGCTAGGATAAAATGCTGCATTTTTTTTTAATAGTCTAATCATGTCCAAATCCACCACTACACATTTCTCAGAGCAAGGAAAAATAACTAAAATTCTATCTCTGTACCAGATTGCAGAGACCTAGTGCTGTGTTGTGGGATTTTGTTCAACAGCAGGATTTGATTTAGAAGCTGGAAATGCTCTAAAAGTGAGAAAGCAGAATTTTGTGTTGGTGGGAGATATATCAGGGTGTTTTTACCATTAGCTTGTCTCTGACTTTCATTGGCATATCCATAACTTTTGTGACTATGTGAGGGAGAAGCAGTAAAACTGCATCTTTCTGGCACTGAGATAATCTGAGACAAAACAATTAGAGAGGAGCATTCTTCAAATATTTCATGGAGCTCTTGTTCTGGTGCAAATATTGTGATGTCCCATCACTCCAGGTGATGGACTCTGACATTCTGTGATATTCCGTTTTTTTTAATCCAGGAATGGGCAGAAACACCTTCCTAAGGCCTTGGGGGAATGATTCTGTCTCTTGGAAGAGCAGCCATCAAGTTCAGGTTTTATTTTTCATTTATACTTTAAATAGTGGATGCAGTTCCAAGGTTTTCTGTGTAGGTTCTCCTGTGGCATTTTCAAAGCCAGATATGACTGTAAACAGTTTGGAGGTTTTTATTTTTGAATCAAACTCTGTGCCTGAATCCAAAAAGATGGGGAAAAACAACTTTTGGCTAAATTTAACTGAAAGCTAGACTTTAATCCTGTTGCTAATTTGGATGATAAGGCTCAAAGGAAGTGTAAGAAGTCAGTGAGTTTGTCCTCTTGGTCCAGGGCAGGATCTGCTTTCCTGACGTCTTTCTGAGGAATTTTTATGGAATCTCAGTCCCTAAATCCTCCCCAAGCCCCTCCCTCACATGAAGTGCAGCAAAGAGCTGTCACGATACAGATTACTGCCACTCAAGCCAAAGAACTCATCTGCTGTTATTCTTTTTTTTTTTCCTGCAAACACTACAGAAACATATTTATTGTTTTTTACAGAACAGTTAGTAAAGCATAGATTTATTTTTTGTAGAACAAGAAACAGTTACAGTTTGGGGGTTTTAGTCTATTTATTTGTTTATTTATTTATTTATTTATTTATTTAAAATTCCCTGCATATAAAGGCTTTTCTGAACCTGTTACATTACATACAGTGAGTCACTGTCTTATGGTTTTCATACAGGAACAAATTTAAATAACTGCTACACCTGATGATTTAAATTAGGAAAGACTTTAACAGTCCCCTGCCAAAGAGTGATGGAAATTATTAGAAGAAAAAACACCTGAGTGGGGACAGAGCAGCTTGCACAGAGCTAAGTAAGTTGAAGTCAGGGTGAATTCGTGGCTCAGGTTCCATGGGATGTAGTTTTGTGTTATTCACCAGCTGGTCAGAGAATCCCAGGATGGTTTGGGTTGGAAGGGACCTTGAAGATCACGTTTTTCCAGCTCCCCTGAGGTGAGCAGGGTAAGCTTCCACTAGACCAAGTTCTTCATTCTTCAAAGTACAGGAATATCTGCACTCATTTTTACAGTCCTGCAAGATTTTTGCAATATATAACTGAAAAAATGACTGACAGGGGGTATTTTTTATCAATCTGAAATACAATGGGAGCTTTTCATGTGGCAGAAGCAACCAGCACCCTCCAGGGCCGTGGGTGCAGCATGAGACTGGAGGATATCTAATGGACCATGACTGATACTTTCTCCAAGGGGTTTTGGTGTCCTTGGAAGGTTTCATGGCAGAAATTGTGCTTTTTGTGGGATACAGTGAGATCCCAGCGCTGGGCAGCATAAATAACTGTGCGTGTCAGGCTCACATCTCACCCCCTCATAATCCAGGGCTGTTTGGACACCGAGGAAGAATACAATTTATAACAATCCATCAGCCCTGCTTCTGCAAACCATTCTGGATTAGACTCACACTGTTTGCTCAATTTGCTTGGCTCCAGGCTGGAGTGAGGAGCCTCTTACAACCCCCCTGGAACAGTGTCTGGTAAATAGCATAATTTGTTACATGGCAGAGAGGGGAAAGGGAGGTTTGTGGTGGAGAGTTCTATCAATAAGTGCTTCAGTTTCAATCACAGGTGCATTGCTTTTTTATTTCTTCACATAAAGTGATAATGAAGAATGATGACCTCATGTCTAGACCTAAGCTTTTAACTTTGTTGCAGCTCTGGGGGCTTTAATGTTTTTCAAAAAGCAATCAATCAAGTGCCAAAACCTCTCTGGCTAATTACCTCTGAGACTTTCTAAACTCTCCATTCTTTCCTCCTAGAAATGTAGTATTTATAAATTGCTTTGCTGAAGCACAAACTGGGTTATGGCCTGTTCTCCTCTCCACCTTGTTTTGCTTCTGCTCTGTATTTAGTGGAAGGGCTGATGTTGGGAATCTCAGCTTTGGACAGTGTTTCTTTCTCTCTCATCATTGTTTCCTCCTGAACACTGCTGGGGAAAAAAAAGCATATTTATCTCATGATATAAGAATATCTATTGTGAGTATCTTGGGGAGGGGAACGTGAGAAATGTAACTCTTGAACATTCAGTCACCCAAAGACCTGGTGTGGCCCAGATCTGGTGAGATGAATTTCAACAGTGGTTTATTTGACTAAATCTGAGATTTCTTTGAATTCTCAATCAACCTAGAGGTGTTTCAAACAGAAAAATATGTAATAAAGATTTTAAACAATGAGAGAAAGAAAAGAAAAAAGCTGTAATGGACTTCTGGAAGTCTAATAGTTCAACTTTCTGCTTCAAGTAGGCAAACCTCAGAGCTACATCAGAGAGATCAAGGATTTGTTTGGGCAACCATTCCAAGATCAGTTCTGTCACAGTGAAGAGCTTTTTTGATCAGTCTCTGTCTACCTGCTTAATATCTATTTGCAATTGGATACCACAGACCACCAGTGCAAAGATCTCAGCAAGAGTCCAAGTGAGCTAGAAGTGAGTTACACAAGATGCTGCATCTTTTACATCTTTATGTTTTGGTCCAGCTACTTGAATATATTGATCTTTTTTTCTAGTGCTTCCAAGGACTTTTTCACCAGAGAGAGAATATTTGCAAATGTTCCAACACCCAGTGGCTGGAGCTAGGTGATCTTTAAGGTCCCTTCCAACCCAAACCATTCTGTGATTCTATATAATGTTTCTATTTTGACCAAAATGAAAATGTATAATAATAATAATAATAATAATATCATCTAAGTATAGGTGGCTAAGCTTCACTCAGTTGATTTTGGGAGTTAGTAGCTTTTCTGTAAACATTGTCTTTAGTGGAACAGATGAAATGACAAACCTTACATTTCAGCTTGAAGTGGTGCTCACACTGGGGAAGTCTGACCAGAAGCATCACTTGTGAGAAACCACAGGACAAGAATATGATTGTGGTCCAAGAGACAACACTGCTAAAAAGCTTTCACTGCACAGAAAGAGTCTACCAAGGCAGAAATAAACCCAAGATCAAAGCATGTGAGGTGAGGATCTGCAGCCAACCCCATCCCTCTGTTGGACAACAAGCAAGGAAACCCTCAAAGCACAGGGGATGGAGCTGATTGTACAAGAGAGCATCAAATATCAAAGCATAATTTCCATGTTATTGCTAAGAAAAAGTCTCCAAAAAGCAATGAAATAACTCTGGATTCAAAAGCCAAAAAGCAAAAATGTCTGTGCTATTTTAAGCCGCTTATGTGTCATTTTAAGCCCCTAAATAATCACCCCCTACAGCCACAAAAGAAGAGCATGGAGAAGGCAATGAATATGTGAACAGTTTATAGAGAATCTTTTATATAAATCCTTTATGTGATGCAAAAGGAGAGTCTCCACAGGAGGTTTCGTGTGACATCAGAGAACGTGAAGAATTTCTGGTGGCTCCATTTCAAACCCCAGCACTGTGAACCTGCAGGACTCTCAGTTCTCTGCCAAACAGAAGCAGATTTTGAAATGTCAGGATATTTATGGAAGGGAGCAATACATACATTTTTGTACAGAGAGGAGCTGTTTCCTTCTGTTTGGATTTGAAGTATTCAGCTGTAACCACTGGGCTGTACAAGTGCATCTACCTTGGTTTTTAACCACAAGGGTATTTCCTTCCAGCTGAATTTTTGTATAACCCTGCAAAGACCGAACATTAAACAGATCACAGGATAATTCGGATTGAAAGGGACACAAAGAGGATATTCAGTCCAAATTCTTGCCTAGAATAATTGGTGTGCACATTTTCTTGTCAGTCTACACATAAGTGAGAAAATTCCGATATTTTTGCTTTATGTTTTTTCCAAAACTCAGCATCGTCCTGCACAAACACTTCTGAAATAACAACTGGAGAAAAAAACCCACTGAGCTGTTCTATTAATACATTTAATATATGTAATAGTTTTTGTGACAGTGAGACTTAAAATGATGAAGGGCTTGAAGCTGATCATTAATTTAAATACAATGAAGTAAACACGCAGTTTGTAATCAGATGAAGGATTTTTTTCTCCAAATAAACTGAAGTATAACTCTAATGTTCTTAGAACATCAACAAAATCAGGGAATGATTGCAACTGGCATTTATAACAAGCACTAGTTATGGTTGATGTATGAGATAATTATAATGCTTTGCAGGAAAATCTAATAAATCCCACAACAGTTCCTCTGTAAAACCTATTTTTATGGAAATTAGGGTATGAATATCACATCTATTACAGCAAGAGGGCTGCACAGGCAGTTCTGACAGCCTCAATCTAAGGCAGTGTCCACTCCTGAAAGGTAATTGTTTCTGAAGTTCTGCACACAGAAAATATCTGGTGTTCCATTTTCTGAAAGGAAGGTTTAATATTAAAATATGAAAATCTTTATCATTTGCTTGATGAACTTTTAAAGAGTCGTCCCTGTTTTGATACAGAGGTTTAGAGTCTGGACAAATCATGGTGGGTGTAGTTTTTGGGAATCAAGAATGCACCAGGAGTACTAGTTTGAGTTAAATTTCTGATTTATCCAGAATTTTATTATTTATAATATTTGGTCTGATTTATGGCTGTTTTAGAGTTAAAATGAGCAACTCCTTTTATTTTTATTCTAAGTTAAATTGGAAAATCCCCCTTTTTTTTTTTTTTTTTTTTAAGAGATTACTAAACTGGAGTTACTTTTGATTTCCACAGCCCAAGGATGGAAACCTTGTCCTCAGTCTTCCATTTACGGTCCTTTAGCTTTCATGGATATGAAAAGCAAAAGACAGACTACCCTCTAGAGGGCTGACAGATGATTGTGAGAATAACCTGTCATTCCTAATCTTGGTTTTAAAGTGTTTCTTGAATGCTTCAGGTCCCTTTTTTTTTTTTTTTTTTTTTTTGCCTGGGAATGCTCTTCAAGTTTTCATCTCTGAGAGATGATGGAAAGTTATTAATATGACTTTATGGTTGTCAGAGCTCCCCAAGGACAAGCTTTCAGTATTAGATATCCAAGATAGGCATCTCTAATCCATTTTGCATCAAACCAGGGCTGCATTTGCACATTTGGAAGGGTTAGAACCAGTGGCTTGATGCAGAGGCCGAATTTCAAGTGCTGTAGCAAATGGCTCTGGAAAACATCCCAAAAAGTCCCAAACATTCTCAAAAAGTCACCTAAACATCTGCTTAACCGTGGACATTGGGTTGCTCTGAAAGCCACAGAACCAGGGGATTGCTCAGGGGCTTCCCGGAGTCAGAGGGGATTTAGAAACTCAGAAGCAGGTCCTGTGAATTAAGTGAATCTCAGCCCTGAGAACTGTCAATAAGCTGATATTTTAGCTTTAGTTATAATTTTGATCACCAAAATCTTAGGACTTCTAAAGTAAAGATGAGTAAAAAATACCCTTCAAGAAAGAACGCTGGCAGACAGAACAACTTGGAGTAGATGTGCCCCTGGAAACAAGATTCACCTTCAACTTCAATTAATATTTCTGCTTGATCCCAGTTGCTCAACTTGCAATATATTTTCTTCTTTAAGGTTTTTTTTTTTTTCCCATTCAGTCTTCTCACTCCAAACACTTCTTGCACAGCTGACTCAGATGTCCTATTCCCCTGACGTGTGGCAACACTTTTGTCCCGAGGAAGAAAGAAATAGAATAATTAAAAATAATGCGGAATTTTAATAAATCTTTCCGTAAGATCCTCAGTTTTTGACTTGGAGAAGCTGACACGCTGTCTTCACTCGGGTCTTGAAGGTATTAATTCCCTTTGAGTCATTCTCTAAGCCTTTTGTTAGAGTTCCTCTTCTGTACCTGCTTTTTTTTGAGAGAAGCCATTTCCCTACAGAATAAGAAATTTCCAAATGAGAAGTGATACGAATCTTTGACGAGCCAAGTGACTACCACATGAAAAGAAGATAATGGGATATATTTTATCTGGATTGAGAAGCATCTGCCAAGCACATCTCAGAGGAGCTGTCTGTTAAGGAGAGTTTAGAATAGATTGTTTACCCCATTAAATATCAGCAGAAGCTCTGCTTTTGCATTGATTTCCTCTATCTATATTCTCAGCTGGGAAAGCACAAAAGGATTTCAGAGAGAAACAAGAAAATATTACAGAGTCATGTAGGAACTGGAAGAAAAATCAGACCTGTGTTTTATTGCAGCAAATTCTTTGCTGTCCTGTGTTTTCACTCTCCTGGTAATTTTCCCTACACAGTGTCTGTAATTAAAGAGAAGGATTAGGGTCTGGATACAGAACCTGTTACTACTGGGAATTGTTTTTTCAATAAGATTGAAATCCAGCCCATGGATATAGTTTTATCCAAGGAAGGAAATAAAGACCAGGTTGCATTTCAGTTGGGGAGGGGGATTTTTATTTCTTTGGTTTGGGTTTGTTGAAGTTTTTTTCCATTAATAATATAGATCTCTAGTTTCTCAAAAATATGAACATTTATTAAGGAGACAGATCAATTAAATTAGTCACACGCTCAACCATGCTGATAAACTGAGATCTTAGTTGATAGTAGGGAGAAGAAATCAAAGCTGGGGCATTCCAAAGAGTAATATCCTGGAGTTAACATAACATCTGCCTAGAAAATCCTGGTGAGAGCCTGGCAAAAGAAACTGTGTTTCTTCCATTTTAATTTCTTCATTAGATTTTTTGAACGTGTTTCAATTCAAAGGGTTTAACTGTTTTTGGTTTTTTTTTTTCTTCAAGAACCTTTCTAAAAGTTCAGAGAACCACTACAGAATTAAAGCAGTTTGGTGGGTGCTATAGAATACATTATCTCAAAGATAATATTTTAGCATGAAGAGCTTTTAAAACTTAATCAGCTCGCCAGCACTCATTCCTAATTGATCTCTTCCTCCAGGACTGCTCCATTTTCTTGACCTTTTAATAACTGATGGCTTTAGAGAAAAGACTGTTCACAGTGCTTCTTAAAAGTCAGCAGAAGATCTGAGGTATCTATGCAACGTCTAAAGAAGACAAACCTAAAGCAAGTCGTGGCCTTGTGAAGTTCTGATTTCCTTGTTCTCCCCAGGTGTTGCAGCAACTCTGCCATGGCCAGGAGTCGGAGATGGGGATCAGCTGAATTCTTCTCCTTTGGGAGGTGTCAGTCACCTGCTGCTCCCTCCATATGTGAGTCTGGCTTATTTCCTTTAAATATTTTAAAGATAAAATCCAGTCTGTGCCTATTCCGAGTTCAGGTATCTCCAGCTGCTGAACAGCTGCAGGAACAAATCAGTGGTGAAGTTTTTTCCTCTCCAATAACATCACATGTCACTGATAATTCACAGCAGCATCAACAGTAGTTCTTTACTGAGGGTGGGGAGGCCCTGGCACAGGTTACCCAGAGAAGCTGTGGCTGCCCCTGGATCCCTGGAAGTGTCCAAGGCCAGGTTGGACAGGGCTTGGAGCAACCTGGGCTGGTGGAAGGTGTCCCTGCCCATGGCAGGGGGTGGGACTGGATGATCTTTTAGGTTTCTTTCAAGCCAAGCCCTTCTGTGATTGTAAGTCCCACCTAACCAGGAAAAAACCTGCCTGTTCTATCACATATTCCATGTATTCCCTATGAAGGTTTTGGGTTGCTCTGGCAGCAGCCATACACAATGAGTTTATTCTGCTGTTGAAATACACTCACACCACTGCAGTCATTTCTTTTGACCACACAAAGCAACAGGGCATTGTGAGTTCTTTGCTCCAAGGGCAGTTGGGATGGAGTGTTTGGCACCTCCTCTGGAGATGGAGCTGAATAAAACACCTGACAGGGGGCAGTTTTGTCAGCTCAAGTGAAGCAGCAGCTTTGGAGTGCTGAGAACTTCATGGGGAGGTTTTAATGTTCTTGCTTTGATTGCACCAAAGGGATGAGCCCTTTGGAAGCTGCTGAATATCCTAAGTCAAAAAGCACAGTTCATTATTAAATTCATTGGTACAAACACCTTACAGATGTAACTTTTGTATACTTGAAACCCCGAAAGAAATGCTGTTCCACTCCTGTCCTTGGTGTAGAGTCATCTGGAACAGGTTTGGATTAAGAGATGTGATTCAAATTCAGACCCATGATGCAGAGTAACACTCTGATATCTTAGGGATGCACTAAAGCTTTGGGGGATTTGTGCTAGTGAGGCAAAAAAGAGACCCCCTCCATCCAAAAAACTTGCCTACTCAGGTCCCAGGTGGTAAGTGGTTTGTCCATGAAACTCCCACAGAAATTCTTCTCATACCTGACTCTTTCAGGCCCTTTTATTCTCCAAAGTCTCTGACAGTTGATATCTCAAGAAAGAGGAAGGTTCATCAATTATTTTGCTTGTGAAAAAAAAAAAAAAAAACACAAAAAAAACCAACCCTGTTAACTTGTTGAAGAGCCTTCAAAAATGAAGTTTAATAACTCCACAAATTTTAAAAGCCAAATTTTTCCAAACCCCTGTGTATACAAGGCCTTAGGCATTAAAGCAATGGCAATGGTTCCACCAAAGCAGGGTTGTGTTCTCTGTACATCAAATAGCATCGCTAATTATTTCAGTTGAAAAGTACTTCCTTTTGATGAGATTTCTCAGAACAAAAGTTTTCTTAAGTATAATAATTTGTATACATAATACATCTTAGGAGGAATGTCAGATCACAAAGTGATGGAGGCAACTGGAGCTTCATCAGCTCATTATGCAGGAACAGAGAGTGGGAGATGCCGAGAAATGAAAAGGAATGGGAAATCACCCCAGAACAACGGCCTAGATTTCCCCCTTTACAATCCACAATCACTTCCTAGGACATCTGGGCATTGTGTGGTGTCCACTTTGATGCTCTTCCCTCTTTAAAGACATGAAATCTTGTCTTGCTTCCATTGAAGTCCAGGGCAACAAAGCTTCTGCTTGTTCCGTAGGAGAACAGAGCTCATGATTCCCTCTCCCCCACGGGAAACACCCTGGGATTGTTTGCCACATTGGCAGTTCAAAAGCATTGTTCAGAGCTCAGACTGCTCGGAATTTGTGAAGTGAAAAGTTTCTGAGGGTTGAATCATTAATTATATAACTGAGGAAACTGTCTCTGGAAAGCTAATTTTGAATGACTAAAGCATTTTAATTCTTTTCTACATCTTTTTTCCTTTTTTTTTTTTTTTTTTATTTTGGAGGTGGCCAAATGTTCATGGGTTTGTCTGAATTTATTTTTAGCTCTGCTTTCCCTTCTGACCTGACTGACCACTGGTCTGGTAAAGATTTGCAGCATTTTTTCCTGTCACAAAGAAAATACTATGTCCTCTCAAATTTGCATGTTGGTAACAAAGAAATGCTTATAAATATTTCAGGTTTGTCTTTACATTCTCCTGTGAAATTTTGTGGGAAACTGTGCTTTCAAATCCAGGCTTTCTTCCTTTGACTATTTAAATTCAAATACCTGTGTGTATAATCCCTTTCCTCTAAAATTTCTGCACATTTGGCTATTTAAATTCAAAGAGCTGTGTGTATAATCCTTCTCCTCTAAAATTTCTCTACACCACAATCAGAGTGGGGTTGTGAGGAGAAGAGTGATTTGATTGGTTTTTACTGATTTAGGCACAAGTCGTGTTATACATCAGACCACTGAAGAGGAAAAAACATGGAATTTCACCTGGAGTTTCCAACTACATTTAAGTTGTAGGTATTACTCTCATCTACTTTGCTTTTTTTTATTCAGAAGTTTCACATTTGTTTAATATTTATACTTGATCAATCTGTAACATCATAAACCATAACACACTTTAATGTGTAGACATGAGCTGTCTCTCTCCCTTCAAACACCCTGCCTATAAACTTTTATGATTTGGGACCGTGAAAAATAAATGTTAGGATTACAGAGTAAATAATTTGTGAGTAGCAAAATAAATAAATAATTGCCTGTCATAAAAAAAAAAAAAAAAATCTATTTTAGTAGAAGTAGGGTTGATTAAATTCATTTAACACAAAAGGCCAGATCCTCGAAGGATTTAATGCCGTTCACACAGAAACTACTTGAATATTGCAAGTAATAATTAGATAAAGAAACTTTCGATGTTCTGCACTTCTGAAAGGTCATTAAGAGAGAAGTATTACACGGGCAATGGGCAGAAACAATTGGCAGATCACATCCTGGCTCCTGGGGGGAATCAGCACACGAGGCTCGAGCTGCTTCGGTTGCAGCACCGTGGGGCATAAATTCACCAAATGGGCAGGACAAGTTCCTGTCTCTGTGTTGTTACCAAAGCAAAGCTGGAATATTCCAGCTGCCTGCAGAGGAACAGCTCTGAGGTGACAACACAGGAAGGAAGAAGAGGTTTGGGTTGGGTGCTGGGAGGTTTTTGTCACACTGAAGCGTTTAGGGAGAACAGGAGTCCAGCAGGGTGAGGTGGAGAGGCTCCAGCCCTCGTTCCACCAGCTGATCCAACCACTGAGCAGTCAGGATCACCACCCCCAAAAGACACTCCAGCAGGGCCAGCATCCTGTAAAACTGGTTACAACAAAAAGGCATTTTCAAGCATTTTACCTGTGTTTTTATTTTAAGATTCGTTTTTTCCCCTCCGAGTTTCATCATGGGGTGACACACATGGCAAGGACTGGGAATATTGATGCTGGTCATGATGAAGAATCTCAGCAGAATTAGGGGTTTTTTTACCTTTTCCACCCTTCCATACCTTTTTACCTACTGATTTTTGCCTCACTCTTTGTTCACTTCAACAAAACAAAGACTTTCAGAGTCCTGGGGTTTGGGGGATGACTGTGCAAATCATCCTAAATCCCTGCTGAGCTGTTCTGGGGCTGGGAGATGCACAGGGCAGAGTGTTCCTCACTTTCAATCTCCTGTTTGTTGACAGCTGGGAAGGAGGAAAAGTAGGGGGAAGCTGAAAACACCTGACACCTTGGTAGGTGGAGCCTTATGCAGAAGTTAAAAGAGAAAAGAGTTTCTATCTCCCTCCTTAAAACTTGAACATATTCCAGTTTTTTCGTTTACTGTAAAAGGTCCAAATTATTTTATGAAACATTCAGGTTTTTCCAGATATATCTTAGTTTAACAGGAGTAGAAAATTGTGCTTCCAGTTGGGTTTGGTGTGAAAGAAAATGGATTTTCTGTTTCCCTTTTTTAATTCACCTCTGTTGCTTGATTTCAGTTTTTCATTTCCCCTGCTGAGATTTATCTAATTAAAGAAATTAAAGACCCACCTTTCTTTTGATTATGATAAAGGAGTAGAATATGTGAGCAGTCAGATTATGGGGAAAAAATAATTTTGCTGACGTAAATGTGTATGATTTAGTGCAAGCATTATTTTTTTTTTATTTGACTTCCTTCATGGTAACTATGTACTCAGAAAATGACATCAATTTTATTTCTAAACTGTAATCTACATTTAGAACTTTCATTTTGACTGCAAATCTACAAACATAGAAATTTCAGGAGTAATCTTCTAAAAGAGACTCACTAAATGGGGAAAGGTATGAACAAGAAATACCAATCTGCTCCCCAGGAGCTGATAACTTTTGTATTGATCTATTATGGACAGAAAATATATATCTATATATAGATATAATAGTGGATGAACAGGAAAGGATATGGAAACCCAAGGCTTTCTTTGCCTCTGGTGGACACTCTGCAATCTGCAGTGGAATGTTTCTCAGGTGAATGTTATAATATAATAAACCTCAGCAACCACAGATTGCCTGAACTTCTGCAAAACTTGATTCTAAATTACTTCCTGTTGTGTTTTACTCCCAGAAGTTTTTTCTAAGAACTTTTATTGGGTTCCTAAATGGCCTGGGTTTTTTTCCCCCCAGCTATCTCTATATGTTTTGTCTGTATATTCTATGTAATATCTTATGTTGACTCTGATAAATCAATTTATTTTAAGTGAAGAAAAATTAGAAGCCCGTCAAATTTAGCATATGGGCAACGTGAAGGGCTTAACCAGATGAAGGAAGAATGAATATAAATTCAAACTAATAGACACACTTTTTTTCTTGTTTATTAATAAAACATCTTATTTTCTAATGGAGCATCTGGCTTTTTCCAAAGAAAAATACCAGATGAAGCAAATGATGGAGGGGAGTGAGTGTGATCCTTGTCACTTAACCACACACAGCAGGTGCTCAGGCTGTGTTATGATATTCCAGTTTTAACACCAACCAGCACGTTTTGTCAGGTGGTTTGTTGGGTATATTTGGGGTATTTCCCTCATTTTTTTGACTTCTCCTCATGGCTGGAAATATGTTTCTGGTAGGAACAGCTTGTAAGGAAAAAAAAAAAGAGCAGCCTAAGATATCTTTAAAAAGCCAGTGGGTCCTTTGTGACAGATGTCAGACATATCCATGGTGGCTAAAGAGCAAATCTGTTGTCTGGTAGCAGGAATGAGCCAAGGCTTAGCAGATTACCTGCAATACCTTTATTTCCTCTATCTTATTTATTTTCACGGTGCAGGGCTGGATGTAAGTCTTGAATGGGGAGAAAAAACAAAATTCAATTCCCCCCACTTGCTGCTGCCAGCTCATCACCAGCTGCAGTTGTTAATGTGAGTCACGTGTTCCTGTGACACTGGGTTAAATTTATTGTAATGGACTTAGAAATATTTCACTGAACAGAACTTTAAAAAAATGTAATTGCCTGGCAGAAAGCAAATTTAATCATGAGCAGCAGCAGCAGCAGCTCAAGAACCCTTTGCAGTTTCAAACAGAGAAACTAGAGAGGAGAGACTGTCAATTTGATCTTTATTACGATAAGGGTTTATAACAGAACCGGCACTCCTTGAATTAGCAGCTTTTCCAAAGCGTTCAGTACCTGGCTGAAATAAAAGTAGATTCTGCAAAGAACTTTGAAATAAAGTGTTGAAATGTCTTTTCAACAGCAAAAAGGAGATATTTGAATGCACTGTTCCCTTTGTACCCCCAGCAAATACGGTGCCTGTGCTTGTGAGACAGGGAAGTAGATTCAGCCTCTCCTTGATTTACAGAGAAATCCAGCTTTGCTTTTTCTTGCCAAAAATCCCCCATAACCCTGTTTGCATTTCAGCATGATGTTGACTGGACTTCTTTAGTACCTGATGAAAATTATAAAACTCTTTCTGTGGGTGTCACCTCTCCGATTTTGGGAGGTGCTGCTGCCTGGACCTGCTCAGCTTTGATGACACGAACAGGCAAAGCAGCATCTCGTTATTGTCCCTTAATTGCTCAGCTGAGTCTGGGGTCACTTTGCACAATCAGAGTGGCAGAGAGCAGCCAGAATGTACAGACAGCCCATCCCTGGAAGTGTCCAAGGCCAGGCTGGACAGGGCTTGGAGCAACCTGGGATAGTGGAAGGTGTCCCTGCCCACGGCAGGGGGTGCAACTGGATGAGCTTCTGTGTCCTTCCACCCAAACCATTCCATGTTTCTCTTATCTTGAGTTATAAACCAACAAAAATACCTTTTCTTATCCACCTGTGCTTAAGTCCTATTTACACAACTCAGCTCAGATATTTTTGAAAGCAGCCAAAGCAAGGTATTTTTTCGATTCCCTTCATGATAATCTCAATTTTTTTTTTTCAATTCCCAAACACCACAATCTCGTTTATAAAAGGACCATTTGAATTTACAGAGAAATTAGTCTTGAAAGAAGATTCATAAGACCCTGTCTGTCTTGAAAGTTCCAGTGATGCCAAACTTCAATGATAAAATTTGGAATAACATGAAGTGTAGAATGAATGCTGGTTTCCTCACGCAGATTTGAAGCTGATTAGCACTGCTGTTTAAATAATATTAACAGCAACTGTTTGGGGTGAAATAAAGTGATGGTGTTATCTGGGTTCTATGCAAAAGTTCCTTTCCTATTTTTGATGGTAGTTTTGTATAAATTCATCATCTTGTCAGACTCCCTCATAGCAGAACAGTTGGTCAGATCCTTTCCTTATTCCTGTATTATTTTTCAGTGCCACTTCTGAGAGAAGCAGCTTAAATGTAACAGAACTACAATAATGCCTGCACAGAACAGATCGTGTCTGAAAGCTGTATACATTCAAGGTAAGAATTTTATAATTATTTTCATTATAAAGAGTTTCATTCTTGATTTTTCTTTAACTTCAAAGCACTGAGAAGCAAGAAGCAAAATGCACATTTTATCTCTTTTTCTGAGAGAGTTCATGTAAACTTTTAAGAGACCACATTTTTTACTCGTTAAGTACAACTGGAAAACATCTCTTTTATCATTTTTATCACCTTTTATAACCTGTATCAATTTTCTCATTAGGCACCAAACATAAGGATGAACTTGATTTCAAATTCTGACAGAAAAAATGGTCACTGACTGACAGGAATGGCTTGATGCACTCACTTTAAATCAGACATTCCAGATTATATATCATTTTATCTCATATAGGAAGAAATTAATCAGCGCACGAAGCAACAAAAAAAGTCTGAGCTTCACCCTTTAGCCCTGAGAAACAAATTGTTTTAAGTAGATTACTAATAATTATGAGTCATGGCATGAGCCTAAGAGTTTAATATCGCTATTTAATCACATGTGGATTGGATCCACTAAGCAGCATCATGACTCAGTTTATCCCTGTTTCATTATTTATCCTGTGGGGATAATAATAACCAGAAGGAGCAGTGAAACACAATAGAGAACTTCAAATTATTGATGCTTTTTTTTTATACCTTCCAGCCAACATTTAAATTGCACTTTTTAATGGCGAAAAAAAAAATTTCTCTACTTTCTTCAAAGGCAGAACTTGTCCATGATGCAAAACACAGCCAGTCCAGATTAACCTAAATGGGTAAAATGACATAAGTGTAGCTTAGTTAAATATTTAAATTAAATATATTTGGGAAAGCGTAAAGGCAAGAATCAGTTTTGTCTAAATGAAAAATGCCAAAGAGCATTAAACTGCGTACATGTAAAATAAATGAAGTAAGATTTCCACCAGGTGAATGGGAGACTGTAGGTAAGGGAGTACTGAGTAAGTAACTCATTGAGGGAAAACTTTATTAATTCAAATTTCTTAGTATTTAATTGCTTTGTTAAGTAGAATGGAAAATTAATTTAAAAAGTGAAAACAGCCATGACATTTAACTCCAGTCAAAGTGAAAATGGGGGGAATGAATCAGACAATGTGGGGGCAAAAAAGAGGAGGAAAAAGTTCAACACCAAGCAGGCTAAAATGAGGTACAAAATTAATGTTTTTCAGCCTCGTGAGTATTTCCAGAGTGCTACAGCTCATCAGAGGTCTGGCTTTTGTGCCTTCTTGGTCTCTGTCTAATGGCTTAATCACAGAAAAAAATAATCTTTCTCTTTTCTTAGTTTTCCGCTTCATTTACTGATTGTCTTCAACAAGGCAAGGTTGTGAAAAAAGTTAACATGGAACTGCAAATTTGAATGTTCTGGGGAAGAACTTCAGAATTGTCAGAGGGACAGTAGAACACTTCTCCTTAAAATGAATGTTCTCCCTTCACCTTAAGCCCATAAGCACTTTTGTCTGAAGTTTTAGCAGTTTTTAACAGGGGATTTGGTTTCTTCTGCTGTCTTAAAATACTTCCTGTATTTATAATAGACTGTCTAAATTCAGAGTCTGTTGGATGAAAAGGTGACAGAGATACTGAAGAAGGGTTGTATGACAGTTATTTCACATATCACCAGAATTTTATGTAGTATATATGTATATATATTATAAAATACATGCTTTTTAAGAATTATTTAGCTTTTATTGTGTCAAATATTGTATTACATTTAGTATAGTTTGAACTTGTAACAGATACATTTATATATATTTATATATATATATATATAAAGCATTGTATATAATATTAAACATATTAAGAAAATGGACTATCTACATGATCAGTTCCCTTTCCAGGAATATATTCCATATATTCCATATTTTGGGGAGGAATGGGAGTACTTTAATCCAATATAGACCACACTGAAGCCAAAGCAGAGTGAGACATGAACTTCACTGTATTTATGGAAGTATCTATTTCCTTTTATCTCCTGATACTTAACAGGAAATTCGGATTATAAATACAGTTTGCAGTACATTTTTTTCTCCTTAGCACTGGTTTTTGGACTCTATTTCTGGGAATGGATTGTCCCAGCCTGAGTTTAAATCACTTTAATTAATTCTAGGAAGAAGAGAAAAGCTCTTTGGCAAAAGCAGTTCTAAACACCTTTAAAATTCCAGAGTAGGAACATTAAGATTCCTTTGCATTCTCAGTGTAAAGGACAGAGTTTTGTGTGAGTCTGATGGGAGGCACTGATGGTCCAACCCTGCTCTCGCTCCTACCCTGACAAATCAGCCCATCAGAGCCAGCAGGACTATTCCACTTGAGCAAATAAATTCTGACTGTGAGTAAGACTATTCCACATGAGCAAATAAATACTTGCTGTGAGGAAGTAGGACACAAAAGGCCCTTGGTGGCTGCACTAAGAAGCCGATTTAAAGAGTAGTTAGCGAGAGGCCAGGAGAAGTGGGCCAGAAAAATCCCATATTTCCAGACAGAAATGTGCCAGACCCTGAGCTCAAAGGTCTGGAAATACTCTCATCACACACACACTTAAAAAAAAAACATTCTGCATTTTTCACGAATCCTTAATTTATTTATAACCGAGCTCCACACCGGATTCCCTTTCCCCAAGTTTGTTTTGTCAAACAGTTCCTATGCAGGTATAGAAGGAGAAATTATAGGGGTAAATATTCAAATATGCTGGTTTAAATTACTTATTAATGTTGTTTTACCTATTTGTGTTTAATGTTGTTGTTTCAGAGGGAACAGCCAAGAGAAAAATGGATTAACTCTTCCACGTGTGACCAAGGAAGTAGATGGAGAAAATAATCTGGGAAAACCATGCATTGGATCAGACCTTGGGTTTTGTTCAAAGTTACAAATAAACAAACAGGAGATGAGAAGATGTTTCACGTGGAGGCCTTGATTTCACATTTTGAGGTATCACATTTTGAGGCCTTGAAGTTGAAGCACTGAGGGCACGTGTGACTTTTGGGGGGGGATGATTTTTTACATCAGACTGGCTTTTGATCCCAAGTTGTGTTTGTGAATAGTCAGAGAGGAAAATGCCTTCCATCAGACAAGTGGCATTAGCCTGGTTTTCCTCTGAGAATAAGGAAAGAAACCATTTAAGCCTCAGTGGAAATGGCTGGGTATTACACTGATTTTTGGAGAGCTGCTTCTCTGCTGCATTAACCCCTGGCCTCACCTCCTGAGAATAGAACAGGACCTACTGGAGAAACAGGGCTGCTTCTTGCCTATTTTGTGAGCTCTCAAGTGCTCCTCAGTGTTTTGTGCATTAAAAACCAGAAGAAATATGGATTTTGTTTATAATTGAGTGGCATGTTAGGTGGGTAATAAAATAGAGAGTATTTACTGCACTGTACCATGATATGAGATACATTTACACTTATCAGAAACCCTCCTTTATGTCCTACCTAAAGCAACAGCACTACACCTGATAGAAACAACTATCTGGCAGAAAATAGTACCAGAAAGTGAGGTTTTCTCAAAATACACTGAATATTGTTCCTTTAGGTTGTCCAGTTATTTAGCAGCTACTGCAATCCTCAAGAACTTTTGGCTCAGAAGGATTTCTCTTTCTGACCTTAAAAACTACAAGAATAGAATCTTTTTGTTTTGTTTTGTTTTTGTTTTCATTTGTTTGTTTGTTTTTGTTGGGGTTTTGTTTGTTTGTGGTTTTTGTTTGTTTTTTTCTGGGTTTTTTTTTTGTTGTTGTTGTTGGGTTTTTTTCTGTTTAATAAGCCTTGTTTCTTTGGAGGTGCAGTTGGGTTTCCTAAAGAGATATTAGCTCCTGTTGGTTTAATATTGAGAGATAGTTCTATAGGAAGGAATTTAATATCAAGTTGGTTCAAAGTTTGAGAGGAAAAAGATGGTAACGTAGCACATCCTTTTGGACACAGGGAAACCTTCTGGGAAAGCCTGAGAAATGAAAAAGAATTGATCCCTTCTCTCTGTGATTAATAGGCCAGTGAGGAGGTGCTGTTTTGAGCTGAGTTTCTGACCATTTGGGCAATCTCTTCATTGAAGATGAACATTTAACCACAGGCTGAACTTTTTCCTGCACCTTTTGTGATGTTACTCTGTAGACAAGAAGTTTATTTTGGAGTCAGGGATCAACTGCACTTTAATGAGAGAGATGGCTAATTCTGCTCTCATTTCTGCAATTGCATTTGCATTTGGATTTCCATTTCCATTTGCATTTGCAAGGAAATGCAATTGCATTTCTTTCAGTGGCACGGCAGGAGAAAATCCAGGACTGCAATCTCCGACTGTAGCACTGGCAAACAATCCACGATGAATAATTCACTGGGTGAGTTCAGAGACTGTTTCTCAACATGGAATCATCACGAGGAGATTATCATTCCCCCGAATGTATTCATGATTAGGCTGAACTTTGGTGAGTTGTTTTCCTTTGTGGATTAACTGTCAGCAATTAACTGCATGCCTGGTTCTTGATATTTAGCGTTTGAGGGGTGGTAATTTGTGGTGAAAGGCTTTCACTGAAGGCTTCTTTTACTGCAGGTCTCCAAAGGGATGGGTTGGAAGACAAGTGTTGAGAGGAGAAAGGTTTATTAAAGAAATACAGGAAGATGTTTGTTATTTTCAGAAGAAAATATTTCCCTCTTAACAAGAGCAGACCCAGACATCTGTTATGGAAAATAAGGAGGATTGTAATGTATTAAAACCGAGGGAATTCTGCTGGGACATGTGAGGAGTTGGGACACCTGAGCTGGACAGATTCACCTCTGGCAACAAAAGGAAGTGTTATCTTACTTGTTCTTAGGCAAAACATTTTAAACGTGACATGAGCTAACAGAAATTACTGAAATCTCTAAACTAAGGGAGGCTGGAATTCCATAGCCCTACTTGTATTATCAAAGCCATCCCTGGCTCTTGAGTTTATGGAGATGGAACTCAATCCTCACACCAACATTTCCATGAATTACTATTTTAGAATAGCAAAAGCGAAGTGCTGCTGTGACAATATTTACTTTATACCAGTGTGTTTATGTTTAAATCATCCATCTCCCTTTGCACCATCAAGTTTTCCTGAGTCCTAACAGAAATAGTTATTAGAGTCGTTACATTATGTTTTATTATCCAGTACTCGCATTTTAAAATTGTATAACAAAAATAATTTGGTCTTATCTTTCACTTGGGATTTAGTTGAATTCTCTTCAACCTGTGTCCAGCTGAATTCTCTCCCGATAATACAGCTTAGGTTTATCAGATCCTATGAAATAAATGTTGCCTTTTAAAGGGCTTACTGCTGTTGTCTACCTCTTTTCTATTCACTGGCTGAAGATTGCATATATTTATTTTCCTCCTTGTCTGTGCTTTCTCTGATTCTACTCAGTTATTACTTTCCTGGTGTGTGGAAAAACTCAGTAAAATTGCTGAAACTTTTCAGGAACAGAAACACCAGAGGGAGGGAAAAAAACCAAATCAAAGGGTCTCAGTTTCTGAAGTGAAGGCTCCATTTCAGAGCAGTCGTGATCTCTGTCGTGATCTGCTCCATCGTTTTCCTGCGTGGGTGGGATTTTATTTCTCCCTTTGTGTTCCTGACTCACAGAGCATTTGATGAAGTGCTGGAGGAAGCAGAGAAGTGAGGGCACAGACCAGCCATTAAAGCTGTGCTTGTACTGTGGTCAAATCCGAGTTATTGCCTAAGAAATAAGTCCTGAGCCGAGCAGGAGGGTCGGGACTCTCCAGCCACAAAACCCCACGGGCAGAGAGTTGCCATGGACCACCAGGACTTGTTTGCCTGAAGAAACTCCCAGCTCCATAAATACACATAAAACAACATATCCCTAAAATGGCATAATATTGTAACACAAGAACAATATATAAGCATATATAACACCTAATTCTGTGTAAAAACCTTGCGTTTTTTCCTAAATCTACTGCTTTTCAATGGTATACTTACAATATTATTGCATATCTATATGCACAGACAGGAAGAAAACACAGAGGATTTTTATTAAAACTGAAAAGTCAAAAGCAAAAAGTCTGTGAGAGTAAAGCTCTCAAGAAAAAAAGATAGACTGGAATATTTATGAATGCTTTACAGGCACTAAATAACAGAGTTATTCTGCAGAGACTGAGGGCTAAGTGGAGAAAGGTGAAATGAGATGGAAGACACTTTAATTGAATGTACGTCTGTCAAAATTCTTCCTCAAATGTTGGATGAAAAATGACTGGCTAAACCTCTTAATTAATCAATTCTGGGACAAAAAACCAGCGTGTCAGGCACAATTTCGGTTTTTGTAATACTTGGTGGGTTTGAGTTAATTGTAAATTTATTGCCCAAATAAACCTGAAAGGGAGATGAACTGGAAATAATCCATGTATAGGAAACAAGAGGTTGCAATTAAAAATGCACCTTTCTCTTTGTTGGCTGTGTACAACAGCCATCGAAGCAACAACAACCCCAGAAGGAAAATATAATCCATAAAACACCTTCAGATTGTATTAGCACTGTGCAGTGGATCAAACGTATTTTTCTGGAAGTAAATTCATTGCTTTTGATGAAGTTACATCACAGACAAGTTCAGTTCAGTGTATTTAATTTCCAGAACAAGTATTGAGCTGGGGAAGGGTGTTTAAGCTCATAATTGGCACACCAATGTATGGCAGAGAAGTAAATATGCTATTAATTAGGAGCTAAATATTGACACATAGCGAGATTAAATTATATCAAAACATTCAATGTAACTTGCTTAATGCACTATTAAGTATCCAAATATTGTGTGTATGGAATTGTAATTATTTGCTTGGATTCTGTACTGATTATATGGCAAGAAAAAAAATCAGATTTTTCCAAACACTTGGGGCTGACCTGTCTTTACCCTGGCAGAAGTCGATGACAGAATTATCCAGGATTCTGCTCTGTCTGGTTGATAAAACTCATCCCAGGGAAATGTCGTGTTGCTGCTCCCATGGACATGGACTTTCCACTGGGATCTGAGCTCCTGCACAAAGATGAGCGTCAATTGATTGTTAAGGGTTGCACTTCGTTACAGGAGAAAACAACGTCACTGAGCCTCATCTGTTAAGGACTAAACATTTGCCTTTTGATCTCTCTATGTTGGGCGGGTGAGATCAAATTCTTGGCAATGAAAACCCCCCCAAAATTCCATAAAAGTAACTTTTCATAACGCATACAGATGTTTCTCAAAACAAAAGCTTAAGGAACCCCCGAGAAAGGTGGAAAGGCAGATTTTTCCTGTAGGATTCAGACCCTCAGAACAAGTGACAGGAGAATTTGCAGCACCCTGAGGACTTCAGTGGTGCTCAAAAGTGAGAAAACAGAAGGGAACATGAATTATTAGTTTGTGTCATTGTTTTCACAGCCTGCTTCAAGAATTCTTCCTCCTGCAGAGGCATCAACCCTAAAAGAAGATACTGATGTCAATCCTTATCTTGGCTTAATGAGATTCATTAAAAGCTGAAATATATATGTATATTTTAAATTTTAAATGACAGCACTTTAATAGAAATAAAAAAATATAGTTTTTAACATATGGGGATTTTTTATGGCTTTGGAGGGTTATTTTGGTGTGTTTTGGGTTTGTTTTTTCTTTTGGTTTGGTTTTTGCTTTGTTTTGTTAATTTGGTTTTCATTGTAGGTTTTTTCTGTTGTTGTTGTGGAGTTTTTAATGTCGCTCTTTCTTGGTTTTGTTTTTGTTTGTTTTTCCTGGGAAACACTAACGAGGTATTTTAAAGCATTTTTTTTGTCATGGATCTCATACTTGGGCTCTTGTTCAGGGTATGTTTTGTTCCTTGTAGGTGAAAAGTTAAGCCATTAGTGTATAAATATGTATAGGTTGTTAATACCACCACATTAGTAGCTTGAGTCCTTCCCGTGTAGCTGATGTAACAAAACCCCTTGTAATTTAAATACATTTTTACAGTGATAACCGTTATACTGGATATCAGAGTACTATCGTGCTAAAAAACTATATATATGCTATTATCACAGCCACAGGTCTGTGCAAATATGTGTCTTTTTAATAACTACTTTAAAATGCTTCCACTTACAGATGATGATTATGCAGGTGAAAGAAATAATTGTGCAAGCATGCAATGGATGAGGAAAATAATTAGGATAAATAAAATAACTTACACAACAAGGGTAGCCATAAGATTATGGCTGGTCCATTAAAGTCTATGAATATCTGCCCATTGACTTCAATTAGCTCTGAATTAGGCACTTAAACAGCAGGAAGCAAATGGAATATTCTATTTGATTATCCTGGTCAATGAGCAATGAATGCATAAAAATAACCGTCCACAGATCCCACCGGAATCGGCCTCTCTAAACTAAGCCAAAGAGCAGCAACTTTTCACAATGTTATTCTTACTTATTTTTTCCCTGCCCAAAGCATTCTGGGTGTTTTGGGGTAAAGAAGAACTGATTTTTTTGTTATGTCTGCGATGAATTCAGGTGCAGTTTCAAGGCTGCAGAAGAAGAGGAGTCCACAAGAGCACAGTGTTATGGAAAATTTATTTTGAAGAGGTTGTGGGGTTTTTTTATGGTTTCAAACCATTTCTCACTGCAAAGGATATTTTGCATGACCATGGAGGGAGCCAGCAGCCAGTTCAAACAGAAGGGGAGATGTAGAGACTGGAGACAAACCCTGCAGGGAGTCACCACCTCCTCACAGAGTGACCCCAGCACTGCCAGAGAGAGGAGACCCTCCCAGAACCAGCACAAATAATGTTTAATGGGCTCAGACAGGCAGTGCTTGGGCAATAAATTTAACAATTTACCCAATTTACTGATAGCAGGTCAGCGGTTAATGGAGGATTCTGAAGTGTTCCAAGCTGTGCATTCCTGCCATGAGTCTCCTCCAAGGTGGCCTCTCCTGCACATCCTTGACCAGACACTTCACTCTTCGAGTGCCACTGGTTGACTCCAAGTGTTAATTGACCCCCATTCCTCCCTGCTGCTGCCCCAGAACACCATCCCCATAAAAGCAGGATCTTTCAGGCTGATGGAGAGGATCTTCCTCTGGGCTCCCATATTCTGTATTCCTCCTCAGCCCAATTCTTTGCTATTTTTTTTGCCTCTTACCCTCTTCTGCAGTGGTTTTTGTATTTATCCCTAACTTGCCCAAGCAGTTGGGTTTCTCTGGGTCTGAAAAATATGACCAATTACTTTGTGCCAGCTGCTGTAGGTCTCTAGCAGGAGGGAATATATTAATTGCTGCAAGCAAACCATACTTTTTTTTTTTGGCCTTTATTAATCCAAAGTTGATCCAAAACATAAATTTTTGGTCATAGTTTAGAGAAATATGGTTTTGGTGCCAGCTGGAAGGAGCAATATTGGAGGACCTCTCTGTTTTCCACTGCTGAATATATTGGAAGGTCCCAGAAATGGCTCCCAAGGAACATTTAGAACTAAGTAAAGAGAAAAAGAACCTTGGTTATCATTCACCAAATCAGTGTTAAATCTAATTTCACCTAAGGGAAAGTGTACAAAATGGTAATTAAATTGTAAAAGAAACATGCCTACTAAAATTGAAGACATTGTACAGCTTTTTGACACGATTGCAAGAACAAATGAGACAAGGCACCACGCTACATCTCAAATATTAAGTACAAAACACTGAGAACTGGAAACTTTTAAATTAGGTTATGCCTTAAAGGCTGCAGGATAGGAAATTACAAGATAATAAGTTTGGGGAGTTTATTATTTTTCGTTATTATTGCTAAGGAAACAAGTAAATTGAAAGGAGGAGGTCAATACAAGGTGAGAGGGCTGCTGGGGAAGAGGAGCTGAAAAACTTTTCAGCAGCTCAGAGATGTGGAACTGGCAGAAATACCTCTGGTGACAATGCCAAAGGCAAACAAATACAATGGGGCACTTTTGATCATCAAAACACCGGGTACACACTCCCTACCCCTTCTCAAAGCCACAAACAAGGCTGGCTGAGCTCAGGGAGGGGCTTTGCACCTTGCTGGGCTCAGCTGTGCTGGCCACAGCAAAGAAGCTGAGGAGGAGATGCTCTAAACAGAGAATGTGTGGGTAAAGAAGTGAGATGTGAGCTCAGAAATGGACCATCAGGGTGAGGAACAGCCACTCACATCCCAACCAGAGTTAACACCTGCCACGTCTGAGGAATGACGGGGCAGCTGCAGTAAAGTATCATGGATGTATTCCACAATAACAATTTACATATTGATTAAAACCCATAATTTAGATTGCCTCAGGTTGGCTCTGAGCTGTTAGACTGATACCTGGCAGCCTCTTAAGTGTGGATGGGGGAAAATTACCTGTACTGTCAATAGCTGTTTACCTATATTAAAATAATTAGCAATCAGAGTGTACTCCGCTGCCTTGCACACAGGGAGCCTAATTAACTTTCTCCTTCGGATTTATACATCCACTAACAAATAAATGGAAAGCCATCCCTTGCCCTCCATCATGGGACTGTGCCTGTCTGTATTTTGGAGAGGCAAATGCCAGTTCAAACAAGGACAGGCTTTATGTCAGGGATTTGTCATTGCATCTCTTCAGGGCCTCGTGGCCTCGTCCAACACGGAGCATTGTTCCACATGTTCCACTGAGTGATGCACTGCCGTGACAAAGTGTTAATCTCCATTAAAAATTTAAAAGACACCCAGCTATTTTCACCTGCTGATTCATCTGCAGCCCTTCCCAGCTCAGGCAGCCCTATCTCCCGAGCTATTACGAATTACCAGAGAGCCATCCTTCAGCTCAGATTCCAGCAGCAGACGCTGGAGAGTGAAATTGCTTCATATGAAAGGATGAAGTCCAGTGCTTGTCTTTCCCTAGTTAATAGATCACCAAAATGAAACAGCACGACTTTGCTGTCCTCTGCAGATGACTGTCAGGGGTTTAAGTACACTGGGCACCAGATATTATTTTATTCTGAAAATACATCAGCATGGTTATGTCTTTCTGTCTCTTGACTAATCCCGTAGCAGTTCGTGCAAAGGCATCAAATCACAAAAAAATGTTGGTTTCATCTGTCCCCCAACGTGTGGATTGTGTTGCTGCCCCTTTTCCCTCACACAGATACTGAAATTTCTCTGATGGCGTTGAATTCATACTTAAATAGCACTTAATAATGGTGCTTTTCACTGAGAAAGGTAATCATCTCTTTATATAATAATCTTAATAATGGTCACATGAGTAAAAGGAAGAGAGGGAAAAGGATGATGAGAGGAAGCTCAAGAAGATGGTGTAGTTGCTCATGATTAGACTGATAGAGAAACATTTACATATTTCATTGTTGGGTTTTAAGAGAAATGCAACTTAGCTTTAGAAATGCAGACTTTTCTCCTGTTTTGATGTTGGGCACAACACTGGGTAAGGCAATAAAGGTAGCAGCTAAATTCCATGGAAACTGGTAACCTGAAGGGACCAAGTCCATGAGGAATTGTGGATTCCTTGACATTAAAATAAATAAAAAATAAATAATAAATAAATAAATAAATAAATAAATAATTAAAGACCATGAACAAATATGGAAAAAATGGAGGGTAAAAATCAAGTCTGGAAACAAAGAAGCCCACAGAAAATAAAAAAGGAAGAGCTTTTATTTTCTTAATTGGGAAAGCTCATGACAAATGATGATAAACATCACTGTGAGTAATGTCTCACTGACTGTCTGAAAACCACATAAATTG